ATTTACAACTTTTATTTTCCAGATTTACCATCCATCTTGTTATGAAGACTACCAAAATGTAAGTGAACCCTTTTTATTTTTGAAGCATTTTGCTTTCAGTTTGTTCACTGACTTTACAGGGAGCAGATGTCTTCAAAATCCATCTTTCTCTTGCATTTGACCAGACAAAGAATCAAAGGGCCCTGGGCATGGCCAGTTTATAATACAGAAGTTGCTAGGATACATTTCTCATAGTGATGTTTCATGACAGCTTGTGTGTCATACATGACTAAAGCAAAACCATTATTTGAAAACACATCATGAATTTGAGTAACATGCATACTCTTAGGAATTTGAAATGGGTGTTTAGTGTGGGTTAAGTTTTTAATGATTTGGGAGTACAGTTCATTTGTGGAGAGATGGGAATATTGTATGGTAATGTGTTAAGCATTTCATTGCTACGTGAATGATACATTTTCAAAATAATTGTGAAAGAGTAATGCTATTAAACAGCGAATTTGCTTTATATGAATCTTGACAAAGTAGAATTTTGGATTTTGAGCGCTTTACTGTCAACATGTTTGCATTTTAGGAAAGACTAAAAGGGAAAAGGATTTAAAAGTGGCTGCTATCGTTATGATGTGTTAATGCTACATTAACATTATTTTGCAGACATCATCATTTGATTGCACACCATCTCCCAGCAAGAATCCTGTAGAAAGTCCTCTAAATATTATGTTGAACATTGTTAAACAAGAAACACAAGAGTCCTGTGACTCGCCTAAAGTCAAAGAAGAACCTGATGACACCCCTCCTGCCTGTGCAGAAGAGAGCACACCTGCATCTACAGATATTAAAACAGAACCTGATGAGTCTGTTTAAATAAACTGAGGTATGGTTTTTTTTTTTTACAGAAAAGCTGCTGTGTTATCTCTGGAAGGCAAATACTTTTTATATGAAATAAAAACATTCAGCTGAGGCAGGGCCTTAGCTACTGTTTGGTTAATAAATACATTTTTGTATTTGTATTTCTTACTGCCTGCACAGTTTCAGGTGTCATTGTGTGAAAGTTCTGTAGATGCGTGAAAATTTAATGGAATGAAATTGTATATGTAAAAATGTACAATTTTCACTTGTGGAAATGTAAATTATAAATAAAAGATATTTTTGCTATATATGGAGTGTAATGTTTATGCACACCATCAAATGAAGACAGTGTTTCTGTAGTTTTTTCAGTTTAAATGAAATTAAAAAGACCTCTGTTTTAGACCTCTTGCTGAATAAGATTCAGGAAAATGAAAGCAAGTAACTTCCTTCAGTTATCTCATAGGTGGGTTATCAAGGGAAGCGATGCAGGAACTTCTCAAGACACAACCCTATATTTTTTCTTTTTAAACTTATTTGAACAAACTTACATATCCAGATATTAAAAATAAAAAGTAACCAAAAAGTTCTGGGTAGAAGGGGAAAATTTAACAAAGGAACCAGAGTGCTTGATTGTGAACACAAGTGCCAACAAACAATTAACAAACCAGGATGCCTGGTAGCTGAGACATTTTAATGACTTTTTTTCCTTTAGTCACACATAAGAATTTAATACAGCTGAACAAACTTTTCTTTACGTTACAGGGGGAAACGAATGTAAGAATGCTCATTTGAAAAATGGTTAAGCGTTTTTTTTTTGTTGTTTATGACTGGACTTAGATGGTAAACCAGATATCCTGAGATGTTAATATTTCTTAAATGTAATAAATAAAATTAAGCATTTGACAGGACGAGGGGGAATGGGCTAAAGTTACGCCAGGGGAGTTTTAGGTTAGATGTTAGGAGGAATTTCTTTACTGAAAGGGTTGTTAGGCATTGGAACGGGCTGCCCAGGGAGGTGGTGGAGTCACCATCCCTGGAAGTCTTCAAAAGACGTTTAGATGTAGAGCTTAGGGATATGGTTTAGTGGGGACTGTTAGTGTTAGGTTAGAGGTTGGACTCAATGATCTTGAGGTCTCTTCCAACCTAGAAATTCTGTGATTCTGTGATATATTTGTGTAAATCTCTTCCTTTCAGTAATAGGGTTTGCGTGGCTGGCATGGTTGTGGGATTGCAAATAAAGATTCATACAATGTTTGTCTTGGGATAGTATGTCACCTGCATTTAAGGTTTTATTCACTCTGTTATGTGGGGAGTGCATACTTTTAAAGCTGCTGGGAGTAAGACACAAAACAGTAAGTGAAAGAGTAGTCCTAGTGTATTGCTCTTGTGGTGTGGATACTCAGAAGATCAGAATTAGACTTAGTGTGTGATATAAGTAGAAATAATCAGCTGTAAGTAGAAAATCAGCTGTGAATGTGCTGTTAGTTGCAATGTTCCCAGTTTTCTCACTCAGGTTTCAAGGCATAGGCTGAGACATCCTTGTGCAGTAAGAGGATTTACAGCAACTTTCTAACAAGGATAATTAAGCTCGAAATGGATTTTATTTAGATGTAATTATCAGTGCACACCTGTAAATCTGATTTGGGAATGGGCCTTCAAATGCAGAGTGCTTTTTTGGCCCCATCAAAGGAACCTAGTTTCCCTCCAGGGTATTGGATTCTTCTGGCTAATGGGGCTGAAGAGCAGGACTTCTGAACTGCAGGAAAAAAAAAAAAAGAAAAAAAAAAAAAGAAAACTTGTACCCTGAAACATCTCAGTGCAGAGAGGTTACAAGCACAAGAATTGTGGTTAGTCAGATTATCCCACAGATAAGAGCACAAGCGGTTTGAATAGTTCTTGGTTAATACATGGATGACAGTCTGAGGATGACGATAGTGATTGGTGTGATTGGTTTGTGCCTCTCTCTGGGGAATGCCACAAAGGTGGTAAGCCAGGGCATTGGAAACAAACAAAACCAACAACAAATAGCTCGGGATACCCTTTTCCTGCCAACCTGCCCAGCGATCCCCAGGCAGCTTTATCCCAGCTCTCACAGAGGAACCGTCCTTTACAGACGGAACATACACCTGCAGCCCAGCATCAGTTACTCCACGCTGCTGCCTCCTCAGGCAGTCCCACACCTCCCCCTTCAGCTGCAGCCCCCTCACAGCGCCCCAGCCCCGAGGCTCCATCCCTCGGTGCCCGAAATGCCTCAGGGCCGCTGAGGCGCCATGGCCGCCGCTCCCGGCCCGCCATTTTCTTGCGGCCCGGCGGGAGCGCGAGCCCTGTGCCCATGGCAACACCGCTGCGACGGTTGGCAGAAGAGGGAGGAAGAGGAGAAGGAGGAGGAGGGCGCAACGAGTGAGGCTGCTTGTGCCGTGAGGGGCTGCCATGCCAACAGCAGCTGCGGCGCTGCCTCCTACTCCGGCTGGTGAAGGTGCTTTGCCCGCAGTTTCCCTTCCCTTCCCTTCCCTTCCCTTCCCTTCCTTCCCTTCCCTTCCCTTCCTTCCCTTCCTCCCTTCCCTTCCTTCCCTTCCCTTCCCTTCCCTTCCCTTCCTTCCCTTCCCTTCCCTTCCCTTCCCTTCCCTTCCCTTCCCTTCCCTTCCCTTCCCTTCCCTTCCCCCTCAGTTATTTTGCCCGAAGTGCCCCCATCTGTTAACATATCCATTTCACGTGAGGCTCGTATAAAATATCAGGCTTGATCGATATTTGCCAAGCATTTGGTAAAAGGTGGCACAGCCCTGAGGTCATCCCCAAACTGGTATTTTTAACCCCCCAGCCCAATAACTGTGCCTTCGCCTACTGTGGGGCTTGGGTCCTTGTTGCCTTGAGCTACTGCTAAGAAGCGTAGCACTGGATTCTTTTTGTGTTAGAGAAATATAGGGAAAACCTAAAACTGACCCTTTTCCCCATGCTGAGTAAATTCTTTAGTGAATTTTGGTCAGGTACTGTTGCCACAATATTTACCTAACTCTACAGGGGAATTTTTCCTTAGTGAATGAGCATTTGCTAACAGTTTCAATTAAAAAAAAATGCACTAAAATTATGAAAGATGTCATTCGCTGACTGAACAAATATATTTCGTACAAAATTCTTGTTAACAGCTGTTTGTCAAATTTCAATCGCAGCCTACAGCTTGCTCTTGCTGGCCTGAGTCAAGAAGCTGTGCAGCAGCATTTGGCATCCATCTCCGTGGAGCTGTAGGTCACTGGTCCTTCCAGAGGGGGAAAGGAGGCAAAATTCCCTCTGCTGGGGGCTGGGAGTGTGTGTTGCTATTTGTATTACTTCTGGCAAAAAAAAAAAAAAAAAAAAAAAAAAAAAAAAAAAAAAAGCTTGAACTTGTTGCACTGGAAAGTCGTGTTAAACACATTAGTACTTTGGCAAGTAGTGTAATTGACCAGATTTCCTCTGATGTAAGGCTGCCTAATTGTGCTGAAGTCTGTAACCCTCACTTGACAGAATGAGAAATGACTCCCCTGTGGGAAAATTATGCCCTGGTGATATTTTCTGTTTAAAAAGAAGCAAATAAAAACAACAACAAAACAAAGAACCCGAAATGCAAAATGTAATTATTATTTAAAAACATGAACTAGATTACTTTCTGACGTCCCTTCCAACCTGAATTATTCTCTGTTTCAGTGCTGCTGCTGTTTGTTCTTACAGCATTTTGCATAGTAAGAGTCCCAGCTCCTAACGGAAGCTGCTTTGTGCAGGGCAATGATACAGCCTGTCTCTTGGGCAAGTGGGAGTGAAGTGATGATACACAGCCACAAGATCAAGAAGTGTGTGTTAATCTCAGTCTGTATTACAGCAACAGTTTAACCCCTCTTTTCTTCTCTGTGGCAACCCCAAATCTACCAGAGCACTATAATCCTGCTGCAGATTACATGAAATTAGGCACAGGTAAACTGTGAAGGCTGCTTTTCATCATATTAGCACTTTTTTTACATGTGTCAGTAGCCTTTTCACAGAGCATCTCATTGATATCTAATATTTTTGGTCAGAAAATGCTTAACAGTTTGAACTATTACCACCATTTCTTCTCTACAGGCAGGGAAACTGAGGCACTAATACCTTAAGATCAACCTTTTCCCACATGCTTGATCTGCCGAACATGTAGCCTACTTCTTCAAGACTTCTTAGAGTGTGAAATCTAATCCAAGTGTTAGTGCATTTTGCTGCTGGAATGATGACTCCTCTAGAAGGTAATTAATAATTGTTTTGAGTTACTCATACACTTAGCTATCTGTTGTTCAGCCATTAGATCTACTTACATCACTTATTTCTGTTGACCAATTCAGGCAAAGTGCCAAGATGTTGCAAGGGAGTTTGGATATCTGACTGCCAGTGCTCCCAGTTATCCTGTTAATCAGTGAAAAGGCCTGAAGGAGAATACAGTTTATCCCGGTGACAGATACTTTTGTACCACGCTGCCTTTACCTAAGTTCAGAGTTTTATTCCATGCTACTGAAGTCAATGAAAATGCTACTGACTTTGGTGGGGGCAAAAATTTAGGCCAACAAAGAGACCTGTGCCAGAGCAATGCTATAGATACAGCAAGGGAACGACACAGAATGACTAACACATTGTATAAATAATTGTTTTTGTGATGTAGCAGCTTTCATTTTGACATGAGCTTGTAATGAAGCTGATTTGTGCAGCTCAGTCAAGAGCAATTACACGCTATGCTTAATTGGTAAAGGCTCTGGTGCCCTCAACACAGTATGCCATGGTATGCTGAGTCCTCAGGCAGCAGTGGGAGCACTGGCCACGTGGAGCACTTGAAAAGTGATGGCTGAGAGCTTGTTCGCCCAAGTGAGAAGCCCCCCTGGTGATGCACTTGAAGATGTGATGGATGAAAGAGTTTGTGATGCCCACAGTTTTGGAAGAGAGCCAGTGTTGCGGTGGACCTGCTCCAGCATTTGCATATGTAGATGGAGTAGCTCTGCTTTCCTGCTCTTGCCATGTTTCTTGTCATCTTTCTTCTGGCTCTTATTCATGGCTTCTTTTGGTCCATTTTCTGAGGCTGGAGATGACATGGCTGTTTCACATTTTTGAGTATTGCTTTGTTTCTGACAAACAGAGGCTAAGGATTCCTGCTGATACAAGGCTCACTCTCAGAAGTTACTCTGAACACGTTGGGTTGGTTCCTATAAAGCTGTCACCCTGATGATTCTTTGACTCATCACTTGTTTACTCTCTCTGAAATGTTACTGGACTGGCTAATGCCCTTTTATTATTCCTCACTAGCTGTCAAGAAGCAGCAAAAGTACACTAGTGTACACGAGGCAGTGAAAGCCGGTGATGTAGAACAACTTGCGTCAATGATAAAAAGAGGAGCTAGTATTGACGAGGTGGATTTAGTCCACGAGTTCACACCTTTGCACTGTGCTGCACACTCTGGAAGTCTGGAGGTAAAATATGATGTTGGTGTTCAGACACAGCAATGTTTTTGTGAGTTAATGTTTTCCTTCTTTAGGAGAGGCTGGACACAAAGTCGTTGGCTTTGATCAAGCTAAATTAATAATCTCTGTCTGATTTTCTCAGTAAATATATTCACTGAGAACAGAAGTACAGTTTTTAGTATCTTATTTTGCCTTTCTGAAGTCCCAGCCACAGTTTACATAGTTAACACTGCCAGATTTTACAAAATCGGCGATTTTCTTACTCTGAGAAAAGTGTGCCTTATGGCCTCCCTTCTAGATTTATGACCTTCTTTTGTTTCTGTTGTCTTTCTCCTTCTCTCAGGACACCTAGAAACTCTGCTAGGATGTATACAATGAGAAAATCCTCTAGGACATGTACACATTCTCTAGTCACGAAGGTGATTGAACCAAGTGAGAAGTGACATGAGAGCCTGTTCATTCTGTTTACCAGTGTTCTGTCCTGTGCCTCATTCTCTAGAAACAGTGCTAACACGTTTTATTTTAAGAAATAAAAGCATTGAATGTTGATGCAGAAATCAGCAGGTACTTGGTACATGAACGTTTGAATTTCCAAAAGGACCGAGCTGCTGTATTCAGCACAACACTTATCTCCTTGTTACAGTCTTCTTGCATAATATTTTTGCAATCTAACTTTGAAACAGTAAGGTCATGTATAACCATATAAAAATCATGTCCCAAAGGAAAAAATGTAAAATTATTGCTAAACTCAAGAAATGCAGTTCTGTTACTGGAATGAACAGAAACTGTCAAAAAATGCTGATGATCATGCTGTCAACCCTAAAAACAGATTGCTTGCCCACCCTTTTCTACATGTGTAAATTCTGCCACTTCTCATTTGACTCTCCTACTTTGCAGTTAATGTATAAGGCTTTATTGGATTATCTGTCATCTGTTTGTTACTAAGCTCCTTGGTGGAAACAATGAAGGAACCAGAGGTGGAGCCTGGCCTAAAAGAATATATTAAATAATGATAATATATAACAAAACATTTTAACTAGTTCTCTTGCCTTTTTTTTTGATAATTTTTTAAAGCTTTCCATTGAAAGCAATAACTTGTGGTGGAAAAAGGTGAATAAAGCTAAACTAAGCTATGAAAGGATGAGAAGAGAGGTGGGATTACATGCACCCTAAGGAGCTTAATAACTGAAATGAGGCATTACATTTAGTTCATGGTGTTTTTCCTGCCAGTAATTTTAGCTGGAGTTCAAGTGAGCATGTTTGCACCATTTTTCCAATGCTTTTACCTTATGCCATGTGTATGTTCTCACGGATTACATTTTAAATCTGGAAGAGTAAAATGAAGAAGCCATTCTGTAAAACCAGTGCTAGGGTCTGAGTTAGTAGTTATTTCTACTTTTGTGCCCTTGGATGAGGCCTTGAAACTGTCTAACTCACCTGCTAGTCCATGCTCTGAGGTGTCATGTTCCATAAAGAAGTACTCTGATGCAGTTTTGAAATATAACATCTACTGTTAACTTCTAGTTAAAATGTGCCTCAGACACATAGTAAGAACAGTTAAATAACAAGAATTTGGTTTTGGTTGAGCAGTGTCTTCACTGGTTGCTCTGGCACGGAGCTGACATAACACAGGTAGCTGTCAGAGGCTGGACTGCAGCTCACCTTGCGGCTATCCGAGGACAGGATGCTTGCATGCAGGTATGTGTAAATATTTACTCTCAAGCAAAAGTAAGGCAGGCTGCAGTTTGGACACAGTCATTATGAAGATCAGCTGAGAGGGCTCCTAATAGAGCTGTGAGTATCTCATCTTCACAACATTAGAGCTGGAACTGAGTTGCTGTTAAAAGCAGTGCACCTATTTGTTCCATCTGCGCAAAAAGATTTATTTTGTGTAGTGACAATGCTTTGACGTTACCCCAGAGTTACCCAGCTGATCATTTTAAGTCATCCTGCTAGGCTATGTTTGCTTTTTCAGCTTGCTTTCTGAACTTAGGCTTTGTGTTTCTTTTAGGCTTTGATATCAAATGGAGCAAACCTAGAAGCTCGAGACGACCGTGGGTGCACCCCGGCACACTTAGCTGCAGCCCATGGGCAGTCGTACACTTTACAAACCATACTGCAAAGTGGAGCGGTGAGACTTTTACCTGCAGATTCCTAGTGCGGAGTCAAAGTCTGCTGTCCTTTTCCAACAAAACTCATTAGTTTAACTGAGATTTGGGACTGTAGGTTAATCTTTGTTGGCATATTCTTGCTGGCAGGTGTGGGAATTTATTCTTAGGTTAAATTTCTTTCTTTTTTTTTTTTTTTTTTTGAATGTAAGACATGTTAGAGAAATGTTCCAAAAATCTAAAGAGAATCAATAATGTGGAACACCATTTGACAGGGGATGTCACCAAATGAAGATCAGGCACTGAGGTTGTTGTGATTTTTTGTGATTGTACAAATCCTATACAGTAAACGACATAGACTGAAAAAAATACAGATGTATATTTAAGAATAATCATCAACACATCAATAGAAGTATTTCTGAACATCTACCTTTTCTGCATATATTATTTCAATACAACCAAGAAACAGTGAAAAATACCCATCTTGGAATGGGAACTATTTATATGACATGAACTTTGAAAAATATTATTTGATTTGATGGAAATAATTTAACACAATGAACAGCTGGTTCCTGCTTATAAAATTTGTTCCGTGTCTAAGATTTGTAAGTGAATGAATTAACCTGCTGTTTTCATTTCAGAATGCAAATGTTTCAGACAGGAATGACTGGAAGCCTGTTCATTATGCTGCTTTTCATGGTCGCTTGGGGTGTTTGCAGCTTCTTATTAGATGGGGAGCATGCATAGATGATGTGGATAACAATGGAAACCTTCCAGGTATGTCAGGATAAATCATATACTTAATCTTTGGATTACAGTTGTTGTGATATGTGATAATCTTAGCACACCTTAAGCAAAGGACACCTATCAGCGTTGGTTGGACAAGAGATACTGTTTTGATAGAACAAGGTGTAACAGCTTTAAACTAAAAGAGTGTAGGTTTAGATTAGATATAAGGAAAAAATTCTTCACTCAGATGGTGGTGAGGCACTGGCACAGGCTGCCCAGAGTAGCTGTGGATGCCCCATCCCTGGAGGTGTTCAAGGCCAGGCTGGATGGGGCTTTGAGCAACCTGGTCTGGTGGGAGGTGTCCCTGCCCATGGCAGGGGGGTGGAACTGGGTGGGCTTTAAGGTCCCTTCCAACCCAAACCATTCTGTGATGCTATGCTATAATTTGCTAGTTGGTTCCATGCAATACACATGGTTGCTCTATTTTTATAGCGATGAGGGAATTCATAAAATCCCAAGTAGCTGTCAGTTGGCACCAGCATCCTATTCAGCTCCTGCTGTTCCTTGCAAGGCTCAGAGCTAAGGGTGCTGGAACAGCTCATGTTGGGAGCAGGCTCGTTTTGAGAGGGCAGCATCCCCTGAGCATGTGGTGGAGCGCGTGTGCCAGTGGAGGTCACAGGAGGGGAAGGGTAAGTGGGGCAGCAGGCAGGTCCAGCTGCTACCTGCTCTTTGTTGAATGTGTGCCAGCTGTGCCAGTGTGAGCAGATTCTGGCACGTTCATATGCAGGTTTTGGTATCCAAATGTTTCTTAACTAGGTTGGTAAAACCCTTGTTCTCATTAACCTCTGATTTCCTCATCTTGATTTCTGGAATACCAGAATTTCTATATTATCTGCAGTCTGTACTCTTTTCGTAATCATGTGCACAGTCACCTTAGCACAAAAAAATGGGCACTCTCTTCATAGTCTCTCCACCATCCCTCTGCCTAGCACACCACTGCCTCAGTCCTCTGTAAGTTGAATGCTGTTGCTCATAGCCTTTGTTCCTGTTGCATCCTTTCCCTTTTAACATGTTTTCTTATGGTCAGTCATATTATTTGTTCCAAATAGCATATTTTTCCATCAATAACTTGTTTAGAGGTTTAGAGTTATCCTTTTAAATCTACTTTCAAAATCTTTTATCCTCTATTAAGCACTATTTATCCAGTAAGCCAATATCTATGTTTTGTTTTTCAAACGTGGGTTTTGTTGAAGGATGTGAGGCTCTTACATCCCGGTAGGACATGTGGTGTATTGGCTCAAGCGATAAAGGTTTGTGATATTAGGCACCCTGGGGGCAGCATAGAAGGTAGCTTTGTTTGCATTTGGGAACACTTCCCTGATATCACAATCTAGTGTGGAGATATGGTGAATACCAGCACAGTTCCACTTAAATGCTCTGTATATACATGTTAGTAGAAAATTGCTTTTGTTACTCTTCTGACATTTATAGAAGCTGGTTTGTTCAGCCTTTGTTCTGTTTCATTTGATCCTCCTATCATCCAGAGGAAAGAAATTGCTTTGTAATACTCCTAATAAATGATTAACAGGAGTGTTAGGCTGTACAGATTAGAGTATTTTCCTCAGCTTCTGAAACAGTCAAGTAAATTTAAATCATTTTTACATAATTCAGCTTCAAGATTAGCTGGCCAGTGCTGTAATAATTACTTGAGTATACTAAAAGGAGTTTACTGAGGTTGCAATTCCATGCTCCTAAAACTTAAGAAATGTAAGACTGCACCTTGTCATAGAATCATATTTGTATTATGGCAGAGGCTTTAATTATCTAAAAAGATACTTTTTTTTTTTTTTTTTGAAGAACACTGTCTCATTCAGCGCCCTGAATACTCTGCATTCTTTAATTCAACATTTTGTTTTCTAACTGTATTCAGGTTTTGGCCATGCTTCACTTATTTCTTACCAGTTAAGCCTGTTCTAAATGTAATAATAATTTAATCATAGTGTGACACCTGAATTTTTCACAGACATAGTTCTTCCACTCACTGCTTGGAGAAGAGAGAATAGTGTTAGCTTGATTTTATAACAGGTGAGATGAAACACCGAGAAGTGTGCCTGCAGATCACATGCAGCAGTTAAACATTGGGCACTCAGCAACACACAGGTTAAAAGCTGTCTGTAAAAAATTCCTTTATGTGTCTTCCATAGCATCCCACTGAAACTGCAGAAAGACATGGACAGAATCCAACTCTTTTCCATTTTTGCAGAAAGCCTCAAGCTTTTTTGACTGCTTTCTGCATAGGGCAGACATTTAATACGATTTCATTCCAAAAGGTGAAGTTTCATCCCTGAGATTCTTGCTTATCTGGAAGAGGATTTGTAAGAGTCGGATCAGTTTTGCACCATCTGACTAATAAACAGAAGTTAACCTTAAGATACCGTTTCTTTTCACTTTGTCACTTTTGTCCATGAGTCCACCTAGGAGAATGAAGTCAGATCAGAGCTGCTGAGCAGTGAGATTTCAGTTCATGGGGAACAGGGCACCCCAGCAGTGCACTCTCCTAGCTAGAGCTCAAAGGTCTCTTGGCAGTGTTGTGTTGTCTCCCGCCGTCAGCTCTGCCAGGGAATTTTATTTGCAGATCCCACCCTTGACAGCTTTCTTCTACCTTCTTTGCATACAGCTGGACTCTATCCTGGATAGGAGCTGAGCATCCCCTGACCAACTGGAGCTGCTCCCTCTTGTTGTGCAGTGTTGGATGGCTCAGGTGCTGGTGGAGGAGCTAGATCTAACTGGTAGCGAGAGCACTGCTTTCTTGGTAGTCAGCAGTGCTTTGCTCTAACCTACTTTGTTTTACTTTGGGCTACAGCACATCTGGCAGCAATGGAAGGACATCTGTACTGCTTTAAGTTCTTGGTCAGTAAAATGGCCAGTGTCATGGACATGCTGAAAGCCAGGAATGACCATGGAGAGACTCCAAGGGACTTGGCTGAGCGCTTCTATAAAGATAATATTCTGCAATATATTAACAGTATGGAAAAAGAGGAGGAGCATCCAGAGACACAGGAAGGTGAGTGTGGATCGAACACTAAAATGTTGTTAAAATTTATACTGTTAAAATAGGTGTCATTTCATAAAACACTTGATTCTGAAAACTTACACGAGAATTGCAACCTTCATATCATCAATGTAAGGAACAGCTACTGCTTTCAATAGTTACTGCACTTACTGATAGCTACAGTCTGGGATTCTCAATGTGATTTTATAAATATCTTAGATTTATAATAATCAAAATAAAACTTGTCGCACTGTTGCGCTATGAATACCAAGTTATGCACGTTCTTAGACTCCAGCAGAAATCCAGAATAGCTGTATAATTTTCATGAATTTTCAGATTTGCCTGCTCGGAATTCTTTACTTATACTGAATAACAGTTCAGCCTGGAAATGTTCTACTAAAATTAAGGTTACTTGTTAACCAGCAGTACTACTGCAGTCAGAACTGCCAAAAGATGCAAGTGTGGCAAGCTTCATAAGGACAACATTCCACAGAGCACAGATATAAGAACTGCTCCTTCACCTTTCTACTTTTTCCAGGCACTTATTTTCCTTATCCGCTAGTCTTTTGTCATTATACTTATATATATATATATATATATTTTTTTTTCAATACTCTCTCTCTCTCTCTAAATATAACTGGAAAAATCCAACTTTCTTTATGAGTAGTTTTTTTTACCAAGAAATAAACTAGTTTATATATTTGGTTAGACTGTGGAATTCAAAATAGGCATATGACTCCAGTTACCACCAGTAATAGAACAGTAACTGTGAAACAAAGGTATTCCAGGTCTTTGAAATTCATCTCCAAGCTGTATAAGATGCCTGTAGCCATAACCGAGACATGTTTAGTCAAGTCTGTGATGAACAGTGCTAGTAATGCAGCTGTGTTTTAACTGATTAAAGATGCGTTAACCTGCCTATGAAATTTCCATGAATAAGTTGTTACGAGAGAAGCAAGCTGTATGAGACAAATATGAACATGTTTAGAGGAATTACTGGTATCTGTTTGGAAACACGTGTTTCGTTTTCAGTTTTAGCTTTCCCAGCCCATAGCGCTGCTTTCAAAGGGGACATTTTGGTACTTAGAAGATTAGTGAAAACTGGAGTAGTCAATATTAACGAGCGGGATGATAAGGGATCCACTCTCATGCACAAAGGTCAGTAATTATGATTTGTGTTTCAGCTTGTTACCGTTCGTTGCTGGCTTGTTTACTTAGTTTTTCAAGTGGCTGCTCATCAGATAAACTTAATGAAAAACAGTGTCTCATTTCCTGAGGGCTTGAAAGGGCAGCCTGAAAAACATATTTTGTGATGCATGTATGTGTAGGTGTCACTTTTAAAACAAGCTGAAGTCAATACAGAAAATTTATACATGTATGAAAAAGAAAGCAGCATCTAAACTGAAATTTATTATTTTTTTAATCAGGTGAGATGTCAGTTTTAGAAACATGGGCTAGTCGTTCATAACAGTGATCTGTGTTATGGTCTGGGCCATTATTTGGTGAACATATTGCTACCATGGAGATATGTTATAAAAAACACAACAAAGTAATTTGTTATACGCTGTGGAGGAAGCTTAACTTCTTGTATCTAACACCTTGATTTGCAGTGGAGTGCTAGCACTACAGAAGAACGGTCCTCTTGTGTCTGGGGTTTTCTTAGTAATGCCTGAAAGATGAATCACAGAGTTGTAGGGGTTGGAAGGGACCTCAAGAGATCAGTGGGCCCAACCCCCCTGCCAAAGCAGGTTCCCTAGAGCAGGCTGCCCAGATAGGCATCCAGACGGGACTTTAATATCTCCAGAGAAGGAGACTCCACAACCTCCCTGGGAAGCCTGTTTCAGTGCTCCGTCACCCTCACCGTGAAGAAGTCCTTTCACATGTTAGTGCGGAACTTCCTGGGCTCCATTTGTGGCCATTGCCCCTTGTCCTGTCCCCAAAAAACACTGAAAAGAGGATGGCCAAATCCCTCTGTCTCCCACACCTCAGGTATTTATACACATTGATAAGATCCCCTCTCAGTCTTGTCTTCTCAAGGCTGAACAGACCCAGGTCTCTCAGCCTTTCTTCATAGGATGCTCCAGGCCCCATATCATCTTTGTGGCCCTCCACTGGACTCTTTCCAGGTGATCCCTGCCTTTTTTGTACCGGGGAGCCCAGAACTGGACCCAGTACTCCAGGTGAGGCCTGACCAGGGCAGAGTAGAGGGGGAGGATCACCTCCCTTGACCTGCTGGCCACGCTCCTTTTATGAATGCCAGGATCCCATTGGCCTCCTTGGCCACCAGAGCACATTTCTGGCTCATGGTCAACCTGTCCCATGAAATGGGAGAGAAAAATAGTGGGAAGTATTCTTGTAATACGCTTTTAACACTATTTTCTACAATTCTTTTTGATTAGATAACAATAGATTTTTTAAAAAGATAACTGAAGTTCCCGTTATAAAAAAATATATGAAGGGATTTTAAAAGTGTTTTCTACATTCCTTCCTACTCCTTTTCGTGGAATGTTGCTACTTGTTTCGTCCAGTCTTTACATGCAGTGTTGATGAAATGTTGAGGGAAAATTTATGGCTGATTGTCTTTGCATTTCCTTATTTTTTATATATGAAAACAAACATGACACTTATCCAAATGGGTTGCTGTGACAGACAGAATTATTCTTCCCTGAGAAAAGGGCTGGCTGTTTTCAGCCAGATATGCCAAATACCATCCTGTGAGACATCGTTCCTGGGGACCACACGGCATGGGCAGTAGCTGTGCTAGATCACACAACTAGGCAAAGCTGTTGCGTTGGGCTGCAGCTGAGAGGCATTGCCTTAAGGGTGTGGCCCAAAAAGTGTGCCTGTAGCTCCAGCACAAAGCTCCTGTTTCTCTTGTTCTGTGTGAGCCAGCACTGTATGCCATGGATTGGTCCAATCGACCCTGTGTGAGGTGTGGGAGCCCAGAGCCAGGAAAAGATGACAGCACTTTGCTGCAAATGGGTGAGATGCAGACCTCAAAGCAAGAGCATGCGAGGCAGCAGGTATTTGTGTGTCTTGTGCTCAATGCCTGAGACTGAGCAAGTTTAGTTTAGCTCCTCTCCAGCAAGAGTTGCAAGTAAATTTCCAGGACTAGGGGCAGGCACAAAAACACATTGCAGAGTCTTCCCTAAAAATGGGCATGCCCATATGACTTGATCATCTAGAAACGCAGGCTTCTCTGAAACAGCATCTCACCTGTGGGGTCTTAATCAACCCACCCTCTGGCACATTGAACTGTGTCAAGAGGGGGATGTATGAGGTTTGAAACACTTCAGCTGAATACAACTGACTTGTGTGCACCTTCCTTTCCCCAGCTGCTGAACAGGGGCACGTCCATTGCTTACAGTGGTTACTTGAAAGGGGAGCTGACTGTTACATTACAGATGATGCTGGAGAGACTCCAAAGGATGTGGCCAAGAGGTAGCAATACATATCATGTAGCGCAGTCATTTATTTGCTTACTATTTATATATCAATCTCAAGTCAGCTTAGTTGTAATTACTTCTGATTATCAGTGACGGAGGGAGGAAAAGGTCAAGTCCGTGAATTCCAGTTCTGAGTAACAAGCAAAGCAGTACTGTAGCTGTAAAAGGATTTATGTCTACCTTGTTTTTTCTGAACATGGCAAGACATAAAAGATGAAAAGTAACTGATTTGCAAAAGGAAGGTCGTAAGCCTGTATGCTCCAACTGCACGAAGTAAATGAGAACTAGAGAAAGCTGTCTGATTTTTTGCATTAATAAAAATAATGCAGTTGCTGATGAGATTCAGTTAAGGAATCCTACACAGGAAAAGATCTCTCTGATGTGGGAGTCATTGCCATAGGATTTCAGTGAGGCAGAGCTCATGCTGGGAGAATACTGCAGAAAGCAGATCAGCTGCTCGTAGTTTGTGTACCAATGCTTCCTGTAACCCTGAAACTCCCTCTTGTAAATGGGAACATGAGAGTTTCAGAGAGTTTCCATCATATGTGGGGAGCATGGCTATGCTTTTACAGATTACGGGGATGTATCAGTGTAGGTTAACTGTTCTCTCTGCAGATTTGCCCAGCTGGCAGCTGTAGAACTTTTGACACAAAGAACTGGAGACAGTAACTCCAGTGATGAAGAACTAGATGCAAACAATGCAAAATTTTTTGAAAGACATGGTGTGGAAGGGAGTACGGATAGCAAAGAAGATTTAATCCTGAGCAAAGCAGAGAAAAGGAACGCACGCAGTAAGCATTTTCATCACTCCTTATTCAAAAAGGTAGTCTCGAGACATTCTGTTCCTACTTGCACAGTTTCTGCTAACTGATGCGACTTTGTTGTAGGATGAGTTTGGTGACAGGGTATCTGTACTGATGAGTATTCAAACAAATAGTGGAAAATTAGGAAGCATAGTGCAGGACAGTCAGAACGTATCTGTTCCAGTGTTTTAATCTGTGTTGGTGAAACTGCATTGGATTGCTCCTTGTTTCTGGGAGCTGTCTGTTGTGTGGGTGTCAGATACATCTCAGTATCTGCTGAGCAGTGTGATTTCTGCCTTTGTGAGACTTTTCCAGACTATTGGATTTCAGCATGACTGTCTTCAGTTCTCTCTGTGCATTTTACCTACCTGGAGGTCTCTGTCTTACAGTAAGGGCCTATCGCAAGATTCAAGAACTTCAGCATCTTCTAGAAATTGCCTACGGCAACTACAGACAACTGGGAGGAATAACGGAGGAGGAGAAGAAGATGAAAAAAGAACAAAGGGATGTTGAGAAGTAAGGTTAACTTCCTCTGGTAATGTTTAACTCAGCAAGGCCCATTTTAAAGCCTTCTTTAAGGCTACCTTACACTCAAATTGCTTTGGCCATTTTGTCTTTTCCACTTACCAACTTTAGCCAGGCCAAAAAGAAAAGGACTTCAGTGATTTTCCTGGCCATTTCTGGACTTCTGTGACCAGGATCAGCCTTACAGTACAACACAAATTATTATGTGTATGTACTTCTTTTACTTGTGCAGGGCTACCTGTTCTGCCTTCAGGTTTTCCTGCAGTGTATGTGCAGTAGTCTCTACATAAATCCTGACTATGCTTTTTTTTTTTCTTTTTTTTTTTCCAAGGATGCTGAATACATGTATGCACTTTAATAAGTCTGAATAGAAGCATTAGTCTTAGCATGGCTTGCATGGAAGTGCATATACAGGAGGAGTTATTTAATGACCTGTTATATTTCTTTGTCAAGAGCAGTGTATTTCTGTGCTCATGAAGACATTAGGTCATTTTCAGACCACAAAAATAGAAATCTCAGCAAACCTCCCTTTGCATGTGAAGCACTTTACATAGTTTCTGCCTAATTCTCAGGGTCTCCATTAAATAAAAGGTTTCTGTTAGATGAGTTAGATGTTTAGATGGGCAGACTGTCTAAGTTTTAAAGAAATGCCTCTATTTCTCTTAAAGATTCAGACCTCAAACAAGAAAGCAACATCCTGTCCCTATTCTATCTGTCAAACATTTGGTTGCATTTTGTTCTTAATTCTTGTAGACAAGCATGTCCATGTCCACGTTTGGGCCACTGCAAACCAAACGTGTTACTAGAGCAACATGTTTGCAGCACTGGAAAAGTCACTGTTGGCTAACAGCAGAAATGAGAGCTCATTTTGGATACAGCAGCTACTGAAAAGCTGGCAGTGCCTGTTAGAGGGCTCTTGTAAGGGATTTTGCTTTCCATGGCATGTGGGGCTAAACTAGTAAAACAGTAATTGTGAGGGTCTCTGAGGGATGTCATCTGTGGAGGCTAGAGAGCATCCCTAGATCCTGTCTGGCCTTTTGAAACCGAAATACTGCTCCTCAGGATACTGACAGACACCTGTGTATAAACCCCAAGATGCTTGTGTCATATGCTAGAAAACCTCATTATTTAAAAATATTTATCAGCAGCATCATTTTACTAGATGAAAAGCAGGAATTGCCACTTGGGAAGGTTGCTCTTTCAGATTTTGCTGTTAGAGGCCTGGTGGGAGCTGCTGTGCAGGGCCAGGCTGCATAGCATGGAAACAAATGCCACCGCATGTGTGCCACACTGTGCTGGAGCTGTGCCCCACAAATCCGGAGTGTGCAAGAAGTCACCTTGTTCCCCCAGGCACTGAGTTCCCTGCAAAAGCACAGGTCATTCTTTTAGTGTCAGTAAGGCTGACACAGGCCGGTCGCTTTGGACTGTGAGTCAGGAATGTTTTGGTCTGGGCAATGCAGTAGCTCTTCTGTCAGCTTTTTTTCCTGCCCTGCTATTTGAATCCACATGGCAGACATCTCCCTTTTCCTTTTACCAGTATTCTGTCTTTGTAGCTGTGCTAACTCATGCTACAGATGAGAGCCAGCTCAACTCCACATGACTCAGCTGTTGAGGTCAATTGTTGTTATAAGAATATATCTCAATTATGTCTCAGCTAACCAGTTCCAGGAATCTCAGTTAATTTAGTAGCCACTGTGGGGGTGACTGATGAGAACTTGTGCAACTGTTTATCAGCCAGTGCTTCCGCTTTCCTTTAGTCGGTGCCATGCAGGCTGTCATTTGATCATTCCTCATCTGTGGTTAACCCAATCACTTTAGGAAGGATGTGGAGGAACCAGCCATAAATGAAGAAACTGCCCCTGGCCTGTCCAGAAAACCAGTTTTATGCCTGTTCTCTGTTTCCTGCCAACTCTTCTACCTCTTGGGTATTTCTCCCTCTTCAGAAGCTGGAGAAAGACCTGGGTTGCAGCCTGCTCAAAACCCTGGGGCTGGCTCAATGTGTGGGAAGACGTCGCCATCTCGCGGTGGAGATGGTCATGCGCTGAGCACAGCTGATTTGTGGAGAAAGAAAAACAGTAGATTCTGAAGCTTTTGCAAAGGGTCTTAAGCCAGGAGCACACTGGAACTGCAGTTTTCTGCTGTGACTAACCTGCTCCTGAAAAAAAAAAACAACACGTGGAGTAGCCAGGACATGCTTGGATGTGCTTTATGCTCCGTTTGTCTCCTTTGCTTTTGGCAGGGCTGTGAAGGAGCTGGAGGCTCAGCTGGAATTCGAGCGAGTCAGGCGGGAGAAGCTGGAGAGCCAGCTGGATGACTACCGTGCTGAGATAAGCCACCTGAGAGAGAGACTGGAGGAAACCTGCAAGCCACCTGCAGCCCTGGTGCGTGCCACCCGAACGGCCCCTTTCCTAGAGTGTGGGACAGAGACTTGTCCCACTGCTTGTGCACATCCATTCTTGCTAAGATTCCACAGCATGGTGCTAGGAAATACCAGAGTAAATGTGTCAGCAGCTTTCAGCTTGGGACACTGAGGGAAGCAGCAGCCTTTGCTGCATCCTGACAGTGTCTCTGCTCTGAAAAGATAGCAGTTTCTCCTTGTGCCCTGGCAGAGAAGCATCTGTATTCTTTCAGGATAGCTCTTCTCCTTGTCATTAGGTTTGTTTTCCTTCCTTTTACTCCAGACTGGCAAGTGAATGGGCAGAGTGCTGTACTGCTGTGTGCAATGACTGATTTCAGCAAGTGGTCTCGTGTCATCTTAATTATCAAGTCCACTGACAGCAAAGCAGATACTGGCATGAACGATTGGTTGACTTAGCAGGCAAAGACAGAAAACGTATAGACACATTTTTCATCACATCTGAGGACAGATCAGAAGTTCACATGCTAAGTTGGGGACAGGAGAGCTGGCTTTTCAGGTCTCCCTCTGCCACATATAATCTCCCACAAGACAATGTGATAAGTCAATGTCCTGTTTCTCAGATCTTTGCCATACAGTCCAGCCTTTGGTGAGGCACCTGGGCTCCTGCTGCTACGGCAGGTGGGAAGCGGTGTGCAGTGACACTGCTGGGTTGTCCAAAGATAGAGCCAGTGTGAAAGGTGCACGGCCTGGCTGTTCAATGCTGTTCTTGGACCTTTGTTTACTGGCTGTTTTGGCCATTGCACTGCCTTGGCCATGCAACTGGTTGCTGGTCCTGCTATAACCAGTCTAAAAGTCAGCTGAGGAGTCACTGACAACATGGGGCACTTGGATTTAGGGCCTTCCTCTGCCAAAGAGGGGCCTGAAGATGCGTCCCCAGGGGCTGCTTCAGCCAGCACAGTGTCAGCTCTACTGAGATGGTGCCATAGTCACCCCCCCTGCTTATGGTTGTGTGGCCACTGTAACTCAATATTCACAGATCCGGAGGGAGGGAGGGAGGGAAAACAGGTGTACAGGCTGTTGGGGCAGTCATATGGGATGGGGAAGCTGGTCTGTGCTTCACATGGAACATTTACTTATTTCTTGGAGGAGAAATTGGGTTGCTGGATAAGCACTGATATCTTCAGCCAGGTTTGAATGACAGCCTGGTATTTGGAGCATCTCTACTGGGCAAGGGTCCTTTTCCAAGCGTGATGGGAAAAAATGCTTAGTGAGTGCATTGGGCAGGAAACAGGCAGCTAGAGCTCAGTTTTCCTACTGTTTAAGCCACGTGTGGGTTAGCCTTCGCTTGAGTAGTTAAATGTGGACTGTGGGACCCTTTGGCTGTACCAAGTCTCCTACTGGATGGCCAGTACAAATGGTGCTTTTGCAGATACCATCCTTCCAGCATGGCCTGCTTACCATCTGCTGAGTCAAATGGCTTTAAAGGACACTGAGACATTTCTAAGAAATTATGAATAGCTTCCAAAAATACCTTTTGTTGTTGTTGTTGTTGTTGTGTTGTTGTGTTGTTGTTGTTGCTTTGAGGGCTTCTGAGCCACAGAGCAGTCAGGGAATTGCTGTTGTTTTCTTGCAGCTTTCCCTTGGAACTTGCATTACACAGCTTGTTCCATCTCTGTCTACCCCATTCCATGGTTTCTTCCTCCTGCCCTCCCTTGCAGGACTGTTTCTGCACCCCTCCTGCGTACAGTTTCCCCTCTCTGTTACCTGTCCCTGTTTTCCTTGCCACCACATACACACTGTGAAGCTCCCACAGCTGTTTGCTTTCTGTTAAGTCCTCAGAGCTGAGCTCTTCCCTGCTGCTGCCACCCTCTGGCTGGCCAAGTGCTTTCTCCTTTTGAAAAAAAAAAAAAAAAAAGTCACTTTCTGCTTCCACAGCACACTGTAGGATGTTACCCATTCTACTCACCTGGCAGGTTTAAAAATCTGAGATAACTACGACATAGTGCCCTCATTCCTGCGGTGGAGGAGTGGCTGTACGTAGTTTGCTACCAGTAGCAGTCTGGGAAAGCCCCACTGGCCGTTAATGGTGATCAATCAGATTGACACGTGATTACGTGTCAATAGCTGAGGCAGGAGGCAACTTCTACTGAGGCAGATTTTCAAAAACTGCTGTGACTGCTGTAACCAAGGGACCTTCACATTTTGCCTTGCTGTGACTGCTATCTCATGCCCTGCCACTATATTCTACCCCGGCTTCAGCACAAATACAGTATTCTGTGGTTATTAAAGCCATGGATTTCTAAAGCCTGTCTTGGGAGGTAGCAAGTTTCAGTGATGGCTGTTTAATGGCTGTAGCATCCTTTGTTTCAGAAAACTGAAACTATCTCCAATCCTCACAAAGAGAAAAAGAAAGTAAAGAAGAAACCAGCCTGCAACTCTGGCAGAGTGTTTGTTTGTGAGACCGCGCTGAGGACTGAACATCAGACAAGGGGCTGGAAGACCTGAGGAGGTAGTGGCAATATTTTACACCGTGCAAAGTATTTGCGAAGCCCAGTTCCACAGATGTGCTGTGGTTCACTGAATTTCATTGAACTACTCTCCTAGTTTTCTGGCATAGAATATACTGTTAGATCACTGCAGCAGCATAAAAAACAAACCAAAACAACAAAAATAAAAAAATAAAATAATAAAAAAACCCCACACTGTCAGACTTCTGTTCCTGTCCAGGTAGTAGTTAAGAGTTTTACAAACTGTAGCATTTGAGAGAAAACTGCAGCCATGTCATGGGACCTCAGTCAGACGCAGCAGCCATGTCATGAGAGAAAACTGCAGCCATGTCATGGGACCTCAGTCAGACGCAGCAACATGGTCCTGAAGCAGTGTCTGGTACGAGTACTTGCTGAACTGCGGGGACAGGTGCCAGGCCCCTCACTTTCCACCTTCAAGCCATTCCTAAATAAGCCCTGAAGCTATTCCTTTGTGAGGTGCCAGATAAACTGCAGCGGTGGGCCCCTGACTCTAAATCAAGGCTGAGGATGCCACTAGGTCACAGGGCATGTTGTGGTTAGAAATAGCAATCCTGACATCCCTGCCTAAAAAAACATTTAATGGCTTTACATATAATACAGATTTTTTTCTCTTATCTGCATGCTATTGTGAAGTTATTTTCCTTTGGAGCTCCCACCATGCATTAACATTTTGGCTGTCTCTGTTCCAATAAATCTTTGTATGATAGACGGTAATTTGCTAGTGCCTCGCCATTTGCCGAGGCGATCGGCTCCGGGGCAGACGCGTTCTGCAGCGGAGCGGGGGATCGGGCCAGGCAGGGCTCATTTTCCGGCATCGAGCCGACTTCAGGGAGCCGCCAGGAGCCGGCAGCCCTCGTGAGGGAGGCTGACGAGGCGAAGGCGGAGCCAGCAGCGACCCCTCCCCGGCCGTTCAAAAGCAGCCCCTAGGGAGCGCGGCGAACAGGGCGGGCAAACAGGGCGTGGCGCGTCAGAGGGGAGTGGCAGGGCGGAGAGCAACCCCCTGCCCACACGAACACCTCTTCACGACGATCGGGGGGGGAGGCGCTTTTGGTTTCTTTGCTTTGTTTCTCACTTCTCTAGCTTGTTAGTAATGAGCAATAAATCTTACTATCTATCTTCTTATGCTGAGTCTGGTTTGCCCGTTACACTAATTATTGCGTGATTTTCTCGTCCTTATCTCAATCCTTGAGCCCCTTTCACATATTTTCTCCCCATTCCTCTTTGAGGAGGGGGAGTGAGAGAGCGGCTGTGGTGGAGCTCGGCTGCCCACTCGAGCAGGAACCACGACACAGACAAAATCTGTCCAGGTGCTTGCTTCCTTGCAGCTGTTGCCTCAGGAGAGGAACACTAGCTTTGCTTCTTCTCTCCTGCTGTTAGCACTGTAGAGCCCACCCTACTGAGAGACACAGGTGCTACTGGCATTCCTGTATTTCACAAAAATTAAGGTAGTGTAACTGCAAACAGTGGTGTTGCAACTAGCAGGAAAGCATTTACTAAACTTGATTCAAGACCTTGTGCTGTAGGGTTCCTTCTTCTCCCTAGCCTTAGCTGTACAATCCTGCTGCTGCCTCTAGGGAACTGTAGTGCGCATCTGCCTCTTCTGTAGCTGGTTCTCTCACTGTCCCAGCAGCAAAGCCTGCCTTTGTTTGTTTTGTTTCTTCCCCTTGAATTAGTTTGACTCACCTGAACTGAGTCAGAGGCCTAGAGAAGGCCAGAGCCAGCACAAACATGGTGCAAGCACCAAGCTGGACTTGGATCTCTCTCTTTTGGCAGTACTGAACTGTTGGATTCGTTTAATCCTTCTCACGGAACTAAACTTGGGAGCAGAATTTGGGCTGCAGAGAAAACATTATTGGTGAAAACACGCAGAAAAAGAGAGCAGCAGGGCTGCATCCTCCTAGGATCAGCTGGCCTGTAGATTAACCCACTGACACTGAAATTACTGAACACGGCAACCCCAGGACAACACTCGTGGAGTTGCTTTTAAGAGGAAAGATGCTGTTTGTTTTGTTTAGTTTGTTGTCGAAGAGCTGCCTCTTTTCTCTGCAACTGCAGAAAGATATTTTTTCTTCTTAAGGAATACTTAAAACTGGGTCCTCTGGAGTCAAAGCTAATGGGTGTGATTGGAAGAGCCATGCCTATTCACAAGGAGCCAGAAGAAATGCCAGGCAGGAGCCCCACGGAAGGTGGCTCTACGGCTAAATCCAACAGGCACATCACAGCTGAGATGATCAAAGCCTTGACTAAGGAACAGGTTGGTTAAAAAAAAAAAGAGAAGCTGTGCTGTTAACAGACATGTAACACTCTCGGTTCATTAAATATTTGCTCTGTCGTTCAAAGAGTGTGTGGACTTTGTGGTTACTATTTTTGAGTGTCTGAATCATCCCCACATAGAAGTTTAATTAGGGACATGCCCAGATGGCGAACTGAATGGCTGTTTTCCTTCGACTTGGAGGTATCGCTGGGGCATATCTTGGGCTTCTCAGTCCAAACAACTGCACGTGTGGCTAAGAAGTTCTTATGAGTTCTTGGCCATTTGCCGAGGCGATCGGCTCCGGGGCAGACGCGTTCTGCAGCGGAGCGGGGGATCGGGCCAGGCAGGGCTCATTTTCCGGCATCGAGCCGACTTCAGGGAGCCGCCAGGAGCCGGCAGCCCTCGTGAGGGAGGCTGACGAGGCGAAGGCGGAGCCAGCAGCGACCCCTCCCCGGCCGTTCAAAAGCAGCCCCTAGGGAGCGCGGCGAACAGGGCGGGCAAACAGGGCGTGGCGCGGCAGAGGGGAGTGGCGCGGCAGTTCGCGCAGGCAGGGCGAGCAGGAAGGGAGGAGAGCAACCCCCTGCCCACACGAACACCTCTTAACGACAGCCGTTAGCTAGGTGATAATGGTCTCCACCAGGCACGGTGTGCTCTGCAGGAGGTCGGTACACACCCAGACCGACTGCCCGTTAAAGAATGCAGCGGTTCAGGTCACCGGCAGGATGTCAGAGCCTGCTGCTGCCATCGGCGGGAGGCAGAGACGCTGCGTGCGTCAGGTGCGAGCAGGTGGATGACCTGATCCGCATGGTGGCGGAGCTCAAGGAGGAGGTGGAGAGGCTGAGGGCCATCAGGGAGTGTGAGCGGGAGATAGACTGGTGGAGTAACTCCCTGCAGGGCCTCAAGGAGAGGTACCGGGGTGAGACACCCCAAATGGGGGTGGACCCCCTGCCCTGTCGCCGCTGACGGAGCCAACTAGGAAAGGTGCCCTCCTAGACCTGTTGCTAGAAAACAGAGAGGGTCTGGTGGGAGATGTGGTGATTGGTGGCCGCCTCGGTCATAGCGACCATGAAGTGGTTGAGTTCAAAATTTACGGTGACAGAAGGAAAAGTGCCACCAAAACCTCATCCCTAGATATGGGGAAAGCGGACTTCAGGCTGCTCAGGGAACTAGTCAGCAAGGTCCCCTGGGAAGCTGCTCTTGAAGGCCTCGATGTCCACCAGTGCTGGTCATTCTTTAAGCGATGCCTCCTAGAAGCACAAGATCAGGCAATTCCTAAATATCGCAAGTCAGGCAGGCGGGGCAGGAGGCCGGCGTGGCTGACCAGGAACATTCTGATGGAGATTAGGCAGAAACAGAGAGTGTTTCGCTACTGGAAGGAGGGCCAGGTGTCCTGGAAAGAATACAGGGATGCTGTTCGTGTTTGTAGGAAGAAAATTGGTGTGGCTAAAGCACACCTAGAGTTGAAGCTGGCTGTGTCTGTGAGAGAAAATAAAAAGGGTTTTTTTAGATATGTGAATGGAAAAAGGAGAACTAAAGAATACATAGGGCCGCTCCTTGATAGGGAAGGTCTCCTCACAGACGATGACATAGGCAAAGCAGAGACGCTTAACTGCCTTCTTTGCCTCTGTCTTCAATGCCGATGATGGGCTTCGGGACCCAGGGTGCCCTGAGCTGGAGGACCGGGACGGTGGGGATGACAAACTCCCAACCGACCCTGAACGTGTGCGGGATTTGCTACTCCGCCTGGATCCCTACAAGTCCATGGGTCCGGATGGGATTCATCCCCGGGTGCTGAAAGAGCTGGTGGACGTCATCGCGGAACCTCTCTCAATTATTTTTCAACGATCCTGGGAATCTGGAGAGGTCCCGGTAGACTGGAAGCTGGCAAATGTTGTGCCGATTTTCAAGAAGGGTCAGAAAGAAGACCCTAGCAATTACAGGCCTGTCAGTCTCACGTCAGTGCCTGGTAAAATCATGGAGAAGATGGTTCTTGAACTTATTGAGGCGTACCTGGGGGACAAAGCAGTCATTGGTCCCAGCCAGCATGGGTTTGTGAAGGGTAGGTCCTGCCTAACTAACCTGATTTCCTTTTATGATAAGATCACCCGTATGGTGGACCAAGGGAAACCAGCTGATGTGATTTTTTTGGACTTCAGCAAGGTTTTTAACACGGTTTCCCATAGGATCCTACTGGACAAAATGTCCACCATACAGCTAAATAAAAACATCATACGATGGGTGAGCAATTGGCTAACGGGCAGGGCCCAAAGGGTTATGGTGAATGGGGCTGCGTCAGGCTGGCGGGCGGTCAGCTAGTGGGGTCCCTCAAGGCTCCATTTTAGGGCCGATACTTTTCAATATTTTTATAAATGATCTAGGATATAGGAATAGAAGGTATTTTGAGCAAGTTTGCTGATGACACCAAACTTGGAGGAGTTGTGGACTCTGTTGAGGGTGGAAAGGCCTTGCAGAGGGATCTGGATAGGTTGGAGAGCTGGGCGATCACCAACCGCATGAAGTTCAATAAGAGCAAGTGCCGGGTCCTGCACCTGGGACGGGGAAACCCTGGCTGCACGTACAGACTGGGCTGATGAGACGCTGGAGAGCAGCCTAGAAGAGAGGGATCTGGGGGTCGTGGTAGACAGCAAGCTGAATATGAGCCAGCAGTGTGCCCTGGCAGCCAGGAGGCCAACCGTGTCCTGGGGTGCATCAAGCACGGCATCGCTAGTAGGTCGAGGGAGGTGATTGTCCCGCTATACTCTGCGCTGGTGCGGCCTCACCTCGAGTACTGTGTGCAGTTCTGGGCACCACAGTATAAAAAGGACACTGAAACTGTTGGAGAGTGTCCAGAGGAGGGCTACGAAGATGGTGAAAGGCCTGGAGGGGAAGACGTACAAGGAACGGCTGAGGGCACTGGGCCTGTTCAGCCTGGAGAAGAGGAGGCTGAGGGGAGACCTCATTGCAGTCTACAACTTCCTCGTAAGGGGGTGTCGAGAGGCAGGAGACCTTTTCTCCATTAACACCAGTGACAGGACCCGCGGGAACGGGGTTAAGCTGAGGCAGGGGAAGTTTAGGCTGGACATCAGGAGGGGGTTCTTCACGGCGAGGGTGGTTGCACACTGGAACAGGCTCCCCAGGGAAGTGGTCACTGCACCGAGCCTGTCTGAATTTAAGAAGAGATTGGACTGTGCACTTAGTCACATGGTCTGAACTTTTGGGTAGACCTGTGCGGTGTCAAGAGTTGGACTTGATGATCCTTAAGGGTCCCTTCCAACTCAGGATATTCTATGATTCTATGCTCAAAACCCTGGGGCTGGCTCAATGTGTGGGAAGACGTCGCCATCTCGCGGTGGAGATGGTCATGCGCTGAGCACAGCTGATTTGTGGAGAAAGAAAAACAGTAGATTCTGAAGCTTTTGCAAAGGGTCTTTAATTAAAGCAAATTGCCTTAAGGATGTGGCCCAAAAAGTGTGCCTGTAGCTCCAGCACAAAGCTCCTGTTTCTCTTGTTCTGTGTGAGCCAGCACTGTATGCCATGGATTGGTCCAATCGACCCTGTGTGAGGTGTGGGAGCCCAGAGCCAGGAAAAGATGACAGCACTTTGCTGCAAATGGGTGAGATGCAGACCTCAAAGCAAGAGCATGCGAGGCAGCAGGTATTTGTGTGTCTTGTGCTCAATGCCTGAGACTGAGCAAGTTTAGTTTTAGCTCCTCTCCAGCAAGAGTTGCAAGTAAATTTCCAGGACTAGGGGCAGGCACAAAAACACATTGCAGAATCTTCCCTAAAAATGGGCATGCCCATATGACTTGATCATCTAGAAACGCAGGCTTCTCTGAAACAGCATCTCACCTGTGGGGTCTTAATCAACCCACCCTCTGGCACATTGAACTGTGTCAAGAGGGGGATGTATGAGGTTTGAAACACTTCAGCTGAATACAACTGACTTGTGTGCACCTTCCTTTCCCCAGCTGCTGAACAGGGGCACGTCCATTGCTTACAGTGGTTACTTGAAAGGGGAGCTGACTGTTACATTACAGATGATGCTGGAGAGACTCCAAAGGATGTGGCCAAGAGGTAGCAATACATATCATGTAGCGCAGTCATTTATTTGCTTACTATTTATATATCAATCTCAAGTCAGCTTAGTTGTAATTACTTCTGATTTTCAGTGATGGAGGGAGGAAAAGGTCAAGTCCGTGAATTCCAGTTCTGAGTAACAAGCAAAGCAGTACTGTAGCTGTAAAAGGATTTATGTTTACCTTGTTTTTTCTGAACATGGCAAGACATAAAAGATGAAAAGTAACTGATTTGCAAAAGGAAGGTCGTAAGCCTGTATGCTCCAACTGCACGAAGTAAATGAGAACTAGAGAAAGCTGTCTGATTTTTTGCATTAATAAAAATAATGCAGTTGCTGATGAGATTCAGTTAAGAAATCCTACACAGGAAAAGATCTCTCTGATGTGGGAGTCATTGCCATAGGATTTCAGTGAGGCAGAGCTCATGCTGGGAGAATACTGCAGAAAGCAGATCAGCTGCTCGTAGTTTGTGTACCAATGCTTCCTGTAACCCTGAAACTCCCTCTTGTAAATGGGAACATGAAGAGTTTCAGAGAGTTTCCATCATATGTGGGGAGCATGGCTATGCTTTTACAGATTACGGGGATGTATCAGTGTAGGTTAACTGTTCTCTCTGCAGATTTGCCCAGCTGGCAGCTGTGGAACTTTTGACACGAAGAACTGGAGACAGTAACTCCAGTGATGAAGAACTAGATGCAAACAATGCAAAATTTTTTGAAAGACATGGTGTGGAAGGGAGTACGGATAGCAAAGAAGATTTAATCCTGAACAAAGCAGAGAAAAGGAACGCACGCAGTAAGCATTTTCATCACTCCTTATTCAAAAAGGTAGTCTCGAGACATTCTGTTCCTACTTGCACAGTTTCTGCTAACTGATGCGACTTTGTTGTAGGATGAGTTTGGTGACAGGGTATCTGTACTGATGAGTATTCAAACAAATTGTGGAAAATTAGGAAGCATAGTGCAGGACAGTCAGAACGTATCTGTTCCAGTGTTTTAATCTGTGTTGGTGAAACTGCATTGGATTGCTCCTTGTTTCTGGGAGCTGTCTGTTGTGTGGGTGTCAGATACATCTCAGTATCTGCTGAGCAGTGTGATTTCTGTCTTTGTGAGACTTTTCCAGACTATTGGATTTCAGCATGACTGTCTTCAGTTCTCTCTGTGCATTTTACCTACCTGGAGGTCTCTGTCTTACAGTAAGGGCCTATCGCAAGATTCAAGAACTTCAGCATCTTCTAGAAATTGCCTACGGCAACTACAGACAACTGGGAGGAATAACGGAGGAGGAGAAGAAGATGAAAAAAGAACAAAGGGGTGTTGAGAAGTAAGGTTAACTTCCTCTGGTTAACTTCCTCTGGTAGTCTTTATTTAATTATTATAATTATTTCCCTTTAATTAAATTATCCTTATCTCAACCCGTGAGTTGTTCTTTGCTTTACTTCTCCCCCTCCTCATCTAAAGGAGGGGGAGTGAGAGAGCGGTTGTGGGGTTTAGCTGCCCAGCACGGTAAAACCACCACAAATGTTTAACTCAGCAAGGCCCATTTTAAAGCCTTCTTTAAGGCTACCTTAACAGGCTCCCCAGGGAAGTGGTCACTGCACCGAGCCTGTCTGAATTTAAGAAGAGATTGGACTGTGCACTTAGTCACATGGTCTGTACTTTTGGGTAGACCTGTGCGGTGTCAAGAGTTGGACTTGATGATCCTTAAGGGTCCCTTCCAACTCAGGATATTCTATGATTCTATAAGTGCTCTCACTGAATTCTGGAAAAATACTGATTCAATACTCCGTTTCATACCTGGGACACAACATACCTTGTTCTCCAACTCAAGTCAAAGGAGGAGCTGTGGCTAGTTCCTGGCTTCCTGCCAGCCTGAACAAACTCCTTGCAAACACTGCCTCCCTCTTTGAAAAGCTCTGAGTTAAGATGGGTCTCGGTTGTACTCCTGCCACTATTCCAGCAGCAAGGAACCAGTCACAGCCTGTGCATCACAGGGCTGCCTTTTACTGCTTCCTTAACATACCTGCCTAATACATATACCCTATATACCAATATATATAATATGTATCAATATACAGATATATATTGGTATATGGGGTATATACCAATATATAATATATATCAATATATTAATATATATTTTGATATCAAATATATTGGTATATGATATCAATACCCTATATTGATGGACTTCAGACAACTAAAAGTCTGAACTGCTCCCCAAAGGATGCCAAGACTGGCTGTAGAGATTAAGATAAATTCTAAAAAACAAAACAAAACAAACAAACAAAAAAAAACCACTAAATTTATCTTCTCTGTTTACCATTTTTGATGGCAAACATCAATACTACGTTCAGTTCCACAGACCCCTGCCAATGACCCCCTCCTCTCCCCATCACCCACCATGTACTCTTCCTGGCCTCCTGAGGCCATTGATCAGAGGCACTGTTACTTCTCCGCCTCTGTATATCCCATTTAAATTTAGTGAAAAAATGTAGAATCAGCTACTGCCAAGGTGCAGTTTTACACTGTTAATCCATGGGGACTTCTTTAAACTCTTTGTGGGTTTAAAAGTTTACTCTTTAAATACAGCCTAGTTGAATAGCCACCATAACTAAGAAATCTGAAGTATTTACAGGCTAACTGGTAGCAAATACAACCCTATAAATAGAAGATTGTTGATGCTCACAGAAAAACTTTACAAGCTTTTGTGAACAGTTTTAAAAACTTTTCCGTGCTAATCCTTCATGTTAAACATCTGACGTGGTTTGGTTAGTGTGACAACGCCTGCTCAGATTTAATGGTGTCGAGCTCTTACTTATGTAAAAGTATCAAAAAAATAACAGGCTACAGAACATTTTTTTTCAGAAGGATTTAAGCTGGAAAGTACATTACAGAGCGAACCTGCTGGAAGATGGTTGCATGAAAAGGAACAAAAAGAAGCGCTGTGCTACACCAGAGGCACCTGCTGAGATGAGAAGAGAGCAGAAAGCTGAAGTCACACCTTAAAGTGACGGAGTTTGACGTTGAGCTCTTTCTCTTTGGCCAGTAAATCCATGCTGTGCTTTTTGTAGGCATCAAACTGCAGCGAGAGCTCGCTGTACGCTTGCTTGCTGCTCTCTAGCTCCTGCTGGAGCTCCTGGAGCATCCGATCATAGTTTGCTGCTGCGCCTTTCATAAAGCGCTTCTCTGCTCGCAGCCTGGCCCTCTCCGCGCTCTCCAGCCTCCTCCCCAGCTGCACGATCTCCTGCTGCTTGTCCTGCAGGGCTTTGCCCCTCTCCATGGCCAGGTTCAGCAGCTGCGCTTTCTCCTCGTTTGCCCTCTCCAGCTTGGCCTGCAGCTCGCTGTCCTGAGCCTTCTGCTGGTTCTCTCCGTCCTCTACCCGCGCAGCGACTTGTTGGTACTCCTCCTGGAGGCACTGCAGCTGCTGCTTCAGCAAATCAACCTCCGAGGCGTGGGCGTTCGCCTGCTGGCTCTGAGCTTCCAGCAGCTCCTTTTCACGCTCCTGGGCTCTGCGACTCTCGTAAGCACATTTCGCATGTAAGGAGTCCAACTGCTGCGAGAGATTTCGGGCCTGGGCAGCGAGCTGGAACACTTCGGCTTCCTTCTCCTGGATGGTTTGGCTGAAGAGAGCCTCGTTCTCCTGCCGCAGGCACTGATTCTCCTCCCGCAGCTGTGTGTTCTGCTTCTTGTGCTCGTTCTTGAAGTAGATCATTTTCTCGTGGTTGCTGGCCAGGTCCATGAAGAGCCCCTCCAAGTGCCGGATGCGTTGGCTCTGCACCTTCAGTTTCACGGCGTCCTCCAGCCTCAGCTTCTCCAGCTCCATGTTGAGCTGCTCCAGGCCTTTGCAGCGCTTGCGTGCATCATCTGCTTTCTTCTTCAGCATGCAGATAAGGCAATGCTGTTCCTCCAGGCGCGCCCGCAGCAGAGCCTTCTCACTCTTCTCCTCTTCAGGGCCTTCGCAGAGCACCTCCAGGCCTTTTGTCAGATCTTCCTCGTCCCTGTCCAACTCTGGATCGCTTGCGGGGCTGCCCATCCCTGCTTCTCTCTCCTCCTGAGCCATGGAGCCACTGTCTGACACAAAGACGAAACATTTTATAGCCAGCAGTTCTCGTAGTGACATTCAGCAGGTTTAGAGTACCCCAAAACTGTGCGCCCAACACCACTGCACCACGCTGGGGGACTTTCTCTGCAAGTCCATCACACCACTGGCACAGCAGACGGGGACTCCCCAGACCAACAGCAGCCTGTGTGATCCCACAGACCCCAATTCAAAGTCAGGCAGACTGAAGAGAAGGGTGCCGGACTTTGCAAAAGCAAACAACTGTAGGCATAGTATTTATGCAAACCTCTTCATTTGCTGATTACTAGCCCTGGTAATTATTCCTCCTCAAAGCACTGTTGTAGCTCGAAGAAGTACTGTTATATTTAGGTAAAAAGCCAGTAAGTGATAAAGCTGTAAGTAATTCCTTAAGCAATCCTTTTCCTCTGCCTTTATTTTCTCCTACGGATGTGAATTTACATTACATCTGTATAATGCAGGTGCTATTATAGACACAAATAAAACATGGAGGATTAGAACAATCTTCTAATTAATAAGATTCTAATAGTATCTGGCCCATTAAATGTGACTGAATAGCCTTACCCTGAGCTTAGAGATTTAAGAATAAAAAAAGATCATTAAGGACTGGTAATAATTACTGAATGCACTGTGATATAAAGACGGTGCCTGGAGAAACGTTTCCGTGTTTGAGTTTTGATGCTGATTCGCTGGATTATTTTAGGCACTCAGGTTATAAGTCTGGCTCCTCATCTAAAAATAAAGGAAATAGTTGTTAGAGTAGCACCACCATTATTATCAGTGCCTTATCTCAGATACTACCCAGGCATATGAAAAGCTTGCCTAAAACTGAAGTACAGAGTTTGCGTTCAGACCCAGCCCTGAAACCACACAGCACCTGGAATAGTGTGCTGATAATCTGGGTTTTGGCTGGAGATGAGGATAGGCCAGGGGCAAAAGTCCTAGAGAAGGGACTAGAGGAAGGATGACAGACAACGTAGAGCAAAAATGAAGGCAAGACAAGGACAGATTGAGAGCTTCATGGGGGTGACCCTCAGCGGGGTGCACTGTGCTGCGCTCCCCTGCTGCTGGTGCCACTTTGGCTCCTGCCAAAACACTCGGCAATACAGGAGAGAGGGAAGGACTAAAAGATTTAGGCCATCCGGTGGAAATGCACCAAAGAGAGGGGTTTAGGGGGAGAAAGGTTTTCTCTCACCAGATGTTTGTTTTCCTCAGCCCATTTGTTGACACTCTGAGTGCGTGGTTACCGTGTCCATGGCGATGCGGGGCTCGATCGCTCACGCCAAGGCTCGTGCCCTCCTCTGGGCTGCTCGGGGCAGTCCCTAAATCATGGAAATAGCTGAGAGTGTTTCTTAGCAAACAAATGCTGCTGATGTTCCCAAAGGCATTCACGTTCAGCAAAGTGAAGAGGATTTCCTCAGGCTTGAAGTCCTGTCTCGGCTTGCACCCAGAAAAGATCACAATGGCAGAACACGCGGAAGGGGCACGGGTTAGGAGAGAAGACACAGCCCTCACCCTAAACAACCTGCAATTTTATTCAGCAAGTAAAGGGTAAGGGATACAAAGCAAACAAGACATGGAGAGAACAGTACCAGGTCTTTCAAAATGGGTAAAGTCAGAGTGAAGCAGGTCTCAACACTGGCAAAGGCTTGCAGGCTTATTTGCAGAAAGGAGATGGTAGAAAAAGAAATGGGAATTTTCTGAATATAGAGCATGAAAGCAGAGCTGGGACTCTGAAACATCTGGTTTATAGGAAGTAAAGGTGGTGTCATGTAAAACACACAGGTATACTGACATAGGTGCACGTCCTGCTGCCACCCATCCAGGCTGAAATCAATTGTAAAATGAAAAAAATAAGAATAAAGGAAAGTGTTGCATTTCTCCCAAACATTTTTCTGGGCAAGGATGAATACACATGAAGACATCCTAGGAGTATAGACGCTTTGTTGTAAAGATAACTGGAATTAAGAATCAAAGCACAGCTATTCATTTATCAAACTGCCTTTTAACAACAGCGATGTCTTAATTGTATGCCTTGTTTGGGTTATGGATAACTTTAAAACCTCTGCTTCTGACAGTAAAGATAGAGGAAGTTAGTTTCCTAACATTTTTTTTTTGTAAGCAACTGCATAAAGTTTACATTTTTCAATCTGCATTTTATCAATCTGGAACATGCAACTATAATTAGGAATTACTATGAATTTGGTGTAAAGCTCTATTTTATTACAGAAACCATGCCCAGAGGAACATCCATATTGTTTGTTTGTTTTTTAAAGTGTACATTTTGCATGACTTTTATATTTCCAATCCAAAATCCCTCCTGGTTTACATGATTAGATCCAGCCCTTACCTTAATACATCAACATAATATTCTTTAGCTGGAGGTGAATTTGTAAAGTTTCTGCTCTGTAATTATATCCTATAGCATTCATAGGGTACTTGAAGTACGTTTTCCACTGATAAAGCAGCTTGGTTTGTAATTGTTCATGGCACTGAAGTTCAACTCAGTAAGACAGCTTTGGCTTTTCTTGCATGTTAGAATAAAAGTGAAACAGTAAAAAGCATGGATGCTAAAAATCCTTAAAGATCTTTAAGTTAAAGATTCGTAGCATGATGCAGACTCCATTGAGGGCTGACAGTGATAGCAGCACAACTTTAAATAGCTAGCATTGTTAAGTGTTAATATACTTTTCAGACACTTCTGTGACCATCTCCGCTGACCTCATGTAAATTTGGAAGTCTCACATTTCTGTGGTGTCAGCTATCTTTATATATTGGCCTATGATAGTCATCATTTCCACATATACTTAAAAAAAAATATTAAAAAGTTGGGGGAGGGCAAGCAAATTTTTGTACTAGAGGGCCTGTTTCAGTCATTTGGCTCTTTTTTTTTTTTTTAATCTAAACAAGCACGTAATGCTGCTGTGACATTTGCTTGCCATCATACAAATTAAATACAGGGGCAGTGCACAGGTACATCTAATGTTCATGTTCCCATAGTTTTTGGAAATTTAAACTAAGTTTTGATCTATTTAGTGTAGTGCTAAGCAGTGTCTTTAGTGAAAATAACAAAATTCTGCCTCTGTCTGCAGGATGGTGGAGGAATAGCAAGACAGAAGATACTTCACCTGACCAAAAGACAGGAGTGATACTGTCACAAACCAACCATTCTGACAGCAGTTAAGTTTTTAACTACTGAAAGCTTGTGCAGCGTGGAACACAGAAGACTACATACACTTGCCTGCAAATCTGGAGCGTCAGCCCCACCCCTTCAGTTGAAGATCCAAAACTTTTGACACAGCACTCCTTAAGCTTCACAGGAAATAAAATTACAAATTATATATTTGTTAAATTGTAGGTCATGCTTACAGCAACCTACCTTTTAAGGTGAAAACGAAATCCTGTAGACAGTGAATACAAACAGGTGTCTCTGCCAGATGCTTACAAATCTTTTTGTATGAGTAGGGAGAGATGCACATACTTCACTTCAGAACTATCTATTTGGATTTAAATGGTGCAGCAGTGACTTTGCTTCTGTATTCTTAAATAGCCACCTCTGAGAGGGTGGTGTTTTGGAAAAGCAAAAGGGGGATCCATGCCAGCTCCCAATCTCATCCAAAACACCTGAAGCAGTAAGGGATGGAGACTGACAGCCACTTCTGGCGTTTGTAACCTCCGGACTGCCTGGCTGATAAAAGAGAACACAGGCTCCCAGCAGACTGATTAGCACCTTTTTTCCCCCACTCATGGTGTAAAATAAATACCAAGTAATGCAAGCATTTAAATTTTTATGATAAAATAAAGCAATCCAGTCGGAACTGTGAAGAGCCCTCTTTTCCTCTGTAAGCTTAGGTGCAGGACTTTACCAGCCTCTAGACCTCTGCAATTACAACAAATAAATGTACGTTTATTTTCAGAAGCATTTTCTGCCTGCATTTCATTGTATTGCATACTCACACCGAGTAGCTAACACAAAACACTGATTTTTAATAAACATAAAATTCTTAATTAGCTTTAATAAGACTGCTTTTATTTAAAAAAAGTAATACATTTTGTATTGTATGCGTTTATCTTCCTTCAGTGGTACGCATTTCCACACATGACAAATTCCATTTCACATGCTGCAAAGCTACCTAAACCCAGCCCGCCATCACCCCGTGTTCTCCTAACGGTGGCGCTGAAGAACAGATAAATTACTTTTCGCAAAAATACAAGCTCATAATAGGTATAGGTACAGAAAACGAGTACACTTTACAAAAATAAATACCCAACATTCGTCCTCCATAAAACTGGCAAGTTTAGATCCTTTGGGATAGCATTTGAATGAAAACGTTTGACCTCTGTGACTTCAGCATTTAAAAAGAACATCAATATACTAGCAAGGTAATTAACAAACATAGAAGCAAACTTTATAACCCCAGCTTTCCATAGTACATCAGAATCAACAGTCCTCTACACCTTGCAGAGTAAGACATCAACAGTACCATTTCATGTAGTGCTTCTTTCATGACAGAAGCAACTTTCAGATCATAGAAATGTGTAACTACAGACAAAGGGACTTTAAAAAAAAAATCTGCACGCTCATATTCCTAGCTGGAGATCCAATATAGCATGATGAGGATTCAGCCAGAGAAACGTGCTAATGAGCATGAACAAAATGCAACCTGTTGCTACCTTACTAATAACAACATCTCACAAACAATCCAAGTATACAGAAATAATTTGCTTGCTTTTCCTTCCCCCCCCCCGGCAATTTAGCTTTAAGGAATCAGCAACACTTCAGTTTGGCAACACAAGCATTCAAGTATCACAGCTACCTCTACCTCTGAATTCTCTAAGTATGTTCTTACTTGAATACATTTTCAGTGAATAAGAAATAAAAGCAGCCCTTCAATTTACATAATCATCTTCGGGCTGGATTTTAGTTTGGAATATGAAGTGACATTTGACAGCACAAGAACAGAAGAGCAACAGAACAGAGACTATCAAAAGAGCTGCTGTGTGCCTCTTCCAAGTTTCACCCCCACACCTTTTAATTCCATTCCCAGGTCGTCTTTTTGACACTAGCAATTCAAAAGCCACCTTATTTTGTCAGTTTTGCAACCATTAGCATCCTCAGAGGTATCGTATCTTCTACCCATGTGTTTGGCAAGTTTATCATCTTCTCCCACAGGGCACTTTCATCTGAAGTGGAATCCATCCAGTCTACTGTAGTTCCATAGCTTCTGCCTAGAAAAATGTCAGGTTTGAAGAGAAACATTAGTAACTTAACATGCTGCAGAGCTGAGAGCTGACAATCAAATCTGCCCATCTTCTTAAACTGCTTCACCTTCTCAGGTACAGGAAACCTAAGTGCATTCAAGATCCAGTTCTATATTTTTATGCTTGAACAATTCTGTCAAATACAATTAATGACAATTTTCCCCACAAATTTCATCTTTTTCCCGTTTTTTTTTTCTTGTTATTCTTTTTGTCACTGTCCCAAAGGAAAAGATGTATGTTAATCAACACCCAAGAGGGCTTAAAAATAAAATGTCCACTGATTCTATATTGAAATACGATCTCAAGTACTTAAGTTTCAGTTTGTGATTTACTATCCTCACTTGTACTTTAGGTTATTTCGTAAACCATGCAAGTCATTTTTCCTTGCTTTTGCTTTAAAGGACTCTAAACACTTCCTCTCTCCTCAGACCAGAAAGGACAATGAAAGGGACAAAGCAGAATTCCTTGTTTTCCCCCTCATTACATCTACACATCTTCTACTGCCTTTATGCAAAAACATACTTAAATTTATACTTTTTCCTATCCAAAATCTTCAAATCTTACCATGCATTCACAATCCATCCTTTTATCTCCACCCAATACTGTCTCTATTCCATATATTTAGTTTTTCCATGCATAAGTTTCTAAGACGTTATCAAGATTTTGGGTGCAGCAATAGCATACTCTCATATTGCAAACAGTGCCAGATACAGCATACAGACAGAAAGGCTTATCTCTAATGTTTCTTCTAACTTGATAATAATCCCTAACCCTCATATTACTTCTATTTACATTTTGGAATCTGTGACAATGAACAGATTATTTACTGAATCTACTCTTTGGTAGATAAATGGCTGAAAGGCTTTTCAGTTATCTTTGCAAAACGAGAATAAATAGAAAGGAAAATGGGAAAGAAAAAAAAATAAATGTAGTTTGTAAATTAAGAATTCATCTGTTAATTGTCCAGTACCTGTTCCAAGGCCTATCCTGAGACCTCCCAGAAAGTGGTTGGCAAGTTTGTTGTGATCCCAGACTGTGAGTTCTATGCAGGCTTCTTTCAAATCTTCTGGCCTAAAGCCATCATAGACCATGGTATGGTTGAATACTGGGTTTGTAGTTTTTGCCACTGTTCTTGTTTTCTGGCGACTTTTTCTGCTAGTATCTGGAAGAATGGTACTTCAGAAAGAGAAAGCATTGTCAGTTTGCACTTCGACAGCATAACCTGCATTAAACAAACTCCTCAGACAAAAAAAGATTAATGTTCCTCTGCGCGTTACGAAACAACTGAGATTAAGATGCTTTAGTATCACAGAGATGAAATCAATCTTCATGTTCTCGGTCCCTTCCAACAAATGTATCCAGGACGTATCCACCCTTGTGCTTCAAAGGATGGATCGGAAGGGGAAGTCAGGTGGGGAAGAGAGGTACGACTGAGTTTGTTTGCTGGATTACCACTAATGATGCTGAAATCTTTTAGCTACTGCCAGAGATTTCCCAGCTATCTCGCTATCCTCATCACGTATTAAATCTTTTTGTAGAAAGGAAGGAGGAAGAAATACATCTATGCTTCTCACTTCTATCTCCTCCCATGATTTACTAGGCTAAAGCACGCTCTCGCACAAGCTTGTTTTGTTTAAACACAACTTACAGCAAACAAGATCTAACTTAAATTTGTCTAGCACTTCCACCAGGTGGCTAAGCAGACAAAATGAAAGGGTGGTGATTAGCAAGGAATTCCTCCCAGTACATCTTACTTGGTAGCATATAGTTAGCATCTGTAAGTTGCAAGCCCTGCAGGACAATTTGCATTACAGTAAAGGAGAATCAGAAAGTAATTAAGCGTTTTTGTTTTTAATTTAAATATAGAAAACTGAAGGTAAGATTAGAAAACACAGCAGTTGCATTATTAAGCCACCAGGTTTAATGATTTCAACTACAGTTTTTACCACTTGATAAAAGAGTTGAGCCTGTTGCCCCTCAGAGGAGGAAGGTCATGGCATTCCTTCACCCAGATGTGGACCTCACCAGTGGACAGAGTCTTCTTTCCTGTAAAAAGAAATAAAACATCCTGGCTCTGATTAAGCCTTGTAAATCCCCTTTGAAGGTATTTTCTATGTTGCAGCAGTTCCTTTCCATTTTCAGAGGTGATATTTCGCCTAGACTCTCATTATCTCACATTTTAATTGAACATCCCTCTCTACCTTTGAAGCTGCAATCTTCAGCCCATCAAAGTACTGCCAGGCCACCTCATGCATATATTCCAACCACGATTTCTCTTCTCTTACAAGTAAACAAATGCAGGCCACTGGTCTTCTCTTTCCCAGCCTTCTAGATGAAGAGATCAGTTTGTTGTCAGTCTATGCGATGCTGGCCTTTACTACCACTTACACTTTCAAATGAGCTCCTCTGTGCTCTTAATATATTTGATTCTTATTGACTGTCTGGCTGGATTAAAGACCTCGCTTGGCTTCATTGTCAGGCCAGCCAGTTATCAGTTCTCAGACAAGAGTAAATGAACAGGTCGTAGAGCTAAGAAATACTGCTTTCTGGATACTTATTGTTATTTTGTACTTCTAATATTGCTTGAATTTAGTGTGTCGTCATTGTTTATTTAGCAAATCACAGCACCTGCCTGACAATTTCATAATTTCTAAAATTGTTAGAGGGAAAACAGAACCTTGTTCTGTATACAGACTGGATTATAAATCTGAGATTATAACAATCAGGTAATTTATTCTGTAGTAACATAAAAAGAACAGAAGATCCTAAATTGAACTTTGGATCCTCAACTGAATTAATGACCAGAATGGCCTAATCCTCTAGGAAAAAGTGTTCCGTGTTAAAACAAGATGCCTGAATTTGTTGAAAAATGTTATACAGCTGCTTACCACCAATCTCCCCCCTAAACAAAAACAAAACCCCTAAAGGCCTAGCAAATTCAAACAAAGAAGCAATGAATAAATACCTCCAGTAGGCTGTGGAACATACTTGAGGGCTAGTTTCATCTCCCCTCTGTTTTCTAGTTCTAGAGCCATTGTTGAAGTCTGAAATTTAAGAAAAAAAACAAACAAGTCTCATACACTGCAGTTCACACACTGATTTTAAGGTGCAAAGTTTTTCGCAAGAACAAACTCAACTTCTACGTGAGATTTTATATATATATGTGTGTGTATATATATATATATATATATAATAAAATCAATATAAAACCCTCAAAGCACACAAGATAGGAGTAAATAAAAAATGACTTGGTTTTGCAGTTACACAGCAGAAAACACAGAACAGCTAACCCATCCCTAGTAACTTACCCTTGGCTTGAGTGGAAACCAGTTGATCTGCTTGTTGGATTTATCATTCCAGTCCCAAGTTCCTAAATCCAGCTCTACTTCACCAAGGAAGCTATTCCTCCCAAAGGTATCGTTGTGCCAGACAGAGATATTCAGGCTTTGGTTCTTCAGGAGATCCTTCTCAATTTTATACTGCCAGGAGAGAGAAACGGGGAGGAGGAACCAATAAAAAAAAGTTAAGTTAGGTTTTCATCGATGACTGAAAGTGACACAGTAAGAAAACATGTCTGGGTTTATGCAGTCATAACTACTCATTTCATTTCAAAACAAACCTCTTTATGCTTTAATATTTATTTTAAAATGTTTAAGTTCCTAAGTAGCCTGAGTTCACTTGCAAGAATTATGTAACAATCAATGCTCTCAATGCTATATCCAGAGTAAACCACAGAGCTAACCCATCAGTGAAGGACACAGGCACTCCTATAGAGCAATCCACCTCATCTTAACACAGATGTCTCTTTTGAGATCATCCTGAAGAGTTCAAATTCCTCATACTTCATGCATGCAGTATTTCATGTCTAGTTAGTATTTGATAAATACCCGCAGTATTTCATTATAGACAGGATTAAAAGTTTTCTTTTTCACAGAGGTCTTCCGTTTGCCCAGCTTGTATTTCTCTGGAAGCAGGTAGGTCTTCACATACCTAGAATTTAAAACAGGCTGGTAAGAGGAGCAAGAAAACCCCCTTCCAACTTCTCTTCCACAATACACACACATTTACTTATGAATTAAAACAAATAGACTTAACTGAATTCTCCTTAGTCTGGGAAGTTAAAATTTAAAATAGAATTTCATACTCAAAGTCTGAGCTTCCCAGGTTAACACATGTACTGATTTATATGGCAGTTTCATGTTCAGTTCAGAGTGGAAGAACACGTAAAGCACGTTATAGCCTCCTTCAGTTATTTGGTTGTTCACCCCATCAGAAGGCAATGGTTGGAATGAAATACAGTCTTCATTTACGCATTAAAAGAGTAACTTCCACCAGAAAAAAAATATTCTGTATTTTTACTTACGGGTCTGAACGCTGTCTCTTGACATCTGCCACTGCCAAGTCTTTACACTGGCAAATAAAAATGTGGAGCTCGTTCAGCTGTTCTACATAATCAATAGCAAACTGAATGTTCCCCTTCACATCAACATTGCCAAAGTCTCCGCTATAGACGCTCATTAAGCTTCCGCTCACCTGCGTCATACAAGAGGAGAAAAACCTGCATCACACAAGGGAAGAAATTTTTTCCAGTCTTTACATTTCATCAAATACTTCCAAGATTAGGGCAGAAGTTATGCTCAGGATTCAGACAATTAAAAAAAAAATTGTGTCCCTTTAGATGCAATTATGAAATGTAACAGACAGTGTTAAACAAGCTCTTCAGCAAGCAGGTTAACAAAAAGAAAGAGCGTTATTTGTAAATCTGAAAGGCGTTAGGACAAGTTTTGAACAAAAAAAGAGATGTTTATTGCATTCAGACAGAATAAGTGAAATTACAGGATGCTATATATCTGGATATTGTGTGTGATCAGATCCTTGAAATATTACTTATATAACTCTTTAGCCAATCTTTGCAGAAAGCAGAGCCTAAAACTTTAGGACAAAAGGCTTTCTGAAAATACCAATGAAGAAATCAACAATGAAGTCTTTACGTGGCTGAGTTGGTGTAAAAATAAGACATATTAGAAAATTAAACCCTGGACAGGCAGAAATAGAAGGATGAACAGTTTTTTTTGTTTTGTTTTGTTATTTATTAATGTTTTTATTTTGATTTATTTATGTATTTATTTTAAATTTCATCATTCATCCCCAAAGTTCTCCTTTCTCTAAGGGCCACGTAAACTAATGACTTCTGGTTAGCTAGATCACTGACTTCATCATACATCCCACATACCAATACCATCTCTTTCTTTCACTTATTTCTCCTGCTACCCCTTAATCCATTCCTAAGGATTTGTTCTGTATAAATTCTCTCCTACTGTCAGCTACAACTTTCATCTCTCAGGGTAAAAGCCTGTTTGTTTAGGGTTTATCAAGTATGCTGCACAGTGGAATCCCAAACACACTCCAGCATATGACTAGAAAACAAGTTTAAAAATCACTTTTTTTTTCTTCCAATTCCATGCAAGGATTCACATAACAGAGAGAGGGAAGGAGGCAGATACCAAGGAAAGAAAGAGGAGAGGAATAAGAAGGGAGCTGAAACAATACTGAAGAGATTAGCAAAAGCAAAGTGTCATTAAAACAAGGCTGTGGTTTACATACAGAGGATAAGGAGGCCATGCCAGAAGAACCGCTAAGATTGGTTAGAGAGCTGGGACTCTTCTTGATTCTGCCAAGGGAATAACTGCTTTCTGATGCTGTATCTGTCTCTCTGTCATCACTCTACAAAAACATCACAGAAAGAGAGCCTGTGTAGGTACTTTGTAGTCACAAGGAACGTTTAAAAAAAAAAAAAAGAAAAAACCAGTTTTAATAATGCAGATTGGAACTCAATGAAAACCTGAACTTAAATCCCCTCATATTACAACCTAAGTAATTAGTATTTCTTAGGTTAGGTTATGCATTTAAAGTAAAAACAAACTTGAAAGGGATTTTGTTTTATGGAAATCCTACACTGAAAAAATCAACCTTTTTTGTTTTTCTCTTTTTTTTTTCTTCTCTTAAATTTCAAATACCAATGGAAGGTGCAAAGGTAACTTTAGTCAACTTCTCTACTTTACTATGCAAGTGATAATTCTCAGGTTTTCCATTCATCCCTCTCTGTTACATAGAGAATACCATCAATACCATCAATCTCCATCTTTAAGGTAGAAGTTGGAAGTAGCATGCACAGTACAACAGCACTGGATAAAACAAATGCTTATTTTGCAAGTTAAGTTGAAGTTAATTCAAAATCACAGAATTTCTAGGTTGGAAGAGACCTCAAGATCATCGAGTCCAACCTCTAACCTAACACTAACAGTCCCCACTAAACCATATCCCTAAGCTCTACATCTAAACGTCTTTTGAAGACTTCCAGGGATGGTGACTCCACCACCTCCCTGGGCAGCCTGTTCCAGTGCCTAACAACCCTTTCAGTAAAGAAGTTCTTCCTAACATCTAACCTAAAACTCCCCTGGCGCAACTTTAGCCCATTCCCCCTCGTCCTGTCACCAGGCACGTGGGAGAACAGGCCAACCCCCACCTCACTACAGCCTCCTTTAAGGTATCTGTAGAGAGCAATAAGGTCGCCCCTGAGCCTCCTCTTCTCCAGGCTGAACAAGCCCAGCTCCTTCAGCCGCTCCTCATAGGACTTGTTCTCCAGGCCCCTCACCAGCTTCGTCGCCCTTCTCTGGACCCTCTCAAGCACCTCCATGTCCTTCTTGTAGTGAGGGGCCCAAAACTGAACACAGTACTCGAGGTGCGGCCTCACCAGAGCCGACTACAGGGGGATGATCACTTCCCTAGCCCTGCTGGTCACAGTGTTTCTGATACAAGCCAGGATGCCGTTGGCCTTCTTGGCCACCTGAGCACACTGCTGGCTCCTATTCAGCCGACTGTCCACCATCACTCCCAGGTCCTTCTCTGCCTGGCAGCTCTCCAACCACTCATCTCCCAGCCTGTAGCTCTGCTTGGGGTTATTGCACCCCAGGTGCAGGACCCGGCACTTGGCCTTGTTAAACTTCATGCAGTTGACCTCAGCCCATCGGTGCAGCCTATCCAGATCAAAATGTTAAAATGTTAAATAAGGATGCTGTTACTATTCAAAAGTAGAGAATCCTTTATTATTTAGGGTATCTCCTTAGTGTAGCAGGAGATACACTATCTTCTGCTAAAAGAGATATACTTCTCCATATTGCCTTTTTAATTAAGAAGTGTTTATTACCAGAAGTGACTATTTTAAAATAATGCCATAACTGAACAAGCATTTAGCAATGACTGTTAATTTTATGATTACATGGTAGCTCCAGTGCTTATTTCTAACCTGTTATTTCTATCAGGTTTATGTTATGCATTCATCAGTTCTATGCCCTTTACTGGCCTGATGTTACTCAGGTGATAACAAACCCAAAGGCAGTACCAGCATATTCAATATGTGCACACTAGTTTTATGCATATACATTTGATATTTTCATATATGTATATATTAGAAGCATGCAGGTGTGTGTGCCTGTGTGGTTCATCAAGCTCACCGCACAGGAGCTATTACAAGACAGTATTACAAGACAGTAGTATTAGGACTACTTACACACAATTTTAAAGATAAATTTGGGGGGCAGAACAAACAGATTTGGGTACTGACAATTTCTTAGACTATCAAAATGAACTATCCCCAAACTCCTTCCAGTGCAACAAATCAATTGCATCTAGTTTTTATATACTCATCAGATTGCTTCATTCAAAACTCACATGAACATGCTTAACTGGCTTCCTACAGTGGCTGTAACTGGGAATTCAGATGCCCACCTACTCATTTCTGATTTCTTTGGTGCCCTAGCTCTAAGATTTTGAAATAGCAATCCTTTAACTGGTCTGTGGTGCATGCTAATAACCTTAGAAAAGCTTCCTGTACATTTTTCTCAGCAGAAAGGGCATTGGGATGCTGTAATGTTAGAGAATCTTTAAATAAAGAGGTAAAATTCATGGACAATGAATGGTTTCAAGTTCTGCACTTAAGGTAAGATTAAATCTGTATCACCATATTTCAGCTATTTTATATTTTAGAAGGGTGTAGGTGAAGACAGGACACAGCATATTCCTGATCTTGACCCTTCAGTCATGTCTTTAGAAAAATCTAACAGCATAAGCATAATATTTTGTAACCTCAGCCACGGCAATAAGGGCTGAAGTTCATCACTGTTGATTTTAAGAAAAAAAAGAATATTTCCAGTTCTCCTGTTACCTGTGACCAATGCAGATATCTATTTTAGACATTTATATTAGGAGACTGGTGTTTGGTTTAAACACCCCTCTTTGACTGTCTGGGGAGTCACAGACCAGGTGGTTCAGACAGTTTATCACTTCTGAACTTCAGTGTCATTTTAGGGGTCTGGAATGTGGCCTCAGAGCTTATCCCAAGGCCCACATCATGCTCTTAGAAAAACGTAAATATAATAATAATAATAATAATAATAATAATAATAATAATAATAATAAAAGATTTACAAAGGCTGGAAATTCTGAGACTTCACTAAGAGAATATCTATACCTGAGCCTAGATCCTCAAGCAGAACTCCAAGCTAAGCCCCTCTGATCTTAGAGGGTCACCAGATGGCGCTAGCACTTACAATACAAAGTGATCCTGTAGGACTGTAGGCTCTGAACAAAATGAATGTACACATGTACGTTCAGAAGATACAAGACCTGTTAAAGGGCAGAGTCTGCCTTTGGGAATAACAGCAAGCGTTCACTATGCTTCAGTCTCCTCGATAAAACAGTCTGTATGGCTGTGCAGTAGGAATAAAAGTTACTAGAGCTTCTGAAAGGTTAGTCAGCCACAGGTTGTAACAATCAAGATGATCACAAACACTACAAACAACTAAGTCCATGCCGTGATCCAGCAGTAGGCTGACTTGGCAGACCCTGGAAAGCAATATTTGGTAAACGCATAATGCCACAACAATCCGAAGTTTTAGCTACAATACATCAGAGGTGGAACTTGCCTCTTCCTGCAGGAACGATGGTACCGACTTGCTCAGTCCTTTGAGTTTTTCAGGATTGGAAAACAGCTGATCAGGCTGTGGAGGCACTGTGGAGACTCAAGAGCAGCAATTCAAAAGTTTCAAAAGAGTTTGGTACATCAAAAGAGTGCGATTCCGTAGCAGGGCACACGTAGAAACAAACAACTTCAGATGAAATACATGCACATGCAGTTTACACCTTGGATGCAAGGGTTTATTTTTCTCCATGGGACTCAGAGATGCTACTATTAGGAAGGATAATTTAGCTCAACATCTCCTGTAACATGGCCCACAAAACTTTGTCTGGCAGAAGAAAGTGTTCATGTTGCTTGACAGCATGTGACAACAGGGTGCTGAAAGCAAATCCTGATCAAATGTGATAGAACATTTTCGTTTTACCTTCTATCTTTTCTTCCTAGAACAAGGATAAGTGCACTCATGTACTAACCTTATTGTAAAGTTCTTGGTAAGAAGATAGTCTACAAGCCAAATTCTGTTATTTCCTAGTCCAATTAATGGCAATAAGAATATTTATGCAAATAAAGCAATGTTTAGATATGAACATGGAAGTTTCAAGTATTCCTAGTTAATTTCAAGATGCGTATTGCATTAACAGTGCAGATTCTTGCAGCACATCTCTTCAAGTTTCATAGAGTATCCCAAGTTGGAAGGAACTGACCCACAAGGATCAGCAAGTCCAACTCCTAGCTCCACACAGGACCACCCAAAAATCAGACCCTATGTCTGAGAGCGTTGTCCAAACACTTCTTGAACTCCAGCAGTTCAGAGCCGTAACTGCTGCCCTGGGGAGCCTGTCCCAGTGCCTGAACTTTGCTATACCTTTACTGAAATTCACTATCTATGTTCTTCACTGATTTCATTCTACAAAGCTTAACTGCACAAGCTAAAACAAAAAACCAGTTTGCTGTAAGAGCATGGAAAATTGAGAATCATGGGTTAACACCACTCATATTTAATACTCTACATGCTAAAGGTCTTAACACTGGATACACATTGTGAAATGCACCAACACTGAATAACTTATGACACAGAATTATTGGGTGACAAACAGCCAGCCAAAGAAGCACGTATCTGTTGCATAAAATTAAACACTGCACACAAGCTGGGGTTGTTTGCAAGGTGTTAAGTGAAGCTTTTCCAAAGCTTTTGCAGCTGAAGCTCAAATAATAGTTAACATATAAATTATCGTCAGTATGCAGTTAGATGCAGCTTCCTCATTCAGCAGCTATCTAGTCCAGATGTATAACTTGTCAGCCATTAAATTAAAAAGGAATTTTAATGTATTAGTTTAAATATCAGTGGAGAAACCTCTCCACTGTCTGTTGGAAGAATCCTATTACTCACTTCCTGATGCATTTTCATTCCTCTCTTGATCCTGATCAGTTTTCAGACCTGCTCAGTGCAGTATTGACAACAGTCATTCAGTAGCACAAACAGCTGTACAATTTTATAACTAACATCATTATCCTTCACATGTGGCAAGTCTTGAATTCTCTAGACCCCATACATTTTTATGTTCTGCATCATTCTCCTCTTTTGAGGAGCTGAATCATAACAAGGGGAACATGAATCTTCAGCAAAACAAAAACACAGGTGATATTTTCAAGAGAATTTGCCTTGTTCTGTCTGTACAGTTATCAATTTGGCTGGATCCATAACTTTTTCCACAACTTCACTCACTAAATTTAACTAGAAAAAGCTGCCCCTTTCAGACAAGTGTCTGCATAATCTATATTGAATGTACAACATATTTCCAAAAAGGCTGTCCATCTGAAGGTAAAATTAAGAATTATATTTAAGATTTGTTAATATATCGGACATGGCATGTATTCTCTTGTTATAGACCACTAACTCTCAAAATACTTTGAAAGCATCTAGAACACAACAAATGCAACTTTACAGAACTATTTTTTTAAACTGTAGTGCCACAATGCAGTAAACAGGAAAGAATTGTGTTATGTTCAATCACATTCAGTGTTACTTGGTGACTTTCCAGCATGTTTATCTTGACACGTCCTTGGAGCATGTTTGCTTTTGTTTTGATTAGGTTTATAATTTCTGAAGGAATATGGAAAAATTTGGCAGTAAGGCACCTGTAATGCACTAACAGATCGATGTTCATCTATTGCCTAAAGTAATTATACTTTGCTGGATTGAAATTTCCTTTTCAACTGATGTATTCTGAAAGGTGTTTTACATGAGCAAAAAATCGTCGTGCATCTTATAATGCAACAGCAGAACAGACAAATATTTAATATTTAATTACACACAGTTTTTCAACTGTGCTAGCGTTCAAAGCTCTCAGTGATTTCAGAAGCTGTTTTATAGACTGAATGACCAAAGATCAAAATAGTACACTGCTGGGTGGCACACAGTTTCTACAGATGCAACAGGTCATAAAAGAAGACTAGTGCTTGAGATAACAAATGCTTTTGTAAAGTTTTCTTATAAGTCACGATGAAGTTAGTCAAATTTGAAAGAGTAACACAATTCCTGGTTTCTAAAATCTTTCACTAGTAAACACAGAACGTTAAAAAACAATAGATTTGCATGCAAACACAGAAGATATTTACCATCTTCAGCACTAAGAGCTAATTCCTCCTTTGGAATTTTTATTTTTCCTTTATCTGTGCAGGAAAAAAGTAACACGTGGTTAGAAAGCTTGCTGTTCGGAATGATAAAACGGATGGCAGTGGTAATCACAGAATTAAGGACAATAAAAAAAATACAACCAAACAACAACAACAAACACCAGCAGAGCCACAGGAATAGTTAAATTCAGGAGATGCTTTCAACTTGGACCATTACTTCAATTCTGCATCCAAGCAGCAGTCTCATCTTGACACAGTTTCTACCAGCGTGCTGTTACAACAAGGTTAGTGCATACCTAAAATGTGGGAACTAGTTAGAAGGGAGCAATAGCATAAGTAATATTAGAGGAGTAATTTGCCAACGATAGCCAACATCTTTCAAAATCTACACCTCCACGCTTCAGTTCTCAAACATCAACTCAGTTCATGCTTTCCCCATTAGAAATGAAATAAATATGAAAACAGTGAGGAGCAGCATGAACGGAGACAGGAATAGTAACAATAATAAATCATAATCTTAGGATGCTACAGAGGGAGCTCAGGAATGAATGCCAAGTACAATCCTGTCTCATTGCATCCTCAAAGCGAGTTGGGTTATATTAACTGCTAGAATACACAAGTGAAACCACTACATTAAGTCAACTTTTTCATACTTCCACTGTCTACTAATTTGAGCCACGTAAGCAGCCAGAAATGACCAGCAATGGTAGCTCATCACTATTTGAGTGGTTCCAACCAAATATTTTCACTATTGAAAACATTTTAACAACCCAAAACCAGATCATCCCTGACCAGTGCATTTTTGGAAGATGTCTGCTTGTTATACCAGTGCTGTTTCAAAAGGAGCACTAAGAACTGAAAACTAATCCATATGAGATGAGAATTCAGTTTTACAATACAAACTCCATACTGCTTAGTGAGAAGCAATGTAAGGCAAAAACACTGCTTGGCAAAGCTGTATGGAAACACAGCATAAGCATGTTTAAGCCAAACTGGGGGTCATGGTAGACACACACAAGCTTTGTGCTCACTTGAGGTGGCTGATGGAATGTCCTCTAGACTTTTGGAAGGCATTTTCCTATCTGCACTCCTTTTCAAAGCCATCAAAACAGGATTTAATTCTTCTTCTGAACCTGTTACGAGACAAAACACATGAACACTGCACACGCAGACATGTTTTTAAACAAGTCACTTAAAAAATACAACATGGATTTCCTTTGGAAATCTTCTGACCTTTAACAAAGACCATGAGTATTCACTCAAAATGCTAAGTAAATCCTAAGGATCAGAGCCAGAAACACATTGTGTTCAGTTATTCCAAAATCAGACGTGAGAACAAGACCATAGCCTGGATTTTTAAGGAACTACTAAAACTGACACCTGACCATCTTATCTTAAATTAAAATGGAAATTGGAGTAAAGCCGACCAATTTCAACATTTGAGTTTAGAATCTTTTCTCTCTAAATTTCCTAGGGTATCAATAGAAACACAGAGGTTGGTTGACCTGACCTGTGTTTGTACTGACTAATGACAGAGTTTAAGGCAAATATGGTACTTAATTGTCTAAGAACTAGGTAGGATAAACTCAGATTTAACCATTTTGTTATGAATTAGCACGAATACAAGTTAATAGCTTTGTTTCCCCCCCCCCAACCCTGTAAATTTGTTCATAACATTTTTTTCTGCCCAGTGAAAGTCACCTTCTGTTCAATATTAAGTAACACCCACAAATAAAAAAAACAAACAAACAAACAAACAAACTGTGGAAGGATTTTGATCCTTGAAATTATCATGCAATTGTCTCCATGAGCAGTTTCAGGACAGACATAGCTCCTTCAGAGTACTCTACGACCCTCTCTCCTCCCTATCCCATTTTGCTCTCACTGCAGCCAGCCAACCAGGCCTTACAAACAGCAATAGCGTAATCATGGGTAAAAACAAGTTGTTTCATTTTTCCTCATTTGTCTTGCAGAACAGACTTCCAAGCTGATTTCCATCGGAATCTCACTTTCAAAATAAGCTCCAGAGTTTCTTAGCATATGCCAGAAACATCAGATTGCTCAGGTGAGCAAGATCTCAGAAAATTCCCAGTCTCTCATAGACACGGACTAGAGCTTCCAGCTTAACCAAGTAATGAGTCTTGGTAAATAGATTGCTTCATTTATAGGGCCATTTTCTCGTGTAACAGGCAGCAATACTAAATTAAATAGCACAGGGTATTGGTAGTGTCTTTATATGCAGCCATTCCACTGATAAGTATTTATCTTTGAAGACTAGCTGGTCAAGCTGAAGAATGAACTCAGTCAGCCACTGATTATTTTTTCCCCCTCTTTTAATCCGGGGTATTTAAAAGAAATACCAGAATTTGAGTGTTATAATGTTATTGATTTTAAAGAGATGACTCAGAGGAAGAAGAAAAGGGCAAGGCATGAAGACTGATGTGATTCATTCATGCTGCTACTCTCCCATGACCTTACCCAAATCTAGTTGATGTTTGTCAAAAAAATCCAATTAAATTTCAATTAATTAGTTCTTCATACCTTTCCAAAACAAATATCCAAAGTATTCAATTAAGCATCAGAGTTTTGTTTAATATATTTCAAGTTAGCTACTAGAAAAGCTGTAGCTTTTTTGTTTAACAACCCATCACCATTAATTTTAGAAATTAGATGGCTCACGAGTTGAACTTTCGGTTCCAGAATGGGAATCAGAGTTTTCGTCTGAAAACCTGGATCCCAAGTTTGAGCTGTAACCATCTTCTTCGTCAGTAACTTCATGCTGAAAGGCCAGGCAGAGTTGAGCTCCTCCCGGCTGGGGGGAATTGCTCTCATCTTTAAGAGGTGTGCTTGTTCTTCTCAATCGCAACAGTTCTTTTGATTCTAAATTGTTTTCAGAGGCATCTGAGGATGTACTTTCATCTGTCCTTCCTCTGGCATTTACCTTGAATGGCTTGTTCACAGCTGTATTAGTCTCTCCTTCCAGGGGAAGAAGATCTATTGGAGGCATGTTTCTTTGTTCTTTTTGATTAAGAGCCCCATTTCTTTTAAGTTTATCAGAAGCTTCAGTATCTACTGAAGCCTCAATGTTTTGTTCTGGAGTTCCACTTTTGATAGTTGTCTTCATCCCTGTGTAAGTAGTTAATGCATTATGATAAGGCTGTGACATTGTTGTGAACAGAGACTCTTTTTGTAATGGAAACATACAAAAATCCCCAGACTTCTCTTGTTTGTGTACCTCTCGTGATACCTGAGACGAAGCTTCAGATGCTTCTTGAAGGAGTCTTTCTACCGAGCTACTGAAATCTCTGAATTTTGCAATATCTGAAACTGAAGTTCTTTCTATTGTTTCTTCTATTTCTCGAGGGTGATCTCTCTCTTCTTGAGAAGGAGGACACATACTTTGACTGGTTGACATTTTACCATGCATCTTTTCATCCGTGTTCTCCAGCATAGGACCTGGTGTTTCAGAGACCCCTTTCAGTAGCTTTTGCAAGTTAACATCAAGTAGCCTGTATTCAGCCTTGGACAGCGCAGATGTTTCTGTGGTCTCACCACTCTTCTCCTGCAGTGATGCTCCATTGTGTTGGTAGGTCACACTTTTAACTTGCATCTCAGCAGTCCTCTGTAACGTCCTGTCCACACGTTTTGGTTTAGGAGGTGGTGTTTCAGAGGCCTCTTTCAGCAGCTTCTCTAAAGCTGAACTCAAGCCACTAACCTTGGGTGGGGCTACAGACTTTTCTACAGACTCACTGATTTCCTGTAGTGAATCTCCATCACACTGATAGTTGGTGTTTTTAACTTGCATCTCAGCAGTCCCATGTAATGTGTTGTCCACATCTTTTGGTTTAGGAGGTGGCGTTTCAGAGGCCTCTTTCAGCAGCTTCTCTAAAGCTGAACTCAAGCCACTGACCTTGGATGGGGCTACAGACCTCTTCTACTGAACTCACTGACTTCTCTGTAGTGACTCTCCATCATGCATGATAGTGCGTGTTTTTAACTTGCATCTCAGCAGTCCTTCGTTCTGTGTTGTACACACGTTTTGGTTTAGGAGGTGGTGTTTCAGAGGCCTCTTTCAGCAGCTTTTCTAAAGCTGAACTCAAGCCACTGACCTTGGATGGGGCTACAGACTTCTCTATGTACTCATTGATTTCCTGCAGTGACTCTCCATCATGCTGATAGGTTGTGCTTTTAACTTGCATCTCAGCAGTCCCATGTAATGTGTTGTCCACACGTTTTGGTTTAGGAGGTGGTGTTTCAGAGGCCTCTTTCAGCAGCTTCTCTAAAGCTGAACTCAAGCCACTGACCTTGGGTGGGGCTACAGACTTTTCTACGGACTCACTGATTTCCTGTAGTGAATCTCCACCACACTGATAGTTGGTGTTTTTAACTTGCATCTCAGCAGTCCCATGTAATGTGTTGTCCACATCTTTTGGTTTAGGTGGTGGGGTTTCAGAGGCCTCCTTTAGCAATTTCTCTAAAGCTGAACTCAAGCCACTGACCTTGGATGGGGCAACAGATCTCTCTATGAACTCACTGACTTCTCGTGGTGACTCTCCATCATGCAGATATGCAGTTCTTTCAACCTGCATCTCAGCTGTCCTTCGTTCTGTGTTGTACACACGTTTTGGTTTAGGAGGTGGTGTTTCAGAGGCCTTCTTCAGCAGCTTCTCTAAAGCTGAGCTCAAACCACTGACTTTGGGTGGGGCAACAGACTTCTCTATGGACTCACTGATTTCCTGCTGTGATTCTCCATCATGCTGATAGGCAGTGCTTTTAACTTGCATCTCAGCTGTCCCACTTAATGCGCTGTACACACGTTTTGGTTTAGGAGGTGGTGTTTCAGAGGCCTCCTTCTGCAGTTTCTCTAAAGCTGAACTCAAGCCACTGACTTTAGATGGGGCTACAGACTTCTCTATGGACTCACTGATTTCCTGCTGTGATTCTCCATCATGCTGATAGGTTGTGCTTTTAGCTTGCATCTCAGCAGTCCTCTGCAATGTCCTGTCCACACGCCTTGGTTTAGGAGATGGTGTTTCAGAGGCCTCTTCATCAGTTTCTCTAAAGGTGAACTCAAACCACTGACCTTGGGTGGGGCAACAGACCTCTCTGCGGTCTCATTGACCTCTTCAGACTGACTGATATCTTGTTGGCTCATTGATTCTCCAGTACAATTAGTTTGTGATATATTATTCATTGTTTCAGATGCTTTCATCCCTACCCTTAATTCAGGAGGCTGACATACAGAGGTTTCTCTGAGCAGGTTCTGCAAACCAGCCTGCATCTTCTGAGATCCTCTGGGAGGATGTTCTTTTGTTGAAACAATACTCTTTTCTATAGGTTCTTTAACTTCATGCTTGTGAAGACCCATCTGTTCTTGGGGTTGAGAGATAACTGGTTTTTTGACTGGCTGGACAGAGTCTGTGTTTTGTGCATGTGTTACCTTCAAACCTTTTAAGGTAAGCGATCCTAGAGGCAGTTCACATATCACAGAATCTAATTTCTCTGGTTTTTCTCTCTCAGAGGCTTGTGTTTGATGTTGGATTAACACTTGGTTGCTCACATTATCTCTGCCCTTATCTTCCTTTGATTTTCTTTCATGGGTTACTGAAGTATTATTACGAACAGTATTATTTGGCAAAGAAACATCTCCCCTGTCAATGCTACTCTGTAATTTAACTCCAGCATCCCAGAAGTTTCTCAAACTCTGAAACTGTGAAGGATTTGAAATTTGATTTTTGGACTTCTCATTCATTTTTTCTTTTAAAGAAAAAACCTGGAAGTTGGGCTTCTGTTGGGAAGAAGCACCAACTTTTCCTTTAAATGTTTCTTTCCTATCTTTAATTTCTGGGGAAGTTGAAGTGGCAGAGACTCTAGGCTTTATGTTACTAGCTTTTGCCAATTTCGTGGGTTCATGAATTTCACTATCAGCTGGAAGCGTTCTTTCTGTTTTTCTAACATCACAGGCTGGTCCAAACTCAAAAGAGTTTTCACGTTCATTTTTTGAAGCCACAATTGCACATCTCATTTCAGCACTTCTTAATGTATTCTTGCTCTGATCATCCAATCCATAAGGTAGGCGTTCTGCAGTTGGCTTTATTTTGTCACTTTCTCTGAGACCTTTCAATGCACCACTACCTGATGCATTAGTATTGATACCAACTTCTTTCTCTTTGTGACTGGGGATAGTTTTATCCCTTTCCCAAAATGCTCTGATCTCTCTTATTCTTCTTTTTTCTCTTATTGCCTTCTCCAATTCATATTTCTGAGCTGGTAGCTTGTGTTCATGATGCTCCAAGACACGTGATTTTTGATTTTGTTGCTTGATTTCTTGACCTGATTCTTTATCTTTGATTCTTGTACAGTCAGACTCGGTTAGTGATTTGTCATTTTGCTCCTCACTGTCTTTCCCCTGCTTAGGTTTCCTCCTCTCTTTTATTATCTGTTTATCTTCTGAAATTGTTGTGGGTGAAATAGCATTCAGTTGTTTATCCCTTCCAGATGGTAATTCTTCTATAACTTCTGGTTTTCCATCCATGCTAGTTCTGCTGTATTCTGTAGGAAGTACTGCTGCTCCAGTTGCAGAGCCAACTTCTTCAAGCTCTCTGCCTTGTGATCTGGCTGATACAGATTTCCTATCTTCAGTACCAGAACTTCTTTTAAACCAGTCTAAGACTTTTGATACAGATTCATCGGCCACTTTCACAAATTCATCAGCATGTCTGTCAGGCTCGAAAGTCTGTTTAGAAACTCGTTCCTCAACAAGATCGGGCTTACCTTGTTGAAGAGCTGCAGAATTGGTATTTGATACGTCATGTGCTTTTGTCTCAGCAGAAAGCAAATGTTCATCTACAAACATAAACAAACTTATCAGAGTTAGGAATCAGACACAAGACTAAAAATTTTTCAATCTTGAAAAAAATCGCTCAGTTTCTGGTTTTGCGTTTGTTTGAACTCTTAGCAAAAGAAAGAGTTCTCTGTTTGTGTGGTCTTGGAAAGAACCATACTACAGACATGAGTGTGAAAAATAAATTCCTTATCACTAAGATATCCTACTGAAAAGTGATCTCTTCCTAGAAGGTTAGCCCTAATACTTTTGGGAGTGGGAGCAGGTAAGATTGGTTATTCCTATTCTAAAGGAAATGGCTCCAATGAAGTGGGAGAGAGGAAAGAAATAGCATATTTGTGTTTAGTCACATCAGCAAATCAAGTCACAATTGGATTACTACTGAGGACAATCAACTGTAGTACACCAAGAAATCTTCAGTTCCCATCCAGACACATCTATCAGGCTTTATTACAGGAATTTTATCCAAGTGCCACCATGTCACCTTTATCATCCACATTAAAGATGAATAGCCAGGCTCAAATCTGATTAATTCTTAAGAATGCCAATAGGAGATCATCTAAGAATATGTAGCATGTTAGAGAATTAGAATCCAAGTGTTTTAAAAATTCTGCAATATACAGCATGTTACTGTTATTTGTTTCTTAATCGTTAATTTTTAGATACTAACAATTTGAGCATTAATGAACATGGGCTATATGCTATTGCATTCTCTTCCTCACTCCTATTAGTCTCTTACCAGTAGAGTTTTTGAGCAACTTTGATTCACGGCTCAAGGACTGGTTGGATTTATTTTCACACGTCTCATCAACACTCAGTTCTTTATTGCTATTTGATAAGATATTGGTGGAGGTCTTCTGTGGAGTTTCAAGTTTCTTAGGAGTAATGATCTTTGTTTGGACTGTTTCATTAACCAGGAAGACTGACCCATTAGCATCACAAGGACTGGATGCAGGCTTATCTTCCTGTAAACTGTGTGTTTTCACATGTACACCTGATGAATGGGTTCCCAAAGACTTTACAGTGGAAGTTTGCTTATTCCCAAGTGAATCTGTTCCAATAGGATCATTCTCACTAGTCTTTATTTCACCAGATTCTAACAAATCAAGTTCTCCCGTTTCTTTGCTATGATGTATCCGTGGGCTTTGCAGAGATTCTCTTTTTCCTATGCTAGATGAAAACCTCACTTGTTTTAATTTTTCCAGTGAAATTTGTGTGGACTCTTCCGCTTCTTCTGTAAGAGTGTTCTTCTCAACTTCTCCTTCAAAAATAGTTGTAGTAGGAATACTACTCTTACTCTGAACATCTAACATCTGATTGACACGAACTTCTGAGTCAGTGGAACTGGAACTTGAACTGCGTTTCAGAATGCCCCTGGGAAGTATACCAGTGCCATTAACCCCCTGGGTCCGTTTGGCTGGTTTTGGAACAACGTCTTCTCTTTGTGGCACACAATCTGTTATTTTGTGAACTAATTTTCTAGCTTTTGGGATGGGACGCTTAACTGGTCCTTTCTGTGATTCATCCGTAGGTTCTACAGAAGGCTTCTTAGGTATCTCAGTTTCATCATTCAGTACGTTTGTTTTAGGTTGGCTCTCTATTGAAGGTGACAAAATTTCTGCAAGATGTATACAGAGAAGAAATCATGAGTTTACATGACATTCATCTGCATAAACTCGGGGGTATGACATGCTCCCTACAGATCTAGAATGCAGTGATAATATTGGTTCATTAAAAACGCAGCAAAACACAGAAGGAAAATGAACATAAAGTTTGGGTTTGTGTATGACAGGAAGCTTTAACAGATGAAATTCTTCTAGTTGGTTAATATTTCTAGAGTAAGAAAAATTTGATGATACCAAAGATAGGAAGTGCACCGAATTTTTGGTTAGTATAAATCCTGCAAGGGACAAACTTTGCAGGGAAGGGGAGCTTTTGAATACATAAGCATCTCTTCAGGTTCAGAAGACAAACAGCAAGCTACAGAAAATCTATTTTCATTTGTATGTAGGACAGGCTAAAAAGCAGGAATGATCTCTCAGTGGGGATATAAAGATTATTTTTATTTCTAATGTGTAAGCCTCCCTTTTTTCTGTTAAGAAGCTTCATACAGGAGAGTAATTTCCACACATAAACCTGTAAATTAGTCTCAACTGCCTATACTGTGATATATTATCACTTATCTACTTGCAGAGAATACTGGGGAAAAGGCAGGATTTATTTTTATTCTAAAATAAACAGGACTGAGGAAAAAAAAATTAAAGACAGTTAGGCTTGACCCTTCTGTTGAGTTCATAGCACCAATTACTGGAAGGTCATGTAGATAGCAATGCCCAACTCCAGGAAGTTTTTATGTTCTCTACTAGTGATTCAGGACAAAACAGTCTTTTCAGATAGAGTGCTTAATGCTGACAAAAATGCAGGTGAAAAAAGAATCAAAACCCATTTACATGTGTGAAATAGCTGTTTTCTCAAATATATTCATGTTTTATCTTAGGTTTGAAATGAACTCAAATAGAACAGTTATCAAAATCCGTTTTATCCTACAATGAGAAGCAACAAAAGTAAAAATTTCCATATCCACCACCAAGAAATTCAGTCATGTTAAACATAATATTTACCCTTCTTTGATAGCTGAGGTAGAATGTCTGGTCTGTTTTCTGATTCTCCACTGCTCAAGTTATCACCTGATACAGTGGAATTAAATGGATTTCTCCTTTGCTAAAAAAAGGAATGAACATTATAATTGGAGTCAAGTTACTTATCAGTACAGTTTTGGCAGAATACATGATAGTGCAGTGATTTCCTCTGCCTCACTACCCTGTTGGCTGAGTCTAAAAGCATGCTTCCTAAGCTGGAGACATGACAAGAAACCTAAACAGCATGAACCATGGAACTATCAGAAATGCTAGTGACAGCCTAATCCTGTTCCTCCTAAAGTCACCAACATCAGGGAGAAACCACCACTTAAAGACATTTGACAATCCCAAATTGTTGCAAGTTACAAGAAATTCTCTCTACTTCTGTACTTTAGAGATAGTAGAAGATAGCAAGACATTTCTTTTCAGTGGCTAAAGGAGATGGAAATAATGTCAAGCACAGAAAACCAATGATTATAGCCATAAAAGCATATCAGCACTGAACTTTTACTGGTTTCCATTATCTCCCTCCAGAATAAAAAATACTATTTTTTTTTCCAACTTATCTTTCTTCCTCAAATATCTAATTATCTTGATCATTCAAGCAAAGAAACACAAAAATATAAAGAGATAACATCTGCTGTGTTCAATACCAATCATACCTTTACTGGCGAGACTGCTGCCTTCACAGATCTTTCCTCTGTTTTGTCTAATCCTGAAGTTACTGTTTTAGAACTGCAAGGAAACAACATATAACAACTTCAGCAAACTGGGTGTCATTTTAAGCCTTTTTAAAAATGCAAAACAGATATTCAGTTGCACATACTCAAATACGACCTCTTGGCACCTAGCTTTCTCTGCAGTGTTCTCATCAGATTTAGAATCAATCCTTCTCCTTCCCATATCAAGGGGATGACCTTGGTGATTTATTTCCTTGCAACAATTTCTTTGCTTGTTAAAGAATTCAGTGCAACTTCTACTTGCCAGGACAGGAACAGCGTTTTTGATATCTTTTATACTTTTGAGCAAGCTTTTTAAGTAAATATAACCATTCTCCAAAGAGTACCAGTATTACCACTATTCTTGTCCTACATTTGTACTTCTAGGACTGAAACCAAAGTGGATAAAATTGCTAAGTAAAAGAGAGCTTTGCAAAGTGTCCAAGCCAGAAAAATCAGGGGAACTCCCTGAGCACTATAGCAAAGATCTGACATGCCACAGACAAGAGCAGATTCCCTCAGAGGGAGGCCTTACAAGCTATTCCTTCAATTAAGATGTTATCAAACCACACATTTTGCAAATAAATTAAGTTATTAATTGTCATCCTGACTAAGTATACCCCAAGGAAGAAGAACTTAAACAGCCAGAAGAAACAGTTCCTATATTATATCAAAAATTAGTTCGTGACTATTTGCAAAAGGATTTTTTTCCCACAAAACAATCAGATTTTGTTTATATTTTCAGTCTAAAAGATCTCTCTGATCACGTAACTGGCAACAGTCTGCCCTGCTGGGTAGAGAGCAACATTCCCAGGTTCTCCAGGTTTCAGCACTGTTAACCTCAAAACTGAAGAAAAAATGGCTGGTGGGCACCTGGACAGCTAAGAACATCTGAAAAGTGACATCACTCCTATTGTAGAGAAACATTAAAAGGAAGGTAATTAATGGGCAGCCTGAGCGCAAGGTATTGGTAACAAACATACAAAAACAAAAACAGTTATCTGAGCTATAACCTCCTCCATCTCTTCCTTGTTCTTCTGGTTCCACACTACCTTTAAGAAATACGCTTGTGTGCATAGTGATACAAACTTCAGGGATGCACTGAACTCATGGGTGAGCAAAATAAATTGTTCTTGTATTTCAGCACTAACCACAGCAGCCTCTCACATGCACATGCCAGCTCTAAAGATTTTTTTTTTCTAATCCCAGCTCCTAAATAAGAAAAAGTATAGTTCTCAAAGAGCTTAATACTGAAACTTTTAATTTGTTGTCAAAAACATCATTTCACATTACAGTTTTGATCCTTAGTTCTAAGGCTTTAAAAAGAAATGAAAATACGTGTATTTAAAGAGTCTTTATTCCATTAGGCTGGAGTTTGGGTTCTTGTTTTTATGAGCACTTGAGTTTGTGCTTTTGCTTTTACGAGCTCCTGTACTTTATGTCTCATCTTGACCATCTACTGACCAACAGCACAAACATGATTTTTATTATTTATTTTTTTTTAAGGTCTAGGTCATGAATGCTTCAACCCTTCCCTTATTTTAAACAAGGGCAATGCTCTTATGTACTCTGGGTGTAGGAAACTTATCAGACATTCTTCTGATTAGTTCTTTTTTTTTTTAAACAGGTGGAGAGAGAATATTCAAAATGGTTGTGGAACATGGACACAATCCCGCAATATTTCAATGCAGTGCTACTTCAGATATACCACAGAAGAATCAAAGAGTTGTTACTTTGGCGTTATATACTGAAAATCCTGAAGGGGAAAAGTGGAAAAAGTGGGCAACAAAAAACCAAGACCCTACAACTGAGTTTCTAGACACAGGGTCTAAACATGGGAATTTACCCACAACCTATACAGATGAGAAAGCCAAAGGGACCCGTGCATTTACAAGGATAATCTAAGAGTGCATGAAGCCAAGCTAATAAATACTGCCCGGCTAAAAAAAGCTGCAGCACTGCAATTCTGCAAAACAAAGTGCTGAAAAACACAGTGCAGACCCAAACCTGTGCAGGCACTGGTAGCACTGGACAGGAACCAAGAGGCAATGAGGTCAAAGCAGGAGCAAAGGCAGAGGAAGGGGTTAGAGATTTGTGTGCACTGCCTGACATGTCTGCTCAGAAGTGGCCTCACATTCAGGCAAATAATCTTCCTGAGCTCGTTCTAAAGGGTTAGGAATCTGGTGCAGAAGTTCCTGTCTGGAAGGAGTAAAGCCAGTGCAATTTAACAGCACTGCATAAATGGCCTTATCTAGGTATCTCAGCACCCCTACTATTCCAGAAAAGTTACATGGATCTTAAGACTTAAGGGTTTTATTTAATTTTTCACCTTGCAGAACTTTAGGACCCACACTTGTCACCTGTTCAGTATAGTGGACTGAGTACTTTCTACCCCGGGGAAGAAAAACCCCTACAAATTTTAATTTGAAAGAGAAAACCCCTTTAACAGTGCCCTTTTTCAAGAATCAGCATACAGACAGATGGTTATCACTGAGCAGAGGTAATATTGACAGTCTGAGTCACACTATCCAAACTCATTCCGTACAAGGTTACACCTGCAAAAGACATTTCACACAACTGGCCTGGTATGCGAGACAGGCACCTTGGGATGCAACGCCCACAAAAAAAACAAGTGGTCATAGCTTTGTTACAGGAGTTTGACATTTAGGGCCTGGGCTTGGAGCTCACCGTGCTAGTTTTAAGATTATTATTGTGGGCTGATTACATCTAATATCGCAGCACCCTGACAAAACAGCAACTGAGCTGGCCCCAGGGATGAATTTGAGCCTCAGAAGCATGCAAATGTAGATCTACTAGAACTGAGCTAACATTCAGTTAGAAGCTGTTTGCTTTAATAGGATCCAGAACAAAAGGGATCTATCACATATTTTCTGGTCCCAGTCCTGAGGTTAGCAGCTGCTTACTTTGTACAAAGTCTGCAAAGCCAGCGATGGCCTGAAGCCCATTCTTTTAAGGGGAAGGAAAGGGAGGGAAGAAAAGCAAAAACAAACCTAAAAATAAAATTCCCACAAACATACCCTTAATGTAGCACTTGAAAAACATATTAAAGGCCCAAGTGCTTGAACCACAGGTAGCATTTGAACACTAGAAGCTGGTAACTCACTTCAGGCAATACCAACATCTAAAGTAATACTTGATTTCGTTCCCTTCTTTCCAGCCATTTTGAGACTATTGTGCTGCAAGAGGAAGAGTCAACAGAAATTGTGGCTCTGCTATTCTGAAGTCTGAATCAAATACCCCTTCTTCCCCCCAACAGGTAGGGCCACTGCTTTCCTAGGATCGTTCTTCCCTCTCAATTTCAGTCAGCTGCTGCCATTAGATGCAGGTACAGCCAGGTCAGACCAGGCTCTTCAAAAGTCCAGGATCAAGAGAACAGAAAGGAGGAATTATTTAGGAACGTATGGCACCTCCTGCAATTTCCCAGCTGTACCATTGCATAGACTAACCTCAGCTGCAGTGAAATAAGCCTCTATTGAAATCATAAGCACTGAATTACACATAGACTTGCCACATTGGCTTACCAAATGTGAAATGCTGGAGCAAGCAAATAATCTGAGACATCTAATTGAGTATGCATGCAAAGTGAGGGCAAGTAAGTGCCCAGCCCACATGTTACAGATCCCTTCCTCAGGTCTGCTTCCAGCTGCATCATGAAGCCTAGACTACAGGAGCTTGCTTTAGGGGGAACATCCTGAGCAGACATAAATAAGGCACACAGGTTGGCAGTCAGCACAACTGGGAGCAGAGGGCAGGAGAGGGTCCTGGATAATAGCTATCACAATTCACGTGGGTGTGACCTGAAATAAGTCACTAAAGCACCTTAAGTTAAAGATCACAATCAAGTTGGTCACATTCTAAACAGTCTACATGCTCTTAAACCTCACTATGCTTTTTGTTTTTGTTTTTGTTTTTTTTTTTGAAGAAGCTGCCCTAGCAGTTTATGAAGTTTATTACTCTCTGATCAGTCACAAAATCTGTGAAGTTTTAATGGTACAAATATGAAGCTGGACTTCTTTTACAGTTTCATCTCCTTTCCCTGATGTGGAAGATGACACGCAAAATATTGTAAAAATGTACTGAACAGCAGCATGCCTTCTGCTGTTCATAAAGAAATAATTCCATAGTCTTGTGAAGGTAAAAGCCACTGTAAATAACCTACACTGGGTAAAAACTAACACTGCCAGCATTATCAGTCAACTTGGAAGGGGACGCTAAGCTCTTTCTTATGCTACACAAACTTAATTATCATTACCATACAACTCCACTTTTTGGGAAGTCTATAGACAAAGCAATTTAGTTGATATTTCAGGACAATTTCAGACACAGGTAGGGCAGATACCCCTCTGAGTTCACTGATAATGAAATGTAAAGGATAAGAAAGACCAGCAAAGCAAGCCAGAGTTGTTAAGATTTACACCAACCTTTGGTGCCATTCATCATGAACGTGTATGCCCAGTTTGCAGACCACGAAAGTGAAAGATGGAACTGCTACTAGATACTGTGCAAGTGCATAGGAGGAGAGAAGCCTTGCTGCAAAGAAAAAACAAAGGACGTACAGAGAAGGATGAAGACGACAGACAAAAAGGTGAAAGCTTACAGAACCAATCAATGGCACAGAAGTAAAACTAGAAGTAAAAGGAGTCATCCTAAAAGGAACTCTTGCTCTTACCTCACTGTGTTCACTGGAAGCATAAACGATAGCTGTATTTGTTACACCCTAGTTCTTGTTTCCTCAATAGGGTTGAGGACCTGGCTGTTTAAAGACATTGATTTCCATGTGCTAGGAGACTCCCTAACTAGGAAATCGCCATTTGTTTTCAAACGCAACCTTTTTGAAAGCTTTCCACACAGCAAATTAACATATAGGCATTCTAGAGAGGAAATGTTTCTTTCAGAAGTCAATTCAGGATATTTCTAAGCAATATGAAGCTGTTCGGAATGTTTATGGACTTGAGCTAGAGTGATTAAATACCAAATCCTCCTTAGCTCAGAAACAACTCATCCAGCTTTACTGCAACAGCTGTAGACATTAAGTCATACGCAAGCTGTCTTGCCTTACTCTGAATGGAAGACTACCTTGCAGAGAGACATTCCTTGGTAGAATCACATTTATTTGCCTCAAAATTATATATATAGTTCTCATTCTTTCCACCTGAAGTACATTTGGCCTCCTTACAAAATTGTAAGAGGTCTTAAAACACACACCAGGGAAAATTCCATCCCAAAGCAATTTTTCAATCTGATTCTTTGTATGGTCCAAGTTTAAAATTCAGGCTGAATCAATAGTCTGGTCTCCCTGAGTGAATAGATGCAGAGGTTTCTGTCCCCATATTAGTAAGGGGACTGTGGAGGACTGATCACAGCCTGCTGCTAGTCTAACCTGAAAATCCTGGTCTCACTTCTGGAGCAAGACAGAATTGTGACATGAGGAACATGCGTGGGACCATTCCACACAGCACTGGCAGCTTTCTCCTTGCAGAAGTAACCTACAGAGAGCTGCATTCGAATACAGACCATCTAACAGTGCACAACTACGATCTGTCAGCCTTCCATACATATTGATTCCTTGGGCCACTCTGAGGAAATAGTTGAGGATCTCTGAAATAAGAGGGAAGGACAATGTTTTGGGAGGAAGTTACAGCTCAGGCATTTCACCAGTCCTGATGTACACATTCTGTGATTGAACAGACAGCTTACCTTGAACTAGACTTCAGTTCTTCTTCTTCCTGATGTTCCACGATGCCATGGAGTTCTGGTTGCACAAAGACTTCTTTATTCACATTGCTCACCCAGCTGTTCTTTGCTTTGTTTGATTTGCTCTGACTCACTTCAGCTACAACATGGAAGAAGAAGATTGTTATTTCCCACGCGTTCATACAGTATTTCACAACAAGCAAAGAGAAGTAGTTACACGGGGTCTTACATCTCTCTCAGAAGTCCACTACACTTGAATTATGTACAGAATTAGATCTGGTGCCTTCTCAAGAATATGTATTTTAATACCACTATAAATTCCACATAGTACAGTTGGCACTACGGGGGAAGGGATGCCAGCCAGAGGGACCTGGATATCCTTGAGAGGTGGACCCATGCAAACCTCATGAAGTTCAAAAAGGCCAAGTGCAAGGCACCAAACACGAATACGGGCTGGGTGGAGATTGGATTGAAAACAGCCATGAGGAGAAGGACTTGAAGGGGTTGGTGGACAAAAAGCTTGTCATGAGCTAGCAACATGCACTCAGAAAGCCATCTGCATCCTGGACCACACCAAATACAGGTTAAGGGAGGTGATTCTCCCTGCTCTGCTGAGACCCCCCAGGGAGTCCTGCATTCAGCCCTGGGGCCTGCTGCACAAGAAGTACAGGGACCTGTTAGAGCAAGTCCAGAGGAGGGCCACGAGGATGATCAGAGGGCTGGAGGTGTTCAGCCTGGAGAGGAGAAGGCTCCAGGGAGACCTCACAGTGTCCTAAAGGGACCTACAGGAAAGCTGGGCAGGGACTCTTTGTCAGGAGTTGCAGTGATAGGACAAGGGGGAATGGTTTAAACTACAAGAGGATAGGTTTAGATTAGCTGTAAGGAAGAAATTCTTTACTCAGAGGGTGGTGAGGCGCTGGCAAAGGCTGCCCAGAGAAGCTGTGGATGCCCCATCCCTGGAGGTGTTCAAGGCCAGGCTGGATGGGGCTTTGGGCAACCTGGTCTGGTGGGAGGTGTCCCTGCCCGTGGCAGGGGGTTGGAACTGGGTGGGCTTTAAGGTCCCTTCCAACCCAAACCATTCTACAATTTTAAGTTTCCTACAACAACCCTGGTAAAGACTGACCCCATACTTCTTGCAGCTACATAAACGTTAAAAATTCAACCTCTGTAAGCTGAAGAAACAAAAACCAACTAAGCCACAGGAAATTGAAAATAAAGTTGAGGTTCAGTAAATCAAGTCAACTATTCCTTTTCTACAGCAGTAAACTGGAAACTGGTCATAATTTTAATTTAAGCAGGTGGCTAATCTTTTATGGTTTAGATATTAATAATTTTGCAGTATGAAAAATTAAGCAAGATTTCCATTCTTTTTTTTCGTCATCCATAGCTACAAGCAAAAATATCTTGGTATGTGACTGAGTCAGTGAAGCCAAGCATTGCACATAGCTCTGAATGTAACACTGTGCCTTTGTTCAAGTAATAAGATTGGGAGTAGTTAACTTTCCTTCAAGATATGGCTTTGAGTGCTTTCCTTTAAGCTATATGTAAGGGTTACTGTAAACTGTAGCTGGAGTTTTACAGCTGATTTTCATAACCTTCAGAAGTCCACACTAGGCAAAACCACAGAAAAACTCTGCACTGACCTCCTATGAATTTGTGCCTTCTGTTTCAGGCCTTTCCTTGTTAAGGTAAAGTCCCAAATCTGCCAGATAGTAATCACAGCTGACTACACTGCTGCTATCCAAACTTATCTCTAGGAATATAGGTATTGAGAAGGTGTAATAGAGCATTATTTTCTTTTGTCTAATCTGGCTAAGTTTTAGTTAAAAAAACTATAGAAAGTAGTAAACCGTAGTCCTCCACCACTATTGAGAAGCATCATACTTGCCTCATTAGCACACACAAATCCCTTAATAGAGCTTAAAATTACACATTTCAGTACAACTGAATGAATGTATGTATGTAAAATCCTTTTAGTCAAAAGGATTTGGTAGAACAACAGGAGGGCAAGAGGGGACATGTGCCTCAGAAATAAAATTGCTTCCTGTACAAAGAACAACAAAAGAGATCAGTACTCTTTAGGCTAAAAAAAAAAAAGCCAGGTGCTGGAGATATTTATAAGACAACTATAAAATCCCATATACTATTTTACCTATGCTTCTGTGAACACAGGTTGACTACTCGCTTTCTTTCCCAGGCATAACATTAATGGTGATTAGCTCAAATCCTGAAAAATCCCACTTATGTGGGAAATCTTCATTCCAAAAGGCCTCGAGACAGGACATGGTGAGTGTAAAAGAGGCACAACTTTAAAGAACTTCTTAGACAAGTTAATAAGAAAAAAAAAATCTAGAAATACCTCCTCTGATTCAAAATTTCTTTGGTGCAAGTGGCTGCAGGCTGGTCTTGGAGGCTACACATGCCGCCAGGCACTCAGAGGAAGGATGCAGGTAAGAAAAGCTTTTGGCTTAGTCCAGTGGAGCAGCTCTTATGTTCTCTTTGTTTTGTTTCTCCTGAAACACTATACTGCATTTACTTTTGATGTTACATACATTATATCCCCAAATTTGATTGATTTCTTTTTTTTAAAAGGTTTAGAAGTACAAAATTAAATCTCTGAGGTCTCAAGCAAACCATCCAAAAATCTGGAAAATCTATACTGAAGTGGGAACACCCTCAGTCTGATTCTTCACCTGTTCTAGGGTAACTCACAGGGCCTCAAGAATGCAATCCAGGACTGCAAAAGGCTTTTAGTCCTATGCATAAAGACAAGCCTGTCCCTCCTGATAGCAGTCATCACATCCTGCTTCCTATTGGAGAGTCCAACAATGTGCCAGCAAGATGACTAAGGGACTGGAACATCTTTTTTTTAAATCAGGAAAGACTGGAAGAGCTGGGGCTTTCTAGCCTGGAGAAGAGATGGCTTAGGGGAACCTTATTGACATCTGTAAATACCTGAAGGGAAGGTATAAAGACAGAGCCAGGCTCGTCTCAGTGGTGCCCAGTGCCAGGACAATAGGCAGTGGGCACAAACTGGAGCACAGGAGGTTCTGTCTAAACATCAGGAAGCATTTCTGTGCTGGGTGGGTGATGGAGCACAGGCACAGGTTGCCCAGAGGGGCTGTGGGGTCTCCTCTTTGGAGAGAGGATCTTCAAAAGCCACCTGGACACAGCCCTGGGCAGCCTGCTCTGAGTGTCACTGCTTGAGCAGTGGCTGGACCAGGTGGACCAGAGGTGCCTTCCGACCTCAACCATTCTGTGATCACACTGAATTCTCTCTTTGTACATAGCATTGCTTGAGTGGAAAACTCCCACTGTAAAATTACATACAAAACCCCCCATTTGAATCATTTTCTGTTCATAACATTTACACACTCTTCTTGTATTTTAAATACAACAGTGTCAGAAGTTAATTAACTAAGAGATTCATCTCCGTGCCAGCCTTTCCACAACCAAACATAAGCCAGATGCTTACCAACAGCGGCAGGCTTCCTTCGCATGGAAGCTCGGATAATATCTGCTCCATGGATCTTATCTCTGTGCCTCTTTGACTTGGCTTCATAAAACCACTGTCCGCTCATGTTCTTTAGCTGAACATCGTCTTTGATTTTCTCTGGTAAATGCCTGGAGGGAAGAAAAGATTGAAAAATGACAGAGACATGCACAGACTACTTATCTGTATGAAAAGAAGGGAAATACGAAATATGATGTAGATACATGTATACAGGTTCCCACCAGTACTGAATGCAAGATAACAGGTGGGGGAAGGAAGTGGCAAAAAGTACTAAGTAATAAAATATTTTTCTGCTGCTTTGTCTTTCTGCCTTTTAAGACTCAAAACACCTCTTGCAGAAATCAGGAGATGACAAGGAGATGAAATAATCAAAGCCTGGATGGATCTGTTCCAGTGCAGTGCTCTGGAAGTGCTTAGGTGTGGGTTTTTTTGTTTATGGATTTGGATTGTTTGTTGTTGCTTTTGCTTGTTTGATTGTTTTCAAGCTGTCTCAGCATGCTATTTCCCTCTTCTAACCAGTTACTTCCCTTGTTTGATTACGAGTTATGATTATGAGAGATGACAATGAGCTGGGGAGGGAAAAGCCTCAGCCCCGCTATCCTCAGAGCATCCGTTAAAGGAGCTCTTCAAGAAGATGTTTTGCTCTGATCAACTTACAAGCTGAGCCAGCCCTGGAAAAGCCTCCAGTAACTGCAGATTGTGACTTCTGCCTCCGAAGGCCCGTTGTCCCAAGGTTAAGGCTGAGATAAGCTATCAGGGCAGCACAGGACATCTGTGCCAAAGGCGAGTTCAGGGCTGTTTTGAGGCTCAGATGCTTTGTCAAGCTGTTCATGCGGTATTGCCACCTCTACACACACCCTCCAGAAGTGTACTGGACAGACAGTTCCAGTTTTTGTTAAGTTTTATGTGAATGCAAGAAGTTACAGAGGAAGGCAGCAGGGTCACCCTGCTTTTTCAGGTCATACTTTTAACGGATTTGCAGTTTCAGAGATCATTTCCTTTCCTTGTTAGGTACATAACACGTGAGTCATTTGTCTTATATGTGGCCTGGAGACCAACCCACAGACCAGGAAAGTTGCTATGCAGATTTAGAGGGTACTTTCTCAAGAGAGGAAAAATAATAAAAATAAAATCGGGATTCACATGCTTTCTCCATTCGTGACGCTTCAGGAAATAAGCTAAAAACAAAGTCGAAGAGAAAACAATTCTGCAAGTTCTCAGAAACATTAAGACTAAACACGTGTCACGTTGCTACGGGATGGTGTTATCCTTTGCAGGTCTGATGGCCAAGGTCACTGCCAGCTTTGTAGTGCTGGTGTGTTTAGGTCACGAAACTTCCTGTCCACTCACCCAGCTACAATCACAGTCCTTTTACTGGATGTCACAGATCAGACTGCCAAGCACAGACAGGGATTCCGAACAGAAAAAGGGCACTGAGCCAGTCCCAACCCTGACACGAAGAGGCCCTTCTCACCTGCTGCTCAGCCCCTCCTTCAGCCTACTAGGGCAAGAAATCAGTGTTTATTTGAATGCCCAGCTATAGCAGGATTTGAATACTTGAACTTCTCTTGGAAAGCAGCTGTCAACAGTCAGTCCCTCCTCTGCAGATGTAAGAGCAGCTTCTCTGCCTTGAATCACCTACATCCCACTGAGGTTGCCAGCAGCCAAGGCCACCATTGGCTTTTTCAGTGCCAGGATTCAGCATTACTGGGCAATGTAAAATTTGGCCTTCCCTCTTGCCTATAACTGTGCTTCATCCAAGCCAGAACATGCTTTTCTCATCCACTGCAAGTCTTCCACGTTGGAAAAGGAGCCCAGCTGTAGCTTCCCCCTGTCCTCAGGCAGACGTTGCTCAGCTGTGAGGCAACTCCTCGCTGCTCAGCCTGTCTGGGTTCACAAACATCAGGAGGAATGGAGGAACTTGTACACAGATGATCGCTTCCCCCTTTCACCTTCTTTCCCAAGTGTGTTATTCACCTTCTCAGAACAGATGCTCCTTTAGGCTAGGGCCTGGCTTTTCAGCTATTTGCACAGCCCGCAGGCCAGCAGAGCCCTGACCCCAGCTGGCACTGCGGGGCTGGATGAGAACACGTTCCAAGTGAGGTTCTCGAGTGGAAAGGGACTGAGTCACAGGAGAAGCATTCAACGGCCTCCCTCTGCTTGATTCAGCCCTTCTAGCCCGGGCATTGCTCACTTTTCACCTCTGCGTGCAACCACTGGAACCAGGGTGTGGCAGGAAGCCTATACGAGCCCAGCAGATCCCTACAGAAGCAGGGTTTGCACCATTTCAGCTGGCAGGGAATGGAGGATGCTGTGCTCCCACCCCTGCGTGCTGCCCACAGAAGTCAGCATGCCTGAACTCCACCAGCTCAGCCAGCCTCCCGGACCTTGGGAGGTAACTGTGCTAGCACAGAGGTAAGCGTGGCCTCAATTTACCCTGCACTTTCTGTACAAGTTACGTGTCTGGCTGGCAGAGCTTGCATTTTTAAGATGTGATGGAAGCTGACCACAACAGACTTAGGAATTTATTTCTTTTGCCTTCTCACCTGCATAGTCTGAGCACTTTTGACCTTGGTTAGACTGTCTTATCCCTCCTCTCATCAAGAAAAGCATACAGCCTCTCAGTCTCACCTTCTGGGGAATTAAAGCAACAAATACTAGCTATTCCCAGCCATTTACCAGCCACAAATAAAAAGGCAGACTTCCAATAAGAGAAATACAATTAGTTTTAGCTCTTGGCAGGAAAAAAAAAAGAGCTTTGGGAAATCTACGTTCACCAACACATCACAGACTCATTGCAAAAACAAATGCTGAGGTTACAAGTGACAATTTTTACAACACAATTTGAGTTCTCAAGCTCTGCTGTGAGCAAGCCTCAGCAGTTAAAAAAATCTGATTGTACTGTGTGTGCCTGTTTCACTGCTGCGCACAGGATTTAGGTTGTGGTTTACCTTTAAAGGAATTGTGCAGAAGCCAGACTGCAACCACGGTTTTCCACGGCTACGTAACTGGAAGCCACAGAACTGGAAGCCAAGGGCTGATCCTGCGCCAGCTCCTCTGTCAAGAGAAAGGCTGACCAACGTGGCATTACCTCGTTTTCCTCCTGGTGAGGAAAGGACTAGCTGGAACCCAGATTAGGATTCAGATTGCAGGCTCCATCTGCCGAGTTTGCAATTAGGAAAAAACGCAGTAATGACTTCACATAACGTATGCATTTGTTGTAGAGCTCCTCGGTGGTCTCTCAACGTGCCAGGTACCCTGTGCTGCAGTTTTCAGAGTGAAACAGCCTGAAGATATTATAAAGCTAGCTCCTGTCTCTACTACAGAGAGGTTAAACTCGAGAGTGAAGGTATGCAAGTCAAAAAGAATTCACTCTAACACCCTCTTTTAAAACAAGACTTGAGTTTACCCATTACTTAGCAGGCTTTTCCCACTGTGTCTTGGCAAAACATTTTTGATGGCAAGACAACAAACTCCTCTTCCCACCTGGGCATGAAGTGTGTGCAGAATTACTCTGATTTTTGCATGCAAAGCAACTGTCAGGCACTCTGCAGGCAAAGCCTACCCATCATGTATAAAATGGGTTGTCTCTCCCCACCTCTGGAACATCTGATAGCAGGCTAAACCACATGGTACCACCACTGCAAGGCAGGAAATCTGCTCTGATACAATCAGCCCGCGTCAACCCTGCTATCAGCAAATCCACACCATTTATCTTGCGCTTTGTAGGCTGGTGTGAGAGCTTACTGCCTGGTAAAGCAAAGCGATAATGACCTCGGGGGTTTTGTTTGTTTGTTTTTTGCCATTATTGTTGTTTGTTTGTTTGTTGTTTGTTTTGTTTGTGTTTTTTTTTTTTTTTTTTAAATAACAATATCCAACAATACGTACCTGATATCTACGTACCATATCTAATACTGCTCAGCTAGACCTCCTCAGCATCTCTTCACTCCTTCCCCTTTTCCCTCTTGGTGGTTACAAACCACCAGAGAAATTGCAAGAGGTGACAACTCAGAAGAAATCAGGGTCTGTGTTTGGCTCTAAGCAACAGATTTGGTTACTATTAATTAGTATTTAGTTATATTATTTATTACTAGTGTCTCACACACTCTATTCTGAACTTATGATAAAAGCACCCCAGTGCCCAGTGGCAAAACAAATGTTTTTTAAAGCCTGACACCACCAACTTGTCTATAAATCCACTTCAAAAGCCTTCCTCTTACAAACGAAATACCAAATGAGTAGAGAAAAAGGAAGGAGAGAGACTTTTCAGGAATTTACCCTCACTTCTATTTGCTGCAATTATAACCAAAAACCCTAAACCAACAAAAAGAAAAGGGATTTAGGTTCTGTGTTTGGAAGCTGATCCAAACAACCCATTTTTATGCTTTTTGCAGGACCACTCATGCAGCGACAGGAGTAAAAGAATATTAGACAAGACACCCTGTCAGGCCTGGTGATTTTTTTTTTCCTTCTTCTATGAGAAGGCTAAACAGCCATAAAAGGCTTACAAGTCGAAAGGAGTAACTGTACACACCACAATCTGCACAAACATGCCACTCTGCCCATATCTCAATAAGGCACAGAGATAGAGAATTCTGGCATTTGGTAGAGAACTACACCCAGAACTTTTATAACGGCCAAGCCTGAGTGAGGAATAGGGATTTTTCTTTTTGCATAGCAGCTACGTGTGTATAATTTTCAAAAAAATAAATCCTTATTTGATTGGTATAAATAATGCAATGTAATTTTAAACTGGTTGAAGGCCGCAGTAAGAAAACACAGGAAACCAGTGAGGTTAGATCACCTTTCCCCATCCCTGTGATGATACCTCATCAGCAACACCTCCTCAATTCTTGCTTTTGGGGTTTCCCTGTGTGGCAATGTTCTGGGTAATTTGAAGTAGGCAGGGACATGAGGAGAAGGCAGCCTAGTTCTGTTCATGGCACGCACGTTCTTCTGTTTTAATACAGCCAGACTTTTGGATAGGCACAAGTCTACTGGTGATACCCTGATGAAAATCTCAGCCACCTTCTTGCTGTGGGATCCTTGGAGGAGTAAATTGGCTGTAGTCAGCACAGATCCTTGTGGCTAAAGAGACAAACTTATTCTGAAGTAGGAGAGGAAAACAAATTCAGACCTGGAGCATCAGAATGGCTGAACTACACACTTGTGAGACAAGCCTGATTTTGAAGAGAAAGGAGTGAAAGCTGGCAACTCTGGAGTCACTCATTGAAATGTGTTTTGGAACCGAAACAACAATCCCAGCTTCTATGCTAAACATCTTTTTGTGAAACTTACAGGCCAGATTAACCCTGCTATGCAGCATTTCCCTCCTAAAAGGTGCCAATGCCTGGGACACCAAACTAACATCTTGTCCCTGTATTTCATTTAAATTATATATACGTTATGCACTGAATGCCAAGTCCTTTATTCTTGTATGCTTTTCTACCACATCTCCTTCAGTCAACACATTTATTCTCCTACTATCAGTAGCACTGTTAAGCTCAAAATAAGCTTCATTACACAAGTAATACACGATAAATCATGTAGATACTGACTAAGCAGACAAACAAAGACAATTTTCTTGGGCATTCCTGACTTTATACAAGCCTGACTTCATTCCATTCGGGAAATCTGTAGCAGGACTGTTGAGGTTGCAGAGCAGAGGGCAGGCGTTTAAGGTCTGCCAGCCCTCGTGGTTTCTGTTAGCTTCCACCTGCCTCATTTCTCTTACAGCCTTCCACTGTTTGGTCAGCCTGTTTGCTTTCAAGGATTTGCATTGAAGCTTGCAGTGGCCTCGCCTCCCTCTTCATACACAACCCAAATAAACCTGCCAGGGAAAACAAACCTTGAACCCTTCTCAAGAAAGGAGCAGCCGTCCTGTGACAAGATATCTGTGACAAGAGCCAGCCTGGGACAGCAGTACAAGATGACCTGAATCTGAGGAGGAGAGGTTGCTCTATGTACCTGTATTCTCTCACAGGATTTGTCCAAACACCACATTCTTAGTATGTCACAGGCATTAAGAACAGATGTATAAAGCCTAAAAAACAACCCTGACCAAATGACAGATGACAGGACTTACACAGCAACTGTAAATGAGCAACGAACCTGCATTATTGGAATTGATGCTGTGTTGAAGACTGGATTTCAGACCAGATACAGCATCAAGACCATTTAATCTAAAGACAAAAGTTTCAGTTTGGCACTCATTTGGTCACATCTGATGCGAAAAAAGTCACATTTTGGGTTAAAAAATGCCCACAAGGCAAGATAATTCCAGAAGAGAGGAACTTGTACTCTTTCCCCAGACAGATGCATCTTGTAGCTCCAGCAGGAACTTGCTCACGTCACTTTATTCAGGTACTTACGTACTCAAGAAAGCAGCAACTGTCGGTGCTGCTTGAGAGCTTTAATAACAGCAAAAGGTCTCAGAATCATGCTCACTAATGAGTAAGGCTGTTAAAAGTAATTGGAGGTCCCTAGTAGAACCAACAGATCCAGATATATGATTTCAGTACAAATTAGAAAAATAGCATGAATTTCAATTAATAACTATTATTATCTTCCATTTTTTCTCTACTATGTCTGAGAAGTGAGAGCAAATTCTGTCTGACAATTCTGTCTCTCTGTATTTTCAGAGAAAGAGTGCAAGCAACCTATCCATTAGTATCTTACAATAGGTCAATATATGGAGGTTTTTTTATCACTAACACTGGAATTACTCACATAATAAAAAATCTCCTTGTTGGCACAAGATTACGTCCTAAGAAATGCAATAATTAAATTCACTGCGAAGCAAGTTTGGTTTTGTTTTGTATGTTTTTAAAATCAGCTCCACGAGAACTGTAGGCTTTATTTTCTTATTAGTTGCACTTATTATTACTAGATTAGTTTGAATCAAAATCCACTGAGGCCTAGGGTGACATCAGTCCCCTGAGAGAAACCCCCGAGTTACGTTACTAGACAGGACGCCTCTGGCAGGATCCTAACACATCCTTAGATATAAATGTAGAGAAACTGAAGGCACGTACAGGTGACAGCATCGATCCAGAACCCAAGAAGGCTTTCCAAAAACCTTAGTGTGGATGATGACCAGCCTAAGATACCTCGAACATACAAGGTGTCACCCTGTCCACTCATCAGGACAGAACGGAGAGCATGTACAAACACACTGCGCTCTTGCCTCACCTGTGAGCCACATGGCTCTTCCAAATGTTATTTTTCCAATAATTTACAGATACCCAAGCTTTTATCATGAAGTAGTCCAAATATCATGTAAAGGGATTTATAAGAAAAAAGGTAGTGAGATGAACATCTTTTGCAGAGACTTAACTTTAAAAATAACCCCTAGCTATTCTTAAAACATTTGGAAAACACACCCTGGAGGCAGAGCAGCAAAAACAGGTAATTCTTTTCAGAAGACAGAGGATTAGTTTTGACAGCACCTGAAAAACATCATCTCCAGGTTCTTTTGTCTCTAACCAGCTCTTTAAACTTGAACTGGTCCTCATGTTCAAAATCATCTCCACCGAGAACTGTCCCTGGAGGTCTTTAAAAGACGTTTAGACGGTTTAGTGGAGGACTTGTTAGTGTTAGGTCAGAGGTTGGACTCGGTGATCTTGGAGGTCTCTTCCAACCTAGATGATTCTGTGATTCTCTGTTAAGCACACCCTCAAAATTCGTTATACCAATCAGAAAAGCACTTCTGAAACTTTTCAGAATGAGTCCTGATGACAGTCACTGAAAGTCACTTTCACGTTAGTCTGGTTCCACCAAGGCTAACAGTTCGTGCTAATACCTTACATACCTCCCAATCTTCAAAACAAATATACAGAGAAAATCCACTTCCTTCTGACAGCCTGCAACACAAGGAGCGTTGCCTTGCAAAGCAACTGAGTAAGAGGTCTGCTAAGGCTGAACAGGAACAAAAACCAACTTCTACAAGGGTTTCCACATTCCCACTGACCTGTAGGAGAAAGCAAGGGCACGTAATGCCCAACAGAACCAGAGATCTGGAGGTTTCTCTCAGTGACAGCCAGTGCCATACCCCCTGATGCATTACAGGGCGCTCTGCAGTCACCACCCTCCTCACAAACAGCTCCTCATCAGCATTTCCCTATTGTGAGCCTCCCTCATTTACACAAGAAGCAAATAACCCCAACCACAGCCCACAACAGTGCTTCCAGGAGCTTCTGGGGGAAAGGAGAAAGAAAGAAAGAAGGGGGGAAAGGAGAAGTGCAAGGCTGGCAGCGCCTCTTGGGGTAATGGAGCAAAGAGAGGCTTCTCATCCTAGGCAACAAAGAGGATGAAGAATCCACTGATTTCTTTGCATCACACCTCTTGTAGTCAGATTTCTCCATCAGCCTTTTGTCCATGAGAAGCATCAATATCTGTTTTCTTTTGGGAGAGACCTTGGCAGAGGTAAAAGGGAAGCAGGGATGCTGTTCCCCAAACCACCAGCATAACTCTGAGCACCACAGAAGAAGCTGCAGGACTGGGGTGAGCATCCGTTACAGCACACGACAAGCCAGGAATTAAAGCTGACGGCCTGAAGAGGCTGCGCGGGCAACTTTGACTTTCAGCCACACAGCAGCAGGAGCTGCGAGGAGGGAAAGGGCTCATCAGGCGTTTTGTAAAATTCCACTAAGGTGGTGCTCAAAGAGGATTTTGTCATGTTACCGGTTTGTCAACACTCCAGAAAGACAGCACACAGGCTCCATAGATGGAACGGGTTATTACAACACCCTTCGAGCCTCAGAATTTCTTTCTAGAGGGGAAAAAGATCACATGAAAAGGCTTCCATTATACATACATACAAACAGCACTTTGTCAGGCTGTGATACTTGGATAACGACATTCGATCCCAGCTCTTAGAGTCCTCCAGGTGTGCAAGGCTGTAGAATTCAAACCAAAATATTACATCTCCTTGGCTGGAGAGCTAACTGACGGAGCGTTTTAACATATACCATATATAAAAAACAAGCTCCGTGTGCCACATCTACGCAGGAAAATCGGTTTCAGATGTAAGCTTCCAGAAGTTATAATATTCAGAAACCAGAGGAGACACTCAGTTGTAGAAACATGCTGATTACAGGCTACTGCAACCTGCAGGCCTTTGCATTTTCCACCACACCCTCTCAAGCTACAAGTAACAAATGGCACAAGCCAAGTTCCACAGACAAAAATAGTCGTTGACAGTGTTTTTGCAGACCACAACTAAGAGCGTCCTTTTAGATTTGCTGCTCCAGGAGGATTCCTTTTCCCAGATATTTTCAAACTCATGGCTGCAATTACTTCTGAGAGCTTTCAGACCTGGCACCGTGGTGCCATTCCAACAGTAAAGCCGGTATTTTCCTGCCTGGAGTAAAGAAACGAAAATACCCCTTCTGCTACAATTAAGTCCCTTCTCTGCTTTTTGAAATAGGAGACAAGTCTATGTGGCAAAACCATCTCCCTCTCAAGTTGCATTAAAAAAAATTGGGAAAATAGGAACATTGCTAGTAAGGATTTGACCTCCAGCGAAGCACGTGCCTTGAGCAAAGATGCCTTTCTAACCAGAAGCTACTTATTTCCCCTGAGAACATTAAAGGAGAAGAACAGGAGGAGGAATAAGCTAATAACTTGCTGCGTGCAGCTGACCAAAAGCCACCAAGACTGTACAAGCATACTTAGCTTGTACACTGCTTTTGGAGCAAGTGGCTGGCTGCTGTTTCATTTCCTTTTGGGATATACCTACACAGATGCCAATCGTCAAAAAATATTTCTCTGCAGACAAGCAGCATCATGGTTAAGAGTAACTTCAAAAGATTTAATTAGGGAATACATATCTCCATCAAGAAAATCACAATGCAGAAGAATCCTAGAGAAGATTCCTGAATCGATAAAGAGAAAATCCAGCCTCAGAATAAAGCTGTGTAAACATCAGCCTGTGTTACGGCACCTTGACCGGTCAGCATGTAAGGTTCCTTCTTTGTTGTTGGGCCTTTTTGCATTTTGGGTACTGAGTCTGACTGGAGAAAAAAAGAAAATTAAAAAGACTAACTGCTAAAATCCTCATTCGTGAGCAGTTATCTGCCTGTGTTAGCTGAAACCATCATTAAGCTGCTGTTTGTACCAGCGTGGGTGACTTTCCCAAAGTCCAGCCATCGAGGCAATGCTGCTTTCAACAAACGCATCTCTATTCGTGGCAATTACCCTGCCAGTAGCTCCAGGAAAACCTCCCAGCACACAAAACACTCTGCAGTACACGCAGTACAGCTTCCCAAACAATCCATTGCTCCTTCTGTGACACCACAACACAAACAGGGAGCAATTTTCTACATGAACCATGGCCTGCAAGGACTTCTTTTGGCAACGAAGCGTAGTGTCAGTACCTCCTCTGGACTGTTACACCAACACTCCAGGTATTTGAAGTGTAACTCCTTCACTCAGGCATTTTGCTGACTACACCTACCCTGACTTCTTTTGTTTGGGGCTCTAGTGCTCTTTTTATTTGGCAAATACCCCCACTTATTACACACTGGCTCAGGTTGCAGGTTTTGATACTTGCAAACTAAATTCTTTCCAAGGAAACCAACACAGGAGTTCTGTTCAGGTGCATACCAACTGTGTAGGACACCCCAGGATGTCCTGGGAAGACAAGTCCCTTACCTGACTCTCTCCTCTTCAGCTTTTTTTAGCTCTGCGTCCCGTTGCAGCACCTTCATTATTGCCTCTTGCTCCTCCTCTGTTAGGAAGCTCAGGTCAATCATCTTGGTGGGCGTAGGTAGGGTTAAGCCTCCAGAACGATCTTAAATCCTGCTGAGGTTAGTCTTGGAGTCCCTTTTAAGGGTATAGAAAAGTCTTTTTCAGCAGGCCCTGAGAAAACTGGACCCCGTTACAGTCTGTGATTTAAAAAGCCACAGTTTTGGTTTTGTTGCTGTGGAGTAAGCACATGCTTCCCTAGATGAGATATTTTTGGGAAGGTGCCTCATTGCTGCTTGCCATTGCAACGATGTCTTCTCAGCTCTGCTTGCTGCAGTAAGAGGTCATTGATCCAGCACATCCAGTGTTTAGGAGCAGCCTAATCATTCCTAAAAGAGAGACAAGGAAGAACAAGCTGTAAACATCAGGGAAGTTGTTTACGTATGTTTTTTTTAATTAAAAGAAACGAGTTTTTCAGTGTGATTAAACCACTTTGTGAAGTTCAAATGGTCACTTCAAGTCAAACTCGTTTCACAGGCCTCCTGAACAAGGTGGTCACAACAATATATTCCTCTTCAATATACTGACTCACGCTGAAACGCAGAACCAAGCAAAATTTACAAATAGGTGCATTTTAAGCTGTCCTTTCAGTCAGCAGAACAACTCAGAAGGAAGGAGAAAAAAAATAAAAAAAGAACACTGAGGGCTAGAAGTTGAGGGTTTGTATAAAGAGACTGCCCAAATTCCAGGAACAGAAACCAAGTAAACAAAAACCACTAACAAAGCAACAACAACACAACCAACAACACCCTAACACTTGAGCTAAAACTCCCAAGCTTGCCATGCTGGTTTCCTTATCGTTAGCACATTTCTAGGACACCATTTTTGGCAGGTCACCAACCTAAGATAGCAGAAGAACCATCCCATAAGGACAAGCCATTGAACTTTTGGACCCTACTCCACTCCTACCACGCTGTGCGCGCCTTGCCCTCCACACCTATCTTCCCACTCCGAGTCTTCAAAGACTCCTTCCTCCTTCCAGGAGATCAGAAAGGCAGCAGTCATCACAAGCCCCGGAGGAAAAATCCTGAGGAAGTCATCAGAAGGCTGCCAAACACAACATGTTGCAGCAGCGAGATGGGAGGAGGCTGGGAATGCATCAGAGGAATTTGTGTGCTCCAATTCAAGTCGTAGGGAGCGTGTTCTCCAGCGACTGCAACGCCTCTTTCTGTGGGATTTTGTCTTGTCTGTAACAGAAGTGTTTATCACAAACGTTTCTCACTTCTACTCAGAACAACAAGCAGCAGTTTTAAGAGATTCATTCTTTAAATTCCTCCCAAATGGGAATTCTACGACAGATTTTTGACCAAAATACACTTTCTCTCAAAACAAACACTCCTCCTGCAGGGTCAGATACCACATTTACAAAGTCAGGATCCTTACAGCACCACTTGAAAACTTCTGGAAGCTGTTGTGAGTTGCTGGAGAACAGCTGTCATCCTGACCTGCCACCTGAGGCTCAGGAGGAATGGATGCATTTCCAGAAGATGTGTATTGAAGTTTGAATCACTTCCCTTTCCTTTGTACCAGCCCCCGCCTTGGGAAGGAAAGTCAGGGTATCTACAGGATGCTACAGGCTGCAACACAGCTGAATTTACAAGATTTGACTTTTACTCACAACATCTTACTACTGAAAGTGTATAATTCTGTTAGGAATGTGATCACATGAAGGCCACCGTGCTGCAGAACATCTGTAATAAAAGCAAAATAGTTTCTACATAAACATCCTGACTATGTGGAATCAGGAATCATGCAGTAACACGGACCTCACTGCTTTGCCCAAACCAAACCATGTCCTTGAGCAGGAATTTCAAATGCTGCTTTGACTGTGCCTGCTCCTGAGTCTGTGAATGTTCAACCAAGAGGTCAGAACAAGGTATCAGCGCTGGCACCACACAAAGGGAAACATCATCTCTAAAGGCAACAGCATTTTGTACAGATGCAGAATGAAACTGTGAGTAGGTTGATGGTCATGCCCCACTTGCCCTGAAAAAGCCCCACAGCTTTCTGCCTGTGGTTGTGTTTGACTGCTATGTGAATCTTCTCCGTGATTCTCATTGGGATTTTGTTCCGTGAAGTCAACGTAACAGTATCTCAAACACCCTGCCATCAGCAACTCTGGCCTTTCTGAAGCAGATTCAGAAAATAGTGATTTATCCCCTAATTAGGCAGAAGTAAGAAGTGCTCGCTACAGAGCCACAAACACGCACAACTCTGACTTTGTTCAGAACCCACAACAGGTACGGCTGTCAGCCTTGACCGTCGCGTGCAAGCTTTCCACAGCAGCTGATAAAACATTCAGCATCTGCAGGGCTGCACAAAAACCCTGCTGCCTGGCTGGCACATGCACACCTGTCACAGGCCCAGAAACCCACGTTGCAACCACAACCTGGGCAGCTCTGACTTGGAATCACAAAGGATCTCTTTTCCTTGTCAGTCAGGCAAGCTGCTTGCAGCAAGTCCATGAAGCCTGTAAGGAAGCTGCCGCAGAAGTAGCACCTTTGTCTTCAAAGGAAGCTGATAGAGGAGAGTTACATCTATCAGTTTAACCCAAAACTCTAAAAGAAACAGCAGGGCAGCCTTTACAAACCAGGCCTGGGGGAGATCAAAGCAAGGCCCGCTGCTACGAACCCTCCCACATACCATCATTCTGCAGAGCAGTTTCCACAACTAGCTTCATGTTCCCACTTCATTTTCGGGATGTCCTTCAAACAATTCACCTCTCACCCAGTAAAGGGAATGGGATAAAGCTCCTGGACTAAACACAAGCTTCACAGTGCCATGTTTTGCTAAGTTTAACACATCGTGCCTGACTTTATCGGGTCATGATCTCCTCCCAGCTCTGCGGAGGAGAGCCCTGTATGAATTCCGTTCCACATACCCACTTGCATTCATCCTGTACGTAGATTTGCATGGCATTGCATGAGTTGGTTTTGCTCCTATACTAGGTTAGGACAAAAAGCTTCCCAAGTCTTAAACTGCAGCCCAGATCCTTTAGGTTCCTTTGCAAAGATAACAACATGATGCTTCAGTTAAGGCATGTCTGAGTAGCTGAAAAACTGGCCCCTAATCTCTCCAGATAACCAGCTGGTGAAAAAAAAAAAAAAAAAAAAAACATTATTTTTTTCCCCCCTTTTAATGTGCATCATCCATACAGCGCAAACTGTATCACATTTCACCGTGATAACAAGTCTTTAGTCACTGGAAGCAGGCCAGTCACAAACTGAAGGCAGGATGGATTTCAGTTTAAACAAGACAAAACCCTCTTTCTGTGCGGGGCGTACCTGGGCAGCCTCGGGAGAACCACTGCTTACACAGCAAGACTGGCTTTCTGCAGAGGGCTGTAAGCACTGCTTCCAAGCACAGAGAGTAAAAAAGCAAAACAAACAAAAAAACCACACAATTGCTGGCTTTGAATGGAGTACCTGTTATAGGTCAAAGGCCAAATCTCAAATTCAATGCCTCTCTCCACTCCAAGTCATCCACCACCACCCCGAGCTTAATTCTTCTGCTTTCCTTTTTCTTCTTCTTCCCCTCTTTTTCCACAAACTTTTTCTTAAATCCCCTGTACGTGCTGAAAAGATTTGAGAGGTCTCAGCATTTTCTTCGGAGCCACTGTTATGGGAAGTTCTCCTTTGGCTGGAAAGCTTTCAGAATCAAGTTCCACATACGACTGAAACATCCCACAGCAGACTGATTAAATCATAGAAATCAACAAACACCACAGTGACTGATTTCTGGAGAAAAGCAGTCATCTTACATTGTAGACTAGCATTTATGAGTCTTGATATATTTAGCTTTTTTTCCCCCTCAAATCCAAGTGAAACCACACCAAACTGCTCCCTTTCATAAAAGTTTTCTACTCCCTGTAATAAACGGGAATCTGAAATCATGTTTTCTGTAACTCCTGCATGAAAGCTTTTGTTTTGACAATTAAAAAAAAAAAAAAAAAAAAAAAAAGGCCTGAGATGCAGTGTTTTTCTCCCCACCCTCAACTCTTAAGTTGCTCACAACTTCCAAGTGCTCTAGCCCTGGCAACCATCCAGAAATTGTCTTCTAAATGTTTCCCAGAACCTCCTGAAGTGGTTTTGTGTCTCGATGCCTTTAAGTTAGGCTTTACATTTTTCTTGTACACAAGTCATAAGAGACCGACAACCTCGTTTGCCCTGCACCGAGCCTTATTTTTTCCCCTACTTTCTCCCCAGTAGGAAAAAGGGAATCTGAATTCAAATACTGTTTATGAGCTACCATATTAAGAGGTACCACAATTATAGCCCTGTTGTTAAGTCTTTACTCTGTGCATACATATGGGATGAAATGAGGGAGAGGCAAGGAAGAAGCCGGAGTAGTTTGCCACGACTGACATTAAGTCATCGCCAGGATCAGAAACCAACCAGCGCAGCCCCAGTCAGCCATTCCATCCAAATCAACAACACTTCATTTTGCGTGCAGCAGCCTCATAACATCTTACATTTACATTGCAAAGTTGCTTTTCAAGGGCTCCTCAAGCTGCTAACGCTTTGCTTGGGAGAAGCTGTCTTGCATCCAGCACCTTCTCACACGAGGAATGCGGTGACAGCCAACCCTATGCTTTCTGCTGCTTTTTGCACCCTGGTTTGTGCCAGCTCCTTCAGGTGAAGGCACAATTACCCCGCAGGCCTGGCTGACCAACAACTCTCACCTTCATCATCTTCACGCCATAAGAAATTCAGTTTCAAGCATCCTACTGGCTCTTAACTGTAAGCGGATTTGGTTTCCTGACTAATTCTTCTCCAACACACCAGCGCTGGCAGCTTGGGGGAGCTGGAAGTCCAGACACAAGGCAACAGGAAGCTGAGGAAGACAGATAAACAGAATCGTGCAGCCCAATTTGCATCTGCAGACAAACTCCTTATTCTCAGAAAAGGGGTGACTGTATTTGTCCTCAACACACATGCTCAGGAAATAATTCATCCTTTATTTTTGGAACGAGGAAGCCCACAACACTAGGAGAAACAAGAGCTTTGCAGGACTGGCTGCCATCACCCTGGGGAGTAACATCAGGCAGTAATGGGAAAGAGTTTTTTACTTTAAGGAAAAAAAAAAAAATCACACTTTCCTGAACAACTTTATTCTCCACTAACTTTTATCCAACACAGTCACAAGTAACGCAGCACCATCCTGGGTTCAGGGAGTATAATTTCTCTAAATACATGATGCAAATTCCTTGGAAGGAGAACAACTCATTAAGCTAAACGCCAGCGCTGGCACAAGCACAAGTAGTTTAAGACAGTCATGAAGATACTTGTGCAGGAGGTCAGAACACTACAGAGTTAACTTTGGGTAACGGAGAAAGAAAACCTTCTAACTTTTAAAAGGGACTTAAGTTTTCATTCAAGACTTTAAAACATGGTTGGCTCTACTGGAATAAGCCTGAACTTCAGCACGCAGGAGGAGGCCTGTTGCCATTTTCATTCTTGAGGGGGCAGAAGAGAAGAGATCTCCCAGTCAGATATGCATATCTGCAGCCAATCCAACTGCTCTTTCAGGAGGTGCTATCGGAGTGTTTAAGATGATAACAGCCACATGTACAACATAGATCAGATTTCCAGCAGACCCAGAGATTAACTTAAAGGGCTGTGTTTGCCAACATGTATGTTTAGTCAGTGGGAGGCAGGGAGGCTTTTATCTAGCTGGTTGTGAAGCAGGTGGTGGCAGTGGTATGGGGAGCTTTGCAGAAATAGGGAGTATCTGCAATAAAAAATTGCCCTTACAAACACAGAAATGATTTATTTTACTCCAATAATAAACCTACATGCTCCCCTGTAGGATACTCATTACTATACAGTTAAGGGACTTATCTGCAGTTATAGTACCAGGCAACTACTCAAAATAGCACAACAGGAAGCCAAAAAAAAGACACAGCACAAACCTTGCTCACACCTTACCCTCGCTCACCAGTATCAAGATGACTCCAGTTGGTTTTAACCTGCAAACTAGCTGCAATCCTGAAGTATTCTCTCCGATGGCCTTATAATAATTATATAATAATTTTCCAGAACATTTAGCATTACTCATTGCTGGGTTTATAGCAAATACAACTGGAGTAATGCAAGCACTTGAGAGAAGCTCCACTTTTCTCCAGTAATACCTGCATTGGTGGTCCACGCTGCTCTGCCTGTGATTTACTTTTTTGGGGGTAAGATGTCAAGGCCACCATTGCGTTGATATTACACGGGCAATTGTTCTGGTTTACGTAAAATTTACTCCGAACAAAAGAGCAAAGCATTAACAACATGAATTAAAAAAAGCTAACAACTGAAAATTGGAAGAGGAAAGAACAATTTGTTTTGGTTGTGGCCTAATCCCTTTATTAAGGCATGGCAGCTTGCCACTTCTTTTCATAGGGCTCGGATATTGGCAGCAGTGCCTAGGAAAGAGAATCTCTCTACCTACCACGGCATACAGTCATTAGGCCAGTGGTTTCAAAAAGATGTGGTCTCTGGAACAGGAGGTTCATAAATTAAAGAGGAACCCAAGAAAAACACACCTAAATTGTTCTTTTCCCTGTGACCATAGTTCAGCAGATTAACCAGAGATGCCAAGCCGTTCACTGTAAACTGTCAAAGTTATAAAACTACGCAAAGAACTTGAGTTCTTTACTGAGCAGCTTCAGAATTACAGGTATTCCTGCAAGCTAACATCAACAACCTCAGTATCTCTCATTATATATTGAGGTTCTCCAATTCTGGTTGTATTTCCTTACATGTTATACCATTGACACTGGCATAATATATTGTTTGAACTAATAATTCCTTTGTAAGACATTGTGTTGTGTGTTTATCTAGCTTTATGTGCAGAAGGATGTTGTGAGAAACAGTACCAAAAGCTCTGCTGAAATCCAGAAGGATTACATCAGCAGTCTTCCCTTAGTCAGCTAGGTGAGTAACTCTGTCATAAAAAGCAATTAAGTTCATTAAGCAGGACTTTCCCCTTGAGAACCCATGCTGGCTCTGACCAACAACTGCGTTGTCTTTCAGGTGTTTTTCAACAACCCCCAAAATAATCGCCATAATTTTACCAGGCAGTGATGTGAGACTGACAGGCCTGTAACTACCCAGGTCTTCTTTCTTGCCCTTATTGAGAAATGGGACAAGGTTTGACAGCTTCCAGTTGACTGAGATTTCTCCAGATTCCCCAAAACCTTGAAAAATAATTGAGAGGGGTCTCGTGACAGCATCAGCCAGCTCTCTGAGCACCCTGGGAGGAATCTGATGGGGCTCCATAGACTTATCTGTGTCCAGCTGGAGCAGCAAATCCTGCACAAGTTCAGAGTCAGCTGGAAAGTTATTCTCACACTCAGTTGTCCAACTTGGGGCTCTGGGGGTCCCAGGGCCCACCATCAGTGCTGAAAAGAGGTAAAGAAGGGATTAAACGTCTCTGCTTTGTCTATGTCCCTGATTGTGAGGTGACCAACCTCACCAAGTAACAGAATGATGTTATTATGGGACCTCATGGGTCAGTATCTGTTGCAGCTCAGCGAGCAGGGGCTCTTTGCCTACCCTCACTCCTCATTCAAGTCGAGTTTACCAGCTGTGGAAGTCCATAGTTGCACAAGGACTGCGACCATCACTGATGCACTGATTTTTCTCCACTATGTTTCTAAAACCAGGAACTTCAGGCTGCCTCTTTTATGCATCACAGAATTGCTCTCAAGTGCTCTCAGCTGCTAAGGTCACCAGTGGTGTAGCACATCTCCTGTTCAGGAGGACACACCATAGAGCCTTGTGGTACAGCTGGAACACAAAGCTGCCAAATCATGAGGGCAACTTTTTCACCATCTTTGCCTGCCCCAAGGCAGGCTACTGACCTCACAGCTTCACCAGCGCAGCTCTGCCAGTAGCCCAGCTCAAGCCTGAGATCACGCAGAACTCTGCAACAGATGCTCTGCTCTCAGACACCATTAACCATATAAAGAAGCAGCTGCAGAAGGCCAAGTCAGCCCTGACTCACCCAAAACTCCCCATTTCATTTGTCACTCTAGCCCCCCTACTTTTCAGGCACCAGCCTTGTTACTGTAACTACGGCTTGGTTTAATTGATGACTACTGTGTGCGAACAGCCAGCAAACAAACCAAGCCCTTTGGCTGTCCTTCTCAGGAGCTGGCGGACTAACCACAAACCTCGGACACTGCTCAGGCACATTTCTAAGCTTAAAATTACCTACCTAACAACTGATGTAATCTGAAGGCTACTGAGAAAGCTTGCGTCAGTTAATCCAGTCCTCGCTGGAAGACACACATGTGCCTAAAAACAGGCTTTTACACAGAATCCAGTTACCAGGAGAAATCAGGTGCCAGCAGAAAAAGAATGGTCTTTAGGAGTCCTGCAGCCATAGAAGCAAAAAGCGAGCTAAGGAAAGAGGTGGCAGAGAAGAAACATGTTAGAGACATTTTCAGATAAGATAGAAATGTAATTGATTAAAGAAAAGTTAGCCTACAGTCCGCAAACTGTGTACAGCCAGAATCAGGTCTCACCCCAATCACAAAAAATAACTCAAGCTTTGCAATGAAATTTTTAATAGAAGCACAGAATGGTTTGAGTGGAATAAATCTTAAAGATCATCTAGTTCCAACCTCCCTGTCACAGGTACAGATACCTTCCACTAGGGTGGAAGATTACTGGGTTTTTGCCATTTGTTTTTAAATAGATGCATAAAAAAGCTTGCTGTAGCTCCCTGTTAAGAGGAAAAAAGTCACTCATCAGCCAGCTAGAACATCATCGTGCACTGGAAATCAGCATAACATAAATATTCCACCTGCTCCCTCAATCCTTCTGGCTAAGGATTTGAAACCAGCCAGCAGCATTGTCAGCCCTCCTTAATAGAGATATTAAATTGCCGGAATAACAGGAAGTCTATCAGCCATGAAAGCTTCACTCATAAGACAGCCCAGCCCAGCAGTGCAAACAATCACGTGCAAAACCCTGTCTTTTCCCGAGCTGGTACGAGTTTCACAGAGTGCCTGCAGGCAGCCCCAAACTGAGCACTCAGGAGGATGGCTCTGGGCAGCTGGCACTGTGATACGAGAAGCCTGGAAGGGCAGAGCAGGAGCTGAACTGCTCAAGTTGCTGCACATGGGAGGTGAGGAGCAGGGAAGAACTTCTGCAGCAGCCTGCCATAGCAGTGGATGGGGCACAATGTCAAACTGCGCCGCCTGAATGGGATTTGTCACAGAAAGGCTGCTGAACAGCACATGGATGGGAAAGAGGGAGACAAAGGCTGTGATGGAAACCGTTTCACAGGTAGAGTTAGAAAAATCCAGGGTTTAGTTTTTGAGTATAAAGCCTGTCCCTGAACAACAGGATTCAGTTTTGCAGGAGTGGCTCATTCTTGAAGAGGAGAGCAATGCAAGGCATGAACTTTCTCCTGCCCGATGCCTACAGCACACTCCCAAGAAGCCCAAAACCCAAATCCAAGAGGATTCAAATTCACATCCCCTTGTTTAGGAAGATATGACAGTCTATGATTTCCTTTACTTCACTTTTAACCCTCCCTGGGGCTGCGCTACTGAGGATTAAGCTGAATGATTACTGAAGTTCTGTTGCAACCTTGCGAGCAGGAACAAGCACCCAAGTCTATTTCCCTGCAGTTGGGCCACCACGTCACAGACTGAGCTGTCCCTCCTGACTGCCATCCTCACGCTGCCAGCCCTGCCCCGTTCTGCTGGGAGATTCATTTCTAATCCAGGTCTCTCCATCTCCAGAGAAGTCCTCTATTCACTACGAAACAAGAAAAACATAATGACATTTCCACTGACAAATTATTACATGCTACAAAAAAAAAAAACAACCAACAAAACCCCAAACAGCAAAACCCACAGCAGAGAAAATGGGATGAGTATTCCTAGGTGGAGCACAGGCAACCTGCAAATTCAGCAAAGACCATGGCAAATTTGTGTGGGCAGGAGCACAATAGAGGGCCAAGGGCTCACTGATTCAGGTTGTTTGTTAGGTTTCTGCCTATGACTTCAACACACACCTTTTGCTTTAGGAGCCCAAAGTGCAATCACACACCTTTCCGGACCTCACCCTTAATTCTTCATAACTGATGTCCCATTTTTAATGCTATTTCTGAAGGACATAAATTGTTTAAACTTGATAGATAAGAAAAGCATGGGGGGGGGAAGTTTTAAGATTTAAAAAGCTGATTGTTTCAGCCATTTCTAACACAGAAACCTTTGAATATTCTGATCTGCTTCTGGAGCTCCAGTTACACAGCTGAGATTACATTGTCTAACTGTAGTTCCCCCAGCCTGCACAGGAGTAAGTCACCGACAGCTTATCAGTCAGAATCAGGCTGTTGGTAACACTGGGCAATTCCACGTTGAGTTTATCGATATTCAGTTTGGTCCTTTCACAGAACAAAAGCACCTGGTAGCACGTCTAGAGCATTGTTCTTCTGGCTACTCTGCAAATCTCCTTTGTTCTTACTTTTATTTATATACATAAATGCACACAGACAGAGAAGTAGAAACGTAAGATTTCCTTGAGTGGGGGAGAGAAAAGAAGAAAAATTTTCTTTGTAGTATAAGTCTTAAAAAGTATAAGGAATACAGCAAGGTGGAAGAAGCCTTGCTCCCCCCAAAGTTGTGCATATATGGTATATATGCACAGAACACCAAGCAGAATTTAATTCAAAATTAGTCTGGTATTTCCCGGATAAAGAGCCATAAAATAAGAAGGGATGAAAAAGGAGTTTCATTTCCCCCTCACCACTCTCTCCCCACTCTCTCCCCGTTGTCACTCTGCAATAAGCAGTCAGGTTACGTGTGGCCCAGCAGCTTTACACCATGAGGTAAGAATCTAGCACAGCCAGTTGCTGTACCCAAGTGAATTTGAATGACTCCCAACCACAAGAACGAAGCATGAATAAGTCTGTTGAAACGAGCTGTCAGTCATTTCATGCCCCCAAAAGCTAAAGAACTAGAGGCTGCTCAAACAGCAAATGCCACAGCATTGGTTTGACATACAGGAAAGCATAAGTGTTTGAGCACTGGGAGACAAAACAATTTAAGGAACCTCCTTAAATTGACTTTTAGCAACCTAAATCTAACTTTAAATACGAAGAACTGCTGGACTTGGAGCACCAGAAAATTACCTTCTCCTTTTAACATTTTTTTAATTTAAGTCAGTCATATTGAATTAAGAGCACTTACTGTACAGAGAAAAATTCTTTACAATGGTGCAAAACAAGTCGCTACTGAATGAACTAAAGACTGACTTCCGCAGGCAGAACCCTCTTTTAATTAAAGAAAAATACAATTAAACATTTTTCCTGCTGAGTGACTAAGACTTACTTTTCAGTTTCCCTGCAAATAGTGTTTTATTGGTAGGATTTTGTCTGATGTTTCTCATCACCGTTGGCAAAGCAGATACCTTTCTGTCACGAGCACATTATGATAGTATAGAAAACAAGCAACTCCTTGGACTTCTCCCACTGGTTAGCTTCCTGGTTAATCTTTCTTTCTAGATGTAACAGCTAATACCTGTCTTTCTGTGAAAGCATCAGAGGGTTCCTCCAAGTGCTAAACTGGAGCAGTTCTTCCACCTGGGAATCCAGCAAGTGCTGCCTGCAGAATAAGAGCTTATTCCAGAAAATGTAACTGTTCATGGTCCCTACCTAGTACTTCAGCAAAGAGACAAATTCACGTTCCTGTCATTCATCTTTGAAGGAAAAGGAGTGTCATTTATTTTGGTCTTCATCAGCGTTGGTAAATAATGATGATCTGTTTCACTGAATTTTAAAAGCCTGACAGCGAAACCGATGCTACATTATTCTGGGCTGCAAGAGGAAGTAAGTTTCCTTCACATGGGACTGGTCCAATGCCAGGTTTGGAAAATTCCAAGACATGCTGTGTAGCCAAAGCAGAGGCCTGATGCACCCATAAAGAAGAAGCAGACTAAGCAAGATGCCTTAGCGTTGCCTTGCTTTAAACCCAAACATAAGCACATTAAAACATGGTAATGGGTAACATCATACATGCATCTTATAACACTGTAACACCACTAGCAGTATTTTATAACACAGGTATGCATAAATATACAAAAGCACGTAACTGCAAACAGAGGAACAGGGATTTGGGATATATTTGCCCAAGAAGTGCACAGGAAAATATGTTCAAATAGAATTTGCAAGATAAGAGCAAAGGATGTAGAGCAAGCAGGAAAGATGTGTGGTGAGAGCAAAACAGACCTGCAGAACAGAGAGGAGATAGGTCTGATAGAACCAGAACAAGCCTGCAAAATGAATAAGATGCCAGCAAAATCAAGGTAAGCCTTACTTCCCAAAATAATATGAACTATGTCAAAAGCAGATGAGCTCACACCCTTTTCTTCCAGGGAGGAAGCAAGGTGCGTAAGACATTAAGCAAAAAAGATGGTAATTAATGAAAATCACAAAATTCTCACTTTGATTCCAGCGCCTCCTGTCAAAGAGCTCTCAAGCACCTTACATTGACCTCAGCAACTAAAACCATCGAGACCTGTAATTACCAGCTTTAAATACAGGGCAACAGTTCCAGAGCGCTGGATATTCATCACTTCACAGTTTTAAATCTCCTCTCCTTACAGCTCTGAGAAAGCTCAGAAATAATCACAAGGGTATTTGACGATCTGCCCCCAGATTTACGCGACCTTCATCCTGCTGCGATGATCCTATAAAAGAGATCCATAACCAAGATCCTTCTACTCACAGAACCGAGTGCCTCAGATTTTAGGGCCAGGTCAATCCCTGCAAGTCCCTCTAGAGAGGGACAAGATGCAATGAACTGTTTCAAAGGGAAAGAGTTTATTATTTCCACAGAGGCCACTAGCATCCCTCCAGGAGGACCTGAGAGCCCTCTCTGAGCGAAGAAAGCCCTCTATTTAGGAAAGCGGGCTCCTACAGAGCTAGGTCCGGGGAAGTTGGCACAGTTACTCACCGCCCACGGCCACAAGGAGGTCTCAGCACACAGGGACAAGGTTTCCCTTCTCCACACCGGCCCTCAGCCACAACCCTCGCCACCCAAACCCCTCAGGCAAAGCTCTGACTCCGGACCCCACCGGACGCCCACAAAATCCCTCCGGGCAGCCCCAACGGGGCACCCCAGCGCCTTTTTCCCGTAGTTTACCCCAAGCTCTCCGGTTAGGAGCTGCCCGGTTTCCCTCACCCCTGCCAGCAGCTGCTTTCCCCGCTTGTCTGAGGTGAGGGAGGCGGCGGCGAGAGGCGAGGCAGCCCCGGCCGGCAGCCGCCGCGCCAATGGCGGCGCCGAGTCCCCTCAGAGCAGGGCGGCTCCGCCGGCTCCGGCCCGCCCTCACGGGGCTGGGCTCGGCTTTGGGGCACCTGTGGGCACCGCAAGGGCGGCTGGAGGAAGCGGGGAGGGTGTCAGGGCTGTGGGGAGACCGTCACGGGTGTGGGGAGGGTGTTCTGGGTGCGGGGACTGCGCCGGGTGCAGGAGGTGGGAAGGAGTTTTGGGAGTGGGTTTGAGAGGGCACTGCTGAGGGTTGTGGCTGTGCAGCTGGAAAGAGGGTATTTCTCATCGAGTCCACACAAATCACATCGAGTTTGGCTCGACTGGCTGCCTGGAGGGAAAATGATCTGCATTTCACTTTATCTGGTAGTGGGTAAGCTGAGAGGCGACAAGATACGCCTGTTTGCAGTAGATATATGCAGCGATAATGAAGGTTTCAGTCATCTGTTTGTCCAGGAAGCCACTCTAAGTGGTTTTCTGTTTAATTGGTGGCACAAAATACACACGCCACCATTTGGTAGGATGATCCAGCAGGACTTTTCCTCTAAACTGAGCCTTGTTTGGCTATCGAAGTGCCAAGATGAAGCTGGAGTCCCTCTGGGATCAGGCCGACAGCACCAACTCCCTGTCTTTCAGACAGCCCTCGAGGTGCTGCTTTTGCCTTACATACGATCTTCCCAAGCCATTTGTTTTATATTTTTAATCCTGTTTGGGGACACCTGGAAAATTTCAGTCCCTGGAGTGCTGAAAGTAGAGCCTGGACTGCCAAGCCTGCAAGGTTGCTCAGGGTGTGCTCTGGCCATGCTCACAGGACCCCACTTTTCAATGACTTCCCTCTTGCGGCCACAGTTTGCATCGATTCACTCCCCAAATCCTCCGTGATCAACACTGTGTTCCTAGTCATCATAAAGCCTTGAATTTCACCTGCTACTCTAAGTTAGGTATGGTGAAATAATTTAATGCTTATTAGAAAAAAAAAAAAAAAAGGCAGCATTTTTATCACAAGTCAGTAAATTACATGTATTTTCAATTTCAGCTGTTTTATGTGGGGCTTCCTGTCAACAAAAAATAGGGAATAGAGCATGCTTTATGCATTATCTGATAATACCCTGGATTTTAAATGGGGCTTCCTTTCAGTTCACATGGATCAGAGTGAACTGGAGACCTTGTGAAAGCTTAAAACTCAGTTACTCCCTCTAATAATCTCCATTCAAGTGCCTCTTATCCACACACCCTGTTTATTTAGATTAATGCATTGTACTAAGCTGCATTTATTCAAACCCACGCTGAACTCCAGCTCTGTACACACCGAGAAACACAGCTTGGTACATTAATTAGAAGTGGGGTCTCTTTTGACACTCTTGGTACGTGTAATGCATTTTTCTGTTGTTGAATATCTTTTTTTTTACCCCTCTGACCGCCGTCCCAAAGTGGAAAGAGGAAGGCAGTGGTGAGTCTGAGCCTTTTCAGAGCAGACACGCTTGTTTCAGCCTGCAGCTGTGGGTACGCCTGGCCCCTGCCGGATGGAGCTGGAACTGATGGGTCTGGTGCACCCAGCATCCCAAGCAATCCCCCTTTAATCAAAAGGTTTTGACACAGGGTTCACGGAAAACCATAAATCAATGGGATTATATATGCAAGGGCTGTCCCAGCTCAGGCCAGTTGCATGTTTATATGTTTTCAATAAAGAGAAAACAGAAAATACCTGAATGACATGTGAGGCCCCTCAGACTGATTCCTGAGTAACCTAAAACGGTAAGAGCCTGCAACCAGTACACAGCCTTTCCCCACAGTTTTTCTGCCCTGGGGTAGTAGATCTGAAAAGTCTGCTTTTTGTATAAATGTTGAGTGGCTGTTTTTCATGTGAATTGAGCCTGAGCACTCTCAAGGTGGCAGTGAGAAGATGAAAACTAGTGCTGGAATGACATGCTCTACCAACGCTCCTTTCAATCTTAGCCAGACTTATTCTCAGCACAAAGAAAAGATATACGCATGCTTTTGATTGCAGTATAATACAAAGTGTTATGACCTCTTTAGGGAAAAACAACAACAAAACTGCGGGTATTTTTGTGCCTTGATGTTCCTATCAGATTCAGAAAGTGGATCGTTCTTCTGTTACCCCCTTCAATTCAACAAATCTTTTTCTCTAGCCATTTTCCAAAGCAGAAAGGAAGGTATCTCCTCTGAATGAAACATAAAGAAGTGCTGTGGTGTGGTTACAGAACAGCAGGTATTAGTTGAAGAGCCATAACATCCAGTGAAGCAAAGCATCTAACTGATAGAGCTTTCCTTCCTCCAGCTTCATCCAGAGAGAATCTGTCTCCTTTGCACACTCAGCTGCTAAAAAGTGAACTAATGTGAATCACACCTAACTCGGGTCATAAAATCCTAGAATCTTTAAGGTTGGAAAAGATCTCTGAGATCATCTTACCTCTGTCATCTTACTGACAGAAGGCATTGCTTTACATCTTTAAAAGCAAAGTCTTCAAAAACTTTTTTAAAACCTTAAAAAAAAATCCTTTAAAATGTAACAATAAAATGTACACACTAAGTGTAAACTGTGAAAGGAAACAGGTAGTGTGGGTAAATTGACTGTATATGGTGCTCTCTGTGGTAAGGAAGAGATTGGCTTGATAATCATGATCATAAAATAGATGTCTTTAGCAATCAAGTGCATACAGCTAGGGCCTTAAAGTTTTGCTGTTCTTTTGCTCTGAGATGAAACAAGCACAAGGCTTGCTGCCATGAACGAGGGTGTCTTTGAACTGGAGCTGTGATACAGCATCGCTCTGAAATGCCCAGTCCAGCTGATGATGGGACGCTTCATGTGCTGCTTGATTTCTAGGAGCTGAGAAGGAGGCTTTCCTCAGGGACTGAAGACAAACTTCTTTTCCGTCCCAACACTTTCACTCCCCTGTTTTCAGCCCTGGTGCTTATTTCTAGCATCCACGCTGGCTTCTTAACCATGCCTCCCCCATCCACCGCCCTCCCTCAGCTCCAGGGGGGACGGCCAGGGGGACCATCCCCGATGGCGGGGTAGGGGCAGGAGAACGGCTGCCCTCCACTTTCAAGCCCTAAAGAAGCCCCTACAAGCCATCCTGCCCCGGGACGAGCCAGGAGAGCTTTCCTCCCGTCAGGATTTTGGCCGCTTTCTTTCCCCGTGTGCCCGCTCCCCGCCAGGGGACGCCGCCGCTCCTCAGAACTCCCTCATGACGCGGGGGCCTCCGTTGTCCCAGCAACCGCCGGTGGCGCCGCGGGGTAGGCGCTGCCCGACCGCCGCCGGGTTTGGGGACACCGGGGGGCTTGGAGGGGACTTTGGGGACCGGCAGCCGTCCGAAAAGGTGGCTGAGGCGTTGTGTGGGTGCCGCCGAGCCCCTGGGGCTGAGCGGGTGCCGGGGCTGGGGGAGCGGTGGTGGTTTGCACAGCCCCGCGGGGCGGCCGCGGGCCGTGAGGGGGTTTTGGGGTGAGGGGGGTGTGAGGGAAGGGGCTGAGGGCGCTGGGATGGTTTTGGGGGGCCGGGGAGGGGATTGTGGTAGTTGGTGGTGGGGTCTGCTGGGAATGCAGCTGTTTGGGGTAGAATCCTAGAGTCATAACGGTTGGAAAAGCCCTCCCAGATCATCTGGCCCCACCACCCCCTACCACCAATGTCACCCACTAAACCATGTCCCCAAGCTCCACATCCAACCTCTCCTTGACCACCCCCAGGGACGGTGACCCCACCCCCTCCCAATGCCTAACCGCTCTTTCTGAGAAGAAATGTCTCCTCATTTCCAACCCGAACCTCCCCTGGCACAATTTGAGGCCATTCCCTCTGGTCCAAGTCACCTGGGAGAACAGGCTGACCCCAAGCTCCCCACACCTTCCTTTCAGGTAGTTGTACAGAGCAATAAGATCTTTCCTGAGCCTCCTCCAGATACATACAGTGAGTACAAATGCCGCTGCGAGCGGTGGTGATGACAGTGAGTTTGTATCAGTGGTGAGCTTACATGTAGGTGGTCACTGCAATGAGCATCTGGGAGCCATGGCACTTGGGTGGCAGTGTATGGGACCTGCTTCCTTCGAAGAATGAAGTGGCAGCATTAGTTGGTGATCGAAAACACGCTGCTGACAACAGTTTGGGTCTACCAAGAGCCCTGATTTATTTGCTTGGGAGAAGAAAAATAGATCTTGCCTTCTCCAAATGGTTTCCTGCTGGTTTAAAGTCTGTGGTCCATTCTCTGTCCCCCTAAACATGTTTTCTTCTCTCTCATCTGTGTGTATTTTCTGTGGCTTGCAAAATAGAGAAAATCTGTCATTATCGTATGTTTTTCACCTTATTCTACAGCTTGGAGGCTTGCTGCTCCCTCCACAGGAAGAAGTTCATAAAAACTTTGTTTGAGCTCACCTAGGTCTTGAGTTCCAGAAACCAAACCTTTCCAAAGTACTGCTGCTCTGTTTTCAGTTTGCATCCAATTTTAAGCAAGGGATTCGATTATCCCTTTAGTAGAAGAGACAGAGATCATTTTAAAAAATAAAGTTAGGAATTTCTGCAATGATCTTCCATTTCTGAGGAAAACCCACAAAATTTATGTTCAAAGTAGAATCAATACCACCCAGTTAATTCTGCACTGGAGATGGCTGCTAGATTATTTTTTATAAGTAAATACATATCCTACACTTGTGGATCTGATCTGGAAATTTTAAAGAGCTTCGGGGGAGTTAAGCACCTAACTCCTTGTCTCAGTGAGATTTTTTCTTAGTTCACTTTGTTTCTTGAAAATCTCAGTCTGAATGTTCTAACTTGAATGTTGTAACAATTTTTAAAGGTTTCATAAAAATATTGTATTGAATAAACCGAAGCCAAATGAATCAATATCTGTAAAAGTCGCATTTGAATGTTGAAGAATTATATGGCTTCAGACTTGAGTGGCTGCTCAGATACAAAAGGATTTTTTCTTGGATAATAAATGTTAATAGTTTTTACCCCAGTTATGGTGATACTGTGATGCAGGCATGATTGTAATGAAGTTCAACAATAGAAATCTTTTACTCATATGTAGCAACCATTAAAACTTTGAGCTGGGACACTTTGGAAATTCAAGGTATTGCTGGTGGGAGTACGATTTTTCCAGGTTTCTATGAATGGAATTAGCTCTGTTTGTGACTTAAATAATCAGGTGTTGCAGAGACTGTGATGGACTGCTTTACACAATTGTCCCTAAGAGTGTGAATTTGTCTTCAGCCGCAGAACAGACAGAATCTGCGCAAGATTTCCAACAGAGTAGGAATAAAATTCTTCTGGATAAAACATTATGAAGAAGATATTCCACGGTCTGGGGAGCTGCATATTGACCTAGACCCCAAGGTATGTTTTCCCTTTCTTTCACTTGTAGAGCTGCCCCTCAGTGAACATTTCTATTACAGGCCTTTCTGCTGTATACACTGCAGCAAAGCGGCTGTTCTCAGCACGCTCACTTGTTTCACCAGCAGGCATCAGCTACTCATCTAGGTTAGAAAGCAATTTTGTATGCAGCAAGCTGACCTTGCCTTGCTTCAGGGTATGGTGAATGTATTGAGAAGGCATGTGCTGGTGTATGGATTCGAGTGCATGTGTCAATAGTTGGTTTAACTTCATTCCCTTGATTTTCGATCAATTTGGCAGGCTTGCTGTGTTACTTTCCACTATTTTTTTCCTGTTTCCTTGTGCTCATTGTAATGAGCTGGACCATCCTGCTGCATCCACCCTGCTGCGTATTTACTTCCCATAAAAAATTGTTTCAATCTTGTCTATCTGAGTGATAACAGAGAGTTCAGAACTTGAGCAGAAAAGCAGTTTAAAATAAAAACAGGTTATGTATTATGTTTCTATTCATTTGGTATAAAATTTTGTACATTATATGAACTAAACTGAATTTAACATTTGATGATGTGACTGCTAAAAGTGAGAAATCTTTGTAAGTGCCCTTTTCTTACAACTTTTTATTTTATATAATATATGCTACCAGTTCCATTACAGAACTATTCATTGTCAGTTGAATTCTGAGGCCGGTAGTTGTGACAACATACCCAGGGAATACTGCTGACACAGATATCCCTTCAGAGAGTGGTTTTGTTCCAGCTCTGACAATGAAAACTGATATCAGAGTTGCAGTGAATGGCAAATATTCATAGTGCTAGGAGAACAGAAGGAGAGGGAAAGAGATGCATATTAACAAGTGAACTTGATAAAACAAGCCTGACAAAGAAACAGAGACAAAGGACTGTAAAAGAAACAACTGCTTGTTTGATTTGCAAGAATGTAAAACAACCCACAGTGAGGGATGCAGTAAGTAACTAGTGACAGAGGCCCCTGTTCCCAAACATCTCTGTGCAGGACAGCACTTCAGGATGTCCCCAGAACAGGGACCTGAGTTCTGACACGGGCAGGATTGTTGCTGTCAACAGAGCATCTTTTTTTGTTTATGTTAGAATCGTTCAGCAGCCTTTGACATTTGTAAAATAAGACATTTTCTGGATCGTTTTTTTCTCATTTTGTTTCTTCCTTTCTGCTTGCCCTGTCCTCCTTTTAGATCTAGCTTCCAGCAGAAATACAGCAAAAAACATGGAAGAGAAGAAGAAAGAGGAGAAACCAGAAGAGCAACTTTTAGAAGAATACACTTTCCAGAAAGCCTTACTGGAATTTCAGTAGGTTTAATATATTTAACTTTTCACTTACATAGAATATATGATATGAAAGCAGACAGCAAAGAGAAGTATCCAATTCAGAACTTGAACTGATCACCGTATTGGCTATGGCAATTTTGCACTGTACTTTTTTTTCTTATTTTGAGTTTTCAGGGCTATTTTAGAAATCTGCACTTTTTCAAGTGCTATACTATTCCTGTAAGAAATCTTTTAAGTGGATCAGAAATAATTTTGTGTCGTTAGGATAAAACTTAGGACAACGAGTTTTAATAAAAGCTAAAAATGTTTTTGTCTGTTAGTAGCAGATGGTTTGATCTGCATGCTCTGAGAGTGCAAGATCACATTTGATTGTATTTTCTGGAATTCCCTGGTGCTCACAGAGGTATGTAGTTACTAGCCACAACCTCAAGACCTCCGGTTTGTTCCTCTGGTGCAGCTGAGAGTGGAGCACAAAGGAAAGTGCTATGTGCAGTCGACCTTCAGAATAAAATCCTGGCTTTATGCAGAGGTTCTGAGCTGCTCCAGACTGTTCCAAAATCTCTAAAATGACCCTCACTGTAGGGAATCGTCCGAAGAAAAGCCATCACCATTTTTCAGTCCCACGTCTTGTATGAAAAGTTCTTGCCAGTAAGTTACCTGTATAGCAGGAAAAGAAAACCCTGCTACAACCAGTATCTGATGCAATGTCTTATTTCACTGAACTCAGGCTCCTCTGCTGCACCAATACATATTTCCAAGTCATGTTCTCATTGTGCTCTACCTAACGCAAGAGGTTTTTTAACAATACTGAAGAGCATTATTAAAATTAGCTTGGAGCAAGCTTTTTATCAGGAACAACCAGTCACTGCTTTCTGTTATTTACTTATGTTGATCCAAAGGAAACAGGATCAGTCATGATAGAACTATAAAATTATAACAAAACAAACCATGGACCTTATTAGTTCTCAGAGTCCCCACACAGCCAAATAACCTAGAAATTATTTTCCAAACAGTAGTTGTCAGAAGCACAGCTGAGCAAAGCACTGTCCTCAGCTTCTAACGGAGGATGTAGGTGCTTAGTGCCAGGACAGACTCCATATACATTGCACAAACTAAGTGATAAAACTGTGGACCCAAAACAGGAACCTTACTCACGTAATAGTAACTCTACCCTCAACTTCTTACCTCAGTGTTTAAAATCACGGTTTTATAGAGGATCACAGGAAAAATCTCATTGTAAGCTTACACAGGGAGGAAAAATTGATTTTGACCAACTTTTTGACTTTGAAAATAATGGAGAAGAACTTTAAAGCTTTTCTAAAATCAAGCAGAGAACAGAAAGAGGTAAGGGGAATATTCCAGGAAGTTATGTAATAGTCCAGTTGATTTGATCTCCAATCTCTTGGGAAGATGATTGAAAGGACTAAAATTAAGCTCTGTGATTTTTATCAGAGAAAGAATTTGAAAGGGAAAAACCTCAGCATACAACAATTACAATCAGTTTTTAAGGAGCAAGGAGCCCTACCTCAGTGTAGGAATGAAAAGCAGGGTGAGCAAATGGAAGAGCAACCACGTGCAGTTCTGGTGACACCTATAGGAGTTTACAGGATGTGGGGTTTTCTGTTTCAGTTTGTAACTGAAATACAAATTCAGTTTATAACAGAATACAAACTTCCACAGTGAAACAGACCAAGTTTAGCTGAATCCTATCACAAACAATATCTTCCAAAAAATGCCAAGAAAAATATTTTGCTTAGAAATAAGCAAACTGTATTACTAGGCTGAGGGGAAAAACTGGTTTCTGGTAAAGTTATTGTTGTGCTTATTCAGATATCCAAGCAAACAACTCATTTATCTGAAGAGTCTTCCTCTGCAATGTGTTGTACTGACACATGATGTTTAGTTTCTGAAACAATAGTAGAGGAAAAAGGAAAAAAAAATAGTTTTCTTTCTGTCTTTCTCCTTCCCTCTCTCCCCCTCCTACTTTGCTCTCTCCTTACCTCTCTTTCTCTGATACTTTCCTTGTCTCTGTCATCTATAACTTCTCTGTACTGCTGTATTGTGCAAAGCAGCCTAATAATACAAGCAAATGTCCTTCACATTCTTCCTTAGGAATTTTCAAGCATAGAATATTTATTTAACTTCCACTCCCGCATTTTATTTTGCACATTGAAGAAAGAATGGCTGCTGTTAACAGTGAGTTTATTATTTTGTATTTTCAGTACTGTTCTCTAGTTTGGGATTGGATTGGAACAGCAGTCCTGTGAATTACTTACCCTAGTAACATCGTATAGATGACTGACAAAACTATTATGATACCAGAGAGGAGAGGTTTTGTTGTTTTTTTTTTTTGGTAGAGGATGAAATATTTCAACTAGCATGCAGAGCTGAGAAAAATAGTACCAAAGGAATCATCAATCTAGCTGTTCTGTGGCTTCCTGAATCTGACAAATACCATGGAAAAAATCTTCAGAGGAAAGTTCCAACGTGTAGTAGACAAAATAGCATATATTTGTTCTTCTCATAGGTATTTTTGACATTAACAAAGTGACATATATAATTCCACTTCATGGAAAATCTTAAAGTAGCAGAAATTAAGATCTGCATCAGTATTCAAAACACGAAAATTGTTTAATGTGGCAGGTGATTTAGGAGATCACAGTGTGTGGCTGTTCTTGGTCTTGTTCAAGCTGTCACCTTTGTCTGATAAGTAATGTATTTTTGCCGTAGCCATCACCTCCATGTCCCTCCATGTAGCCCCTCTAACTAATATCCTTGTACTTAGTGGGAAACCTGAAGCACACCTTGGAGCACACTGAGAGCAGAGCAGGCAAATCTAGTAACCTCCAACTTACATGACTCACTCCCAGAGTGATCCAATTTTAGCCAGGAAAATGCGACATTCTTTTAAATATATATATTTTGGTAGAGACAAAACAAAACTAAACAAACAAACAAAAAAGAAACAATAACAGTTGAAACAGTAAAAGATACTGTGATAATCGTACCACGTCTATTGTGCTGCATGGTGAATGAATTTCAGGAAGATGTAGGAAGATTACAGAGAACTTTGCAAAAAGACACCATTTCCAGTCCAACATTTCTCATTCTAGAAGAGAGATCATTAGAAAAAAACATTTCTTCAGCATCTGGGGCAAAGAGAATCACAAGTGGTCTATGAAAATTGTGAAAGCAGTGTGCTAGTTCTTTGGAAAAAAATGTGTAGATTTACTTACAGAACTACTGCATTCCCCATTCCCTTAGCACTTCTTAGAGTTATTTAACAAGTTCTTACAGTAAACTTAAGTTCTTGGTGAAAAAAGCAGTTGAAGGCTCACCAAATCAAAATTTTGGAAGAACTGGATGCCATTTAAGGCTCCAGTTTGGGATTCACCTGGCCTATCTCTTAGTGAGCTGTCTAGGCTTCCTATATAGTGAGTGATGAGTAATAATTATTTATAGAGCACAAATTATCTTATCTTAAAAGAGATGTGGACAATAGGTTATCTGAGCCACAGTCAGAAAGGAAAGAACCTGCTTCTTCCTCTCTAGTAGCCACTCTGGTAGCCAAAGGGATGGAGTAAGCAGGGAGTCTGCTTCTCACTATCAGCACAAGATCCAAACTGACACGAAGGTCCAGATCTATATGGGAAGGCATTTCTTTCTGTGCCGTGAGTAGCCCCAAATTAATGAATCAATATCATACAAAAAATACATCCAAGTCACACTGATGTCTCATCTAGCTTAAACATTCCTTTTTCTTGCTTTTGAAAGGATTTCTCTTTCTTTATTCTTTCCCCACAGAATTGAAACCAAAGAAGCAGCAATTGATCAGGTTTTGTGTAACCTGAAACAAGTGGAAGAGAAGAACAAAGAATATCATGAAAGAGTAAGTGACTGTACGTCCTTCTCCTACCATATTTCTTCCTCCCACCACATTTTATACATGGTATTTTAACTCACAGATTCAATTTTGTGTTTTTTTTTTTTTAATCCAAGTACTACATTTACTATGACTAGACATTGCAGTGAGTCTGTTGGAGTCAGTTAAACTAGAGTTAGTGAATCACTTCATAAGGTGAGAAGTTAAAAGTTGTTATAAACGTAGGTGTTCTAAATACAACCATACAAAAAAAAAAAAAGAGATGCAGGAATAGAAATGCAGATTTGGGCACAGGAGTTTAGTTAAAGTGAGTTCAGTGAAGGTGATTTCCAATCTATATGAAGTACTCAGTAACTACCTACGTATTTACTATTACTCTGCCCACCTTTCACTAGGTAACTTTACTGTAGTATGTTCAGATTTGCTTTCTCAAACAATCCTGCAAATATTCCTCAAGGAGGTAAAGAATACAGCTTCAGCATAAAGAAGAAGAAACAGCATTATCTGATTTTCGTTGGTAGTATTAGCAGATCTGACTACGTATACAGGTTTGCTGACCTTCTGTGGTTCACTTCCGAGGTAATGAAATTGCAGTTTCAGATTGTCACAAATTGTGAGAGTTTAATTATTCTTTCAAATTTAATTGCAATCAAAAATGAACAAAACAAAAGAGCGTCACACTGTTGTCTAGCTTTAATTTTTGGCACTGCTTGATGAAGAGACCCTTTCTTGTTGGTTAACATTGCGTTACCGAGGATTATTTTTTAAACAAAGTTAAATAACCTTGTTAAGATAAAGGTTATAATCACACCTGAGTGACACGTATACATAACGGTCTAAGTATGGCACCTGAGAAATGAGACCAGTGGGCTTTGAAATATATATATTTGACTATATATATAAAGTCATTTAATGAAAGGAATTAAAATCTCTCAAAAATGCTTAAACTGGATCAGGTGATCAAATAATGCTGCCTCTTGCACTTCCCAGAGCAGTTAAACATTAAACAACCAACCTCTCTATGTCCTTCCCATGCCTGGTTGTTCCTTTGCTTTAAAAAATACCCATCTGTTTGGTGTTCGTTTCAGACTTGAAGACTTCATGGTCCCTCAAGGACTTCTTCATACTTTAGACGGTACAAAGTACTTCAGGGCATTCTCGTAGTGCTATTTGGGGTCCCTTCTCTTTGGGCTGCAGCTCTTCGGGCTCCCTTCTTTGTTTCCTGCTAAATGTTTCCAAGCAGTTTACAGTTAATCCTTTTGAAAGTGGGGAATGTTTGAGACTCTCTACTGCATTATTATTGTTGCAGTTTGGTTGGTGTGGTTGTTTGCTCCTCCTTGGTGTTCTTTGGGAGCAAACATACACAGTCAGTAATTTCATTTGAGTGTCACTTACAAGGTTGATGGCAAGGGGACACAATCACAGTTGTGGAATTGGTAGGTATAACTAATTCCAGCTTTGGCAACTCTCTCTGCTGTGGTTATAGGCAAGTGACTTGATTGATGACATTTCCACATGAAGGTGGTAAATTGTCATGAAGAATGTTGAAGTGAAGAACTAAATAACTTGTGAATGGGAACAATGTTATTTACCCACCAGGAGCTTTCTTTCCAGGCAATGGAAGGCTATTCATGTGCTGCACCGAGTAGGGCAGTCATTTGTTTCTCATTTCCTTGTGGTAATGGACTTGAAGTTATTGAGAAACTTCTGAGACTTGCAGATCTCCTCTCCCCTCCGTCCTTTTCAAAACATGAAGAATAGCTGAGTGGTTTTGCAGTGTGTCCTGGCACCGGTACAGATCTGACTTTTCTTCGTTGCTTAAATTTGTAACTTTGAGAACCAATTTGAAAATATTTCAATATAAGCCCTTCCAACTCTCATAGAACAACCGTCTGAAGGAAGAACAGCAGGCACACATCAGGCATATACTCAGAAAAATAGAAGAAAAGGAGAAAGAGCAAGATGAAAAGGCGGTTGTAACTAGGGATGACGTGGAAGAGTCACTGCAAGCCACATGGCAGTACACTAAGGACAAAGAACAGCTTCTGAAAGGTACCTCGTGAGTTGCAGAAGCATGGTTTGTACTTTACATGCTTGGAATTAAATACTTCTTTGCAATTTAAATAGAGATTCAGTGTCTTTGTTACATAAAAAGCATACAGCTTTTCCTCCCTGAATTTAATTGTGGAGAACCTATAAGTAAATCTGTTATTTAAGTCAAATTAAAATTCAAAAGAAGTGGGTCTTTTATAGAAACAGACCTGGTATATTAGACTGTTTTATTCCTTCCACGTGACATGTATTACTGTGCAAGTACAGAGGCTTCATATTTTCCATTCTATTGAAATTCATGGAAGCTTTATACACTGGCTCCACTGGAAGATAAAAAAAATTAAAAATGATGGCAGCCAAAATGACTGGGTTTGGTTGTAGAAAGCTGTGGCTGCCATCCCCGTGATTCTCAATCAGAGTGAAATCACGTGTCTTTACTTGCAAAATGCCAGTGAGCACTGTTGTCTCCTTGGCAGAATAAGATCTGGCTGTTTTCAGCAACGATGGTGGCCCTTGACACTGTGTCATCATGTTGTAGTGTGCTGTAATGCAGAAGAGTCCCCTCTCTTTCCCTAATCTCACAGAAAGTGCCTTTTTAAAGAAATTGAAGAACTCATAAGAATTATGAACTATCAGCTCAAGAAATTGGTAACAAACTTGTCTTCTGGTGCCCTCATTTCACTAGACCTGCGCTCCCGAATGGAAGAAACTGAGCAACGACTTTCAGCAAAGCAGAGTGAGAGGGATTACTGGTTGGAGTACAAAAACGTGGGAAGTAAAATACACGCCAACAAGATTAAGAATCTGGAAAAAAACATCCAGGAAGTCAAAGATGACCTTCACAGGGCTACAGGTCAGTTTACAGCTAGCTAGTGTAATGCACATTACTTGCATTAATTAATTAAATAATAAACTTAGTTTGAGGCCAAGTTATAGTCATTGCTGACAACTTTTCAAAACTGTGTGCCTAAGCAGGGCTGCGTAATCCTCCTGTAAGACAGAACGCTATCTCCATGAAAGTCACTTTGTTAACAAAATTAATAAAGTTACAGAAATGATGAGCATTTAAAGAAATTGATAACCTTCTCTTCTGACTATTTTCTTGTAAAACACAGGCAACCTGTTTTTTAAAAATGTTGCTGTGACGGCCAGAAGTTTGTTTTTTTTAATAGGTTTATGCGTGTTTAGATCTCCTACACACACGGCTCCCTTAGCACTCCTATTTGAAAATGTTGACTCTGCTCTCGTTGCTTCTCGTCACGCTTGAAGCACTTTGCATGTTGAAAACTTCTTTGACAGGCTCGTGGTATGAGCTCATTCTTGGAACACCATCCTTTGAATCGAGCACGCTGGTTTAAATTCAGGACTAGAGGGAGCTGTACAGCCAGTGGTTTGAACTTGGCCTCCTGGTTGCATAGTCTCATGCGTGAGGCCCTGCAAAACTGCCAGCGCTGACATACACAGATCCTGGGAACCGTTTCAACACTGACACAACAGGGGAATTAATTTAAGAGCTCATGTATTCTGGTGCCGAGTGCTTTACGAACCCATTAGATCTCTTTACTACTGCACTATTTTAAAATCATGTAAATGTTTTGCTGGTATGTAACCCGTGCCGCTAACAGGAGAAGGATGTCCTGGTTTTCTCCCTTTACGACCCTCTCAGTATGCATGACTCCAGCCAAGCAGCTGGTAGTAACAGGCAGTGACACTGCTCTGACAGTCTCCCTATATTCCGTGCCAACCATTACCAGGCACCAGCTACTGCGGATACGAGCCAGCCAGCTATCTTTTTTTGTCTTGTGAAACATATTTTATCACGATTAAGATCTGCATTACACTTTCTGCATTGCCAGATAGCCAGCCCATCAGAGATCAAGATCTGTATTCAAAGAGAGGTCGGTGTTTTGCATTGTGTGCTTTCCCTGTTCTCAATCAGTTGAAAACTTTTGCTATACAGCTGCTGGTATACGGAAAGAGAATAGGCTCTTATATAGAATGCCAGAACGATCCAATAGCAACATTCAGTCTGACCTCCTGCATAGCAGGGGCTACAGAGCCAAAAATGTGTGACTAAACAGAAGTGTGTTTGTAGAGAGGCTGTCACAGAGGTACCTACAGCAGTTGCCTAATTAACATCCTGCAAAATGATGCTGCCAGCACGGGATGTTAGCATACTTTTTACCCAGCTTCCTGAAATCAAACTTGTGGCTGGGGAGTACTGTCTATACAGAATTTACATCCAACAAATTCTCAGTGTGATGCTGCAGCAAATTGGGCTTGTTCAGCTCTCACCCTTCTAACAGGCTCAGGGAATAAGCACAGGTAGGGAGGTTCCTGTTTTTTTTAGGTACCTGACACTGGCATAGCTTTTGTGGTGTGGACATTTTAAACAAAATCACTGGAGGGTAGAGGCAGCAAAAGAAAGCCTAACATTTACATGAGGTCTGCGGAAAACAATGCTGCAGTGAGACTGAGGGTAAATATCCTCCCTAGAAAAAAACGAGCATGTCTGAACAGTTCCTCCTTTGCTTAGTCTCCCAATACATCTCAGATTGTTTTGCTGTCTGAAAGAATGAAGAGGTGATTTAATTACAGTATGTAAGCACTTCCCACTTCATTCTGCCAAGTCCAGATGGCGGATTGATTAAGGTAGGCCAGGTTCCACCATGCTAAATTAGGAACTAATGCACAACTAATGCACCTTTCTTATTTGACTGCCTTTGATTCCACAGCGGGTCCATGACCAGACACTCATTTACAGCCAGGTCAGCAGCAGACTGTCTGCAACACAAGTGCAGAGCTAGGCAGAATTTCAAGCTTCTGGAACAAGTGTGAATTGCCTTCCTTCAAAGAAATTTGCTACAATCTCATTAATTCTTTCACAAGGAGAACATACCAAGCAGCGCCGGGCTATTTAGTACAGCACAAAAACAACTGAAGGGAAGGATGAAATAATTAAACAGCAAGAGAACAGAACTTGAAGTCAAAGCCATTCAGTTAGATACAAGACATACTTTCTAAATAAGGACCACAATGAAAGCAAATAACTGAGGCAATTGCCACCTTCTCTGTTTTGTCCTGTTGTCAAGTTGGAACCCTCCTGGAAAGCTTAGATAAGTCAGAAAATGTATTAGGTCCAGTATAATGATAACTGAAAAAATGCTGCCATAAAATGATCTAATATGCTTCTATATCTAAAGCCTAAGCTTTCTAAGCACATCTCTTGCATAACTCCGGGAGCAGTGCTATTAAGAGAGTCAAAATGTAGTGGTAAGATACAAATATCTTAGCGGAGAACTACTCAGTTTAGTAGCTGTTGTAGTTACCAGCAGAAAATTGCAAGCTACTTCAGATTTCTAGTTTTTTAGTTAACTCTACTGTCCTTTGGGTTTAGAAGGACATTTTCTATGGACAAGTTAGATGCTCCATGGGACAGGATTCAGTGCATGTGGGGGGGGTAGCTGACAAGTTCCTCCTTAGGAACAACGTGTCATGTATCTAATTGGTGTCAGAAGACATTGATGTTACATAATGATGTCTGTTTTTTGTTTTTTGTTTTTTTTTTCTTTGAAGAATATTATAGAAAGGCTTTGAAAGCAGTGAAAGAAGAAAATGACAGACTAGTTGAGCTGTACACGAAGAAAAGTAAGGAACAGGCGCAAGAGGTATCCCTTCTGTCTTTTTTCAAAATACCAACTGCATCATAGCTATGATTTACGTACTCTGCATTAATCTTAACTGGAATTAAGACGTGGAACTTTTCTAACAAAGTGAGAGCAAAATAATCCGGTAGTACTCTTACTGAATATGGCTTAGCTTATTACTAATGACATAACCTTTTTTTTTTAGTATAAGACCATCAGTGAGTAGATATGGGGCATTTTAGAAGAGGAGTTGTGGGAAACAGGGGCACAGGTAGTACTTGTTCAAAAACATGTCACCTTTGCTGTCATTTTAATTTTTATGTTTACATAGAGATCAAAAAAACATGTCGTGTGAGAACCTAATCTAAAGGACTTCATGATTACAGTGATCTGCGTTGGTATCTTCCCTCCCAGTTGTTCCTTTCCTCTCACTGACATCAATAATTAAATAGCAGTGATGGCTCATTAGCACAGAGCTCTCCGTGTTTCTGTCACTTGTCATAGATCAGTGCTGCCTCAGTTGTGATTTGGCTTGTCTTTTTTTTTAATAGCAAAAGATTTGATACCTTGCAAACAGGAAAATTTGAACAGTAGTGGGAACTCAGCAGAAATTGATAGACAAAAAAGAAAATTTGCTAACTCAAATATAGGAAACTATAAAATACTGGTAAATTGCTTGTTGTATATAAAGCACACTGGGCTGGGTGATGGAGAAGAAACAGCTGGCGCTGTGGGCTAAATCTGCTCGTAATCCCTCAGGGGATGTTACAGGCTGTCTTGTGGATGTTTCTTAATTATTTCCTGCTAAAGAGCAGAAGGTTCTTTTTAGTATACAGCACTGTCAAAGTCCTGCTTTCAGAGATGGTCTTAAATTGTGTTTTCCCAGAGTGCTGTAAGATACTTAGACAAAAGCAGCATCAGAGAAATTGAAGAGAACGAGTGGCTGAAAGAAAAGGTAAGAGGATCACTTGCTCTCAGTTTATCATGGCAGTTCAGATTTGAAATGCAGTGGCCTAAAATCATGGCTGTCTCCAGTGACCAGATTCCGAAGACTTTAATGGGAGAGATGAAAAGAGTTTTGGAGAAGGGGGCTTTGGGCATTTTTAAATGGGAGATAATAAAGAAACCCTGGAGATTAGGACACCAAAGAGAGGAAAATCAAAATTGCAGAAAGTTGTAATTGGTTCCTTGATAGCTCTTATATTGTTCTTTAATGGCAACTTAGGGTTAAATATTGGATATATGTAACTTTTTGTGTCCAGGAAAACCCTTTTTGTGAGACAAATTAATGAAATTGATTTTTCCATGGTTAAAGTTTGATATTGTGTTATTCCAGTCAATGCAGATTCTTCGTTGCAATCAAATCTAAACAAGAGACTGGAGGAAGGAAATGCCCTTCCCCATCACTGCAAGCTCACAGTTTAGAACTGAGCAGGATTTTGGGGGAAATTAATAAATGGATTTACAGTTTTTCAGTGCCAGATCAACAAACCCGACAGTTTCTCCCTTCTACCTACTAGTTTGAGGCACCACAGCTTTTGAGGCAATGAGGTAGTGGTCAGCAGAAGGGAACGAGTGTTTTAATCTGTATATGAACATGCAGGAGCTTGAATTTAATCGTCCTATCACGGAATGCATATATAAAGCTGGAGGACTCCCTTCCCTTCTTCTGTCTCACAAATTTTACACATTATTAGGCAGTGTCAACAGAGGAGATCCAATCTGGAGTAGTCTTTCGTGCTGACAGGCCCTCTTCTCAGACTTGAGGGCTGTGGGTTTCTTTCCTCTCAGCTAGAAGTTTGCAGTGTTATGAATTAGCTTCTTTTGTTATTAGTTTCCTATGGTATGAGTTAGTGCTCTGAATTATTGTGGAAAACAAAACTATTATCACTGACTTCTCCAATCCTCTGAATTCATCCATTCATTTCCTTGGCTTTTCTTACACAGATGGAATGTTTTCCTCCAGGCTGATGTTTATATGGAGCTGACAGACTCTTCCAGTATATTGTTTTAGGGAGATAAAGATTTCAGTTTTGTCCCAGTCCAAATTTTTTTTTTCCAGTTTCGACACTGAACTGAAAAATGAGTTACCAACACAGACCTAAAATAATTACCTCAACATTCGAATGAATTTGAAGAATACAGTCACAATTTTCCAAGGTTACTGTGTCACACCAACAGGATACAAAGCTGCATCACCTTATTATGCCAAGACACATTCCCTTACTGGTTAATGACTTGCCATTTTCACCTTTTTTAACCCCTGGGAGAAACGGGAAGTAGCTTTTCACTGCATATTTGGATGATTATAGCTGGGTGAATTTGGCCTAGGTGACAACAGAAGCATTCAGGTCACTGAGTACTGTTTTCATACATGTGTTTAAAGCTATGATTTTGGGGGAGGTTTCCATCCCATAGTGCTTTCCACTTCACAGTGGAGGAGGTAAGAACTTGCTTGTTCTTCAGGAAAATGAAGAGAAACTGTGGGAACTGAGTAGCTGGTATCCTGTTGTTAATATAACTTTATTGCAATACGGGGTGACTACCAGTCCAAGAGAAAGTAAAACCTGGGGTTTAGACAATGTTGTGGCTAACCTGGACTGAAAGCATCACTAATTCCGGGTAAGAAGGTTTTATGGAATTAGAAAAGGAACACTTGCTCAGCAAGAGCCCGAATTTGTCTCTGCAAAGGTTTTTCTCTCTTAACGGTCTGGTGTGAAACTGAAAAAAATGCAAGATCCAGAGTTTCTCTCTCCCAGAACTGTTTGGCCACACGAGAAGAGTCTGCTGTCAGGGCTTTTTTCCTAGGAATACATTATTGACTATTTTACTAGGAAAGCTTTCCAATATGTGTATAGTCCCCACTAAAATTACTTTTTTTTTTTTTTTTTTTTTTATTGCCAAAAGGTTAAAGTGTACCGAAAGGAAGTGAGAGATTTGAAAGCCTCTATTCAGCTTCTAGAAGAAGAAAATATAAATTTAGTGACAAATCTGATTGATGGCAAACTTCGGAATCTGAAAGTACCCAGGTAAAATTATGCCTTTGCAGACTCAGAAATGATTATGACTTTTAAAAACAATGCCTACTCCTGCCTCTAAAGCTATTGGGGCTCTCAAACAACAAAAACAAAGTAATTTTCTAGTTGTGGGGAGGCAGAATTTGGCTACATGGGGGACTTGTATCTTTGAAGGATGACGGTGACATGTAACGTCCTAAATACCAAAATTCAGGGAAGAAGCTGTTTGTTTTTTTTTTAATAACCTACAAAGACCCAGCCACACTCTCTTTCTTCTGATGGAGACACAACTGGGGCCTGGAAATAATTTCTTTCTGTCGTAATTGTCTCAGACCAAGTGCTGAGTAATAGATTTTTCCTTTATTGTTAGCAAATTTTTAAAGGATGTGAGGATTAATATGCAAATATATGGGGTTTTGCAACCTCCAGTGAAACAGATGGCATGTAGTACTGAGCTGAAGTAAGGAAGAGGCCTTGGGATGTGTCTCTTTGTAGAGGTGTCTATAGTATTAGTTCCTTTTGTATTGAAATAATTGAACTTGTTTCCCAGAGAATGATTAATTTAGCTGCAAAATGTCATCACCAATGATATCAAAAGCACAGAGTAACAATGGGAATGCCTCCTCTTCTTTCCCTAGTGCCAGCTCAGTGATTTCAGCCCTATTGCACAAAAAAGTTCAGTGTCTTAAGTCAGAAGTGAACATTTTTCTCTCCTCTCCAAACTTTGGACTGCTTTTAAGAAAGAGCTGCCAGCTGCGGTTTGAATCTTGGCCTGACTGGAGACTATAACATTTGTTTTCTTTTAGTGTCATGGACATAGTTGAACTAAAGCTCTGAGAACAAAAAAGAGCAGCGTAGAGCCACTAAGCTACCTGGCTGCCTCCGTTGCATTTTTGAACCATTGCACCATCCTGCCTTTGTGGTTAAGCAGCAAATGGCTTTCAGAAAAGGCACTCTCTCCCCACCCCAAAAGATTGCACAGGGTGATTTAGAGAGAAAAGTCAGACCTCTAATGTGAGTTTCACTTTTGGTGTTGTTGTTTTCTTAATTTTATAGGCATTTGTGTCTTACTCAGGCGGCTGGCTTGCAAGGTGAATTCTCCCAGGATGAAATTAAAGCAGTAGAGCCCAGAGAGTACTCAGGTAATGCACGTGGCAGCAGCTTGTAAGAACTGATCAGTCACTGAACTGTTGAAAAACTTTTTATTGCTTAAGGTTTTCCTGAACTGCCTGTTTTACATGGTGAGCTACTTAATGTCCCACTACAATAATGACAAACTGGAGTTTGGGTTAGGAGGAGACAACACCGTCTGTAATAGTTTGAAAATTGAAATCAGTGTTGAGGTTGTTAAATGCAGTTACCTTTATACAGCTAGCCAGGAGCGTGGTCAGTAGGATCAGCCACCTTTCACAAAGATGCTTCATATCTTAATCAGTTCTTACCTGATCCGTGTCATCATGACTTTGTTATCATATCGTGTCCCAGAGAGGACACGCTGGCTTTTACTTCACATGTGCACACACCTTGCAGTCATTCAGCACATTGAGGCACCCCAAAATTAATTTTAAATGAATCCCTAGTGACAGCAGATGAAGATGCGTGGAGCTCAGCCTGAACTGAAAATCTTGGTCAGCAGCACTGAACTCTGGGCCGAATATACCCTGGTAGGCATGCCCAGGAATAATATATCCTGTTAGGAAAGAAAGAACCACGTTGGTGTGTTTACCACTCAGAGTGGTTTGTATGGATACCTTAGTATCACATTTTCATTTGCATCTTTTTGTGAGCAGAAGGAAGAGAGAAAAAAAGAGAGACTAAATTAAATTGAAAAGGTAAGTTGCAGAAATTGAAGTTGTGAATATGTGAAAAAGTCTGTTGAAATTGTGAATCTGAGAAGTTCTGATCAGTTCCAGCCATGTATGGACCTTTGGGGAACCACCAGGCACCAGCAAACATTGACTAAGAGTTTGGAATTATATTCGTGTTTGAACAGTTCGGCTGTTACCCTGTGCTGTACCTTCACCTAGTTAAGTATCTCTTGTTCCAGTAAGCTGGGATCGAGTCACTGTCCCAGACCAACATAAAACTTGACAGCCCATGTCCAGAACTGTCTACCATCACAAGAATTGTTCAACAGCAAATGTGAGCAGTGCAGGGGAGTTACAGGTAGACTAGCTGTGTCTCAGAAACTTGCATATGTGTGCATAGAGATACATACACTGATATAGAAATAAAAGTTTTTGCTGTTTTCCTGTTTTTAGCTATTCATGGCTATGCAGGATATAAGCTGAACTAATAAAAGCTATTTTTTCCCTGTCCCATAGGCCCATCACTTCTTAATTCCAGTCAATTTCAGTCCCTGCTCTTGATCAGAAGTTGTGAGCAGAAATAAACATAGAAAACTCAGTGAGAAAAACCAACATTTGGCTTGGATTGCCAATTAAAAATCCTGCCAAGCTTTTATGGCATGGCACTGGCCAAGCCACAGTAAAGATTGCAGGCACTGCTCATACTGAGTACTAATTCTGATCTTCGTAAAGTTTTAACAGTTACATGCACATTATTGTTCTCTTTTAAAAGCAAAGACAGATGGAGAGGAAAGCCTCAAAAGTGCTGCAGTGCCCTGTCAAAAGAGAAAATCCTCTCCAAAGATTCAGTCTGAAACAGAGGACGGGAAGCCTCAAGACAGCGATGAGGAGCTGCAGGAAAAATCATTGACTCCACTTCTTAACAGCTTGTATGAAGTTGAACAAGATTTCCAGGTATGAGTTCAAGTAATCGGGTCTTTCACTGACACAAATGGATTTCAGTATGGAGCGTGAACTGCCAGGAGTGTTTTTATTCCTGGTGTTGTTACAGAAAAAAAAAAAACAAAACAACTGGACAGGGTTTAGTCCTCAAAAGAGGTGATGGTACCTGCTCCAGGAGATCCTCGATTGCAAAAAGCTGCTTTCTGCTTCCATCCAATATCGCACACTTGAGTTATGAGAACTTGAACACGTTTGTAAATAAGACAATTACTTTTGGAAAATATATTGTTATTCCACGTCACGGATTTCTACTGCAAATTCAAGAAGTGATGTGGAAGTGATACAGACTGCAAGGCTTGCTGTGTAGAGATAAATCTCCATGTTTCCTTTCCCTTGAATATTGTATTTAAACACAATAATGATACTTTTTGCTTTTTTTAAACAAACAACTATTTCTAGAAATTTGGCATTAATTTAATAACCTGCAACTTGCGTTCAGAGAAGTCATCCTGTTGCTTTGATCAGAGACTGCCTTAGGGAACAGCTCTGTCCTGAAGAGTCATTGCATGGAAAAGCTGAACGTTTCACAAACAAACAAAATCTGTCCAGGTGCTTGCTTCCTTGCAGCTGTTGCCTCAGGAGAGGAACACTAGCTTTGCTTCTTCTCTCCTGCTGTTAGCACTGTAGAGCCCACCCTACTGAGAGACACAGGTGCTACTGGCATTCCTGTATTTCACAAAAATTAAGGTGTAGTGTAACTGCAAACAGTGGTGTTGCAACTAGCAGGAAAGCATTTACTAAACTTGATTCAAGACCTTGTGCTGTAGGGTTCCTTCTTCTCCCTAGCCTTAGCTGTACAATCCTGCTGCTGCCTCTAGGGAACTGTAGTGCGCATCTGCCTCTTCTGTAGCTGGTTCTCTCACTGTCCCAGCAGCAAAGCCTGCCTTTGTTTGTTTTGTTTCTTCCCCTTGAATTAGTTTGACTCACCTGAACTGAGTCAGAGGCCTAGAGAAGGCCAGAGCCAGCACAAACATGGTGCAAGCACCAAGCTGGACTTGGATCTCTCTCTTTTGGCAGTACTGAACTGTTGGATTCGTTTAATCCTTCTCACGGAACTAAACTTGGGAGCAGAATTTGGGCTGCAGAGAAAACATTATTGGTGAAAACACGCAGAAAAAGAGAGCAGCAGGGCTGCATCCTCCTAGGATCAGCTGGCCTGTAGATTAACCCACTAACACTGAAATTACTGAACACGGCAACCCCAGGACAACACTCGTGGAGTTGCTTTTAGAGGAAAGATGCTGTTTGTTTTGTTTAGTTTGTTGTCGAAGAGCTGCCTCTTTTCTCTGCAACTGCAGAAAGATATTTTTTCTTCTTAAGGAATACTTAAAACTGGGTCCTCTGGAGTCAAAGCTAATGTGTGTGATCGGAAGAGCCATGCCTATTCACAAGGAGCCAGAAGAAATGCCAGGCAGGAGCCCCACGGAAGGTGGCTCTACGGCTAAATCCAACAGGCACATCACAGCTGAGATGATCAAAGCCTTGACTAAGGAACAGGTTGGTTAAAAAAAAAAAAGAGAAGCTGTGCTGTTAACAGACATGTAACACTCTCGGTTCATTAAATATTTGCTCTGTCGTTCAGAGTGTGTGGACTTTGTGGTTACTATTTTTGAGTGTCTGAATCATCCCCACATAGAAGTTTAATTAGGGACATGCCCAGATGGCGAACTGAATGGCTGTTTTCCTTCGACTTGGAGGTATCGCTGGGGCATATCTTGGGCTTCTCAGTCCAAACAACTGCACGTGTGGCTAAGAAGTTCTTATGAGAAGTTATATCTGAGGTATTATGAGCTGAGCTTTTGTGATCCCTACTTGCTGTGTGTCAAATGTGGAATTCCAGCTCAAGCTGACACTGAACGCAGGCTGCCATAAAATACTGAACTGCTACAAAACACTTAATTCTTTGCTAAATCAGAACCCAGTTTACCCAAACACAATTCAGATATTGCTGGAAATTCAATGTTTGAATGCATTTTATCTGTCTGCGTGAAAAACTCCACTGAAACATATTGCAATTACTACAAGTTAATTTTCAAATTTCAAAGGCATAATTTCAAAGCATAAAAATCATTGAAATCTTTCAATTTGTTACAGAATTGGCCAAGTATGTGGGGTAAGCCTTTATTTTTGTTCTGTGGCTGGTCTCTCTGGACATGTATCTCAGCACACTGAGTCAGGGATTTTTTTCCCATTCTCATTGCACATCGTGGACGCCCTGTCTGGAGCAGACAATGCAGTTACTTCCCCAAAGGCACACATAGGAAATGCACGGGTCTAAAACCTCTTTAGAAACTTGTGCCAGCATTAAATAGTCCAATTTAAACTCTTGAGGGGTTAATCAGGTACTTGGAAAAAAGCTTTTTTGGAATAAATAACCGACCAACCTATAGCCATGCAGTGTCTCTGTTTATCCCACACTTCAGCACAAACATTTGGCATTCTCCAGGTGAGCTCAGCCGTTCCTGCCCAGCAGGTGTCTCCCTGAGCTGGAGGTGAGAGGAGCTGGCTGCAGCTCTTTGCAGACACAGAACGGAGGAGTCTTCATCTCAAACCCAACCTCACGTTGGGTGGGCATGTGGTGAGCCACGTAGTGAGCAATTAATGGAGTTTGGCCGTGTCTCTGCTGTAACCCAGCTGAGTTACAGCACTGGCTGAGGTGGCTCCTAACACTGATGAGCCCAAAGTGGATCCTGACTCACGAGGTGCCAACGTTTTAAGCACAGCAGCAGCCCCTCCGTGGCTACGCCGCCTCTCTTTGAGCGCAAGCTGCATGAGACGGCGTGCTTGAAAGCGGGATTAGTTCTGCTCAGGGGTTAGTCTGGCTTTTTGTATAGTCACGGAATTAGAATATGGCTTTGCTGTTCGAGAAAAGCCTCGCCTTCTTCCCACCACTCCCCCGAGGGCATTTACACGCTTCTCCAGGCGTCTCCGTGCTTATGCCCATCATCCACACCACAGCGTAGGGCAACATAAACACGTACCTCAGAAAAAAAAAATGGCTTTGCAGCTCAAAATCACCATTTAGATTTTAACCGTAAGTGCCTGCGTGGGCGAGAGGGAGTTAAAAAGAAATGTGAAACATGTTAATTAGGGTGCAAGCCGCGGGGAGCCTGCACAGGCCAGAAGCAACAGCCCGTAGCAAAACCTAGTCAAGTGTCTCAAATCCCCTTGGCTTCTATGGGCTTAGCATTAGGGCAAGTGGGAGGCTTTTATGGGGGAACAGCAAGGTCCTCAGCATCTGGATTTGATAATTTGTTAGTGCCAAAAATCCTCAGAAATGAGCAAGGTGTTGTAAAACAGAGGAGCTGATCAGCACACTCTGGCAGCACGGCTACCACCTCCAACTCCTGCTTAAACAACGGGAGATGGGGTTCACTGTACCAGCTGGTGCAACACTTACACAGGACCATCCTGAAATTCCCTGCGTGCTGAAATATTTTCCTTTTACTGTGGTTACAAGCATAGGACACCAGTTGGACTATGCGATGCAACGTTTTTTTTTTTATTAAAACTGCAATTTTCTTAGCATTGTGTGCTTGGGGAGAGTTGGGACAGATGGACACATTTCTGCAAGTGAATTTGAATTTTAAAATTCAAGAGCTGTGAGCAGCACCCAGCTGCAGGTAGTCACGTGGAGATCAAAGCAGGTTTGATAGAAATGAAGTCTGTGTGCTTGAACTACCAAACATCATCCACCAAATGGCTGAAAACACGAAGTAGAGTGGTGTGTGCTGCTAAGCTGTGCTCATGGAAGTGATTTCAGATGCTTACCTCAGCGTATGGCTGGTTTGAACCCTCTCTGAGCAATTTCCCTGTCGGGGCAAGCAACTGGAGCACCGTGCTTTGCAGCCCGAGCTGCGGGGAACGTGGGTGTTCGGAGAGGCTCGCAGCCTCCCGTGCAGCCGGGTTATATAACGCGGTGATCCCTCCGCAGGTGCAGACCTGCAGGTTTGGAGAAACGAGGGCAGGAGACTTGTTCTGCAGCATTTGTTCTCGTTTGCCTGCTTTCCGAGAGAGAAGGTATTCAACGGAAAGGATTCTGCGGGCAGCAAGGAGCCAGCCAGAGTAAGGGCAGAAACTGATGGGCCGAAAAATTTCGCTGTAGTGACAGACCAGGACCAGAGAACCGAGTATCATCAGCACCTAACACCACCGATGTTTTAAAGCTGGTTGTTCCTCTGAAAAAGGCTTTCCCTTGGCTTTTGAGCCACTGTAGGGATAAAGATGTGTCTTTGTACCCCCACACATCAGAGCTCGTGCTCTGCAGACGACTGCACCGCATGTTGTTTTAGGACACAGCACAGTAACGAGATGCCAGCAGCTGTTCCCATGCTCAGCCCACAGAACAGCTCCATAAAATAACTGGGATTTGACATGCGCTGGTCTTTTCCCCACCTTTAGTGGTAAAAGAGCAACAAGAAGCTAAAATGGTATCAAGTATCGCTTCTTGGGAAAACAATACTTGGGGAATTGCTGGGGCTGGCACGGGGACGTTCAGCAGTTATCGCTGAGCAGAGCAGAGGTCTGTGCTATGGAAATAAGCCGGAGACCTCACTCTGCTCGTACGCTGCAGGAGACAGAGCAAGGGGTTTGCACCCAACCCATTTTCACTGCCACCATCAGCAGAACAGCTCAGGAAGTTGCCTTTTCCAAGGCTTTTCCGTCTTCGCCTCAGGAAACTTCATCAGCAGAGAAGCAAGAAAAGCAGCAAGCGCTTTTTACTCAGCTAATAGAGTGATTTATTATCTCGGGCAAAGCATCTCCCCCAAGTGAAATGGAAGGAGTTGTTTGCTCAGCCTTTGGACACAAAAGGGCAATGCTGCTGCCACCCTGCTCGGCGCCGGGGGAACCCCTTGAGACATCTCCCGGCACTCGCTCTGAGGGAGGCAGGACACAGGACCAGCCCCTTCCCTTCGTTCTCCTGTTTTAACACAGAAAACATCGAGAACTCACAGATTTGTCTTGTTGGGCAAGTTCAGTGAGGGAAGCCAAGGCCGTTTGTGCTCTCCTCGCTGCAGCACGCGGGAGCTGCAAGGGTCAAGCCAGAGGCCTGCCAACAGACCAAGGAGAAAGCTCTTATTTACATATGCTCTCATTAACATACTTTTTTCTTCCATATTCAGCACATTTCTAAACCACCCATCGCATTCCCTAGTCAATCTCCAGCTCCCATCAGCATTTACAATCTCTCTATCATCTCTCCCAGTGCTTTGGCACCTGATTCTCACTTTTCTGCCACAATCTCAATAACATCACAGCCTTCAAGCTAAAATTCGCTCGCATCTCTCCCAGGCTTCCTCCAGGCTCTGCAAACACGTCCTGTTCATCTACCAGAGGCAGGATTTCACCCCATACTCCCTTTTTTTGCTGAAGGGCTGTCATGTTCAGGAGGCATTTGAACAGTGCCCTCAGGAGCGTGCCTGAGCTTTTGGTTAGCTCTGAAGGGGTCAGGCGGTTGGGCTCGATGTCTCCCAAGGTCCTTCCGACTGAACGGTTCCATTTAACAGAAGCAGAATTGAGGTTGCCAGCTGAACAAGCTGCATCCGCGCTTTTAGAAAAGCTGTGAGGTTACAGCTGTTCAGGTTCTTGTTGTGGCAACAATAAAAGTCTCAGGAACCAAGTCCAACAGTTCTAATTATACAAATCTCTGATGAAAAATGTTGATTTTTCATCCTAGTTTTCTTCACAAAGTTCTAAAAAGAGCTCCAGCCCTCAAATCAAGCCCTGCTTCCTCCACTGCTTGCTAAGCACAGGAAGCTTTCTCAGACAGTTTGCTCTTCTAGATTATACAACCTTTGAACTCAGTTTTGAAGAGAATCAGGTTTTCACATTCCCCTGTTAATGAAAATGTGCAGTAATTCAAAAAGAAACATGTCTGAGCTGTGATTTTTCAATTAAGATACAACTGAGTGTTATTCCAGCAATAATGAAAGCAAACATACTTATTAGGAACAACTTAAATGGGAAAATAATCCTCAGAAAATTCTCAAGCCTTTTTTTTTTCTCCTTCCCTGAAGAGTAAAACTAAAATCAAAGTTTATTAGCAAGGCCTCCAACAAGAAGTTTTTGCCTGGACAGCATCTGTGTTCTATAATGCAACAGCTGTGAGTTACCAGCAGAGGATAACAGTCAGCCCTACAGAAGAGCCTTTTTTGGGACCAGGAGTTTGCAACCTCAGGCTCACAGCCCCCCAGAGGGGCTCTAAGGAATCAAAAAGGTCTAAATTCAACAAAACACACCGAAAATACTGCATAGAGCATCGGTCCTAAAAAGAAGGTTGGTGTTTATCAGACCCCAGCACACTGGGATATGGAGTTAGGAATAATGCCTCTGAATGATTCTTTCCCTGGTTAGCCAGGACACAAACATCCACCTTTTTTTCTTTTCCATCTAACCTCGACTCAGATATAATCCACATTTCTGATGTTCTAACTGCAAGCAAAAACTGAAAAGAAATTGTTCTTAGGTGCCATGCTCCCAGACTGAAAGCCTCATTGTAGGGAGGTGAGGATTTAAGTAAGTTGTGTACGAAACTCACCAGATCTAAGCTTGTACATTACATACTCTGAAACGGGTTCAAT